ATTTATTTGCACGTCCTTCGATTACGCTGGATTAATCACAGTGCACTTGCAGATCGGAGACAGATTGGGGAACAACGCAAGCCAGATGTTCATTACATGAGTGTACTGCAAAGTGGCATATGTAATTTTAGAAAAGTACTGAAATTCTGCAATTTTTAAGTTGCTGTGTGCATGGATGTTTTAAACAGGAGTTTGTGCGATTAAATACTTGTTGAGTCTGTGACCGCTTCAAGCAGATTGTCTTTTCTGAATCTACCTATCTCAAAAACGTGATAGCTTTCACTGTACTGTAAAGGCGGTATTATTACCGTTGTACAATACCGTAGTTTTCCATGCAGTTATAATAAGTTATGCACTAACTGATAACACTGTAAAACGCGCAGTTGGAAACTTGAACAATACACAGACAGACAATTCGAGTAAGAATTCTTCCGAAAAGGCCTGTGAACTTTCTGCTAATATCATAAAATTTAGTTTTTAATGCTGCCAACCACCGAAGTTTCGTGCCAGAATATCCACGGTGCTGGATAGATTTGCGATTTCTTTGTGGAAGATCTTTTGGACTTCCAGTTTGTCGCTTTCCCCGAAACCTTTGTCCCGGATATCCCACATCAGTATGACATATGTCAAGACTACGCTGACCATCTGCAATGTTCGAAAACGTCACTCGAACCGTATTATCGTATGATACATACAAGAATGCAATTACTTACTGTGGCAATGAAACTTCGGTTAACATTCACAATTCCCAGCAGAGAAAACGCTACGCAGTTGTTCGTCAGTCGATGCAAATGGATAGTAAAGCGCCTGCAGCTTGTGACTTCCATAGTTGTGCTTGCTTGCAGGAGCTTCTGAAGAATTTTCTGCAGTTTCCCAGCCTAAGACGAAACTCACACTTACATAATTATCTGAATGTTAAAAGAATCTTAAGAGAACAAAACATTAGCAGCATAGTACCGTACGTACCTGTTCTGTTACGTAAAGACAGACGCAAGTGCGATAACTAACTACAACCGCTTCCTGAAGTATCCCTACGTAGTAAGTTGTGGGCAAAACAGTTTGTATGCTGGCCAGTTGCATAGCAGTCAACATCTCATACAAATATAACATCAACAAAATTGGAGATACAAGACTACTGTATTTGTCAACCAAATCGGACAAGATCGAATGCTGTGTGCACAATATCAGCATTTCAGCATGTGCTGCAGTCTGTCTGTGCTCGGCTTCTTGCGCTAATTTGTTCAACCGGCTGAAATGATGGCCCAAACAGAGCCCTGTCAAAATCAACAGCAGGTCCGTCACTAGCCGGGCAGCGTGGCTGATGGCGTAGCTCGCTTGAACGATTACAGTAAAAATTATGCTGGTTAATTTTGGAAGGTAGATTCCGGCTGTCATTAGTATGCGATCACTTAATTGGTTTTCGATGTTGGATCTTGTGGTGTTGACAGTCTCGGCAATGATGTAACCACTTTGCATGACAACGAGCGCTATGAGCATTTTTCGAAAAAGCTTTGTGGAGTACTGGGAGAATTCTGCATCCAGCCTTCGTATGACAAATCTCCACTGTCTCACAGTGACTCTTAAATACAGTGCTCCAACAGTGTGGGTAATTAGTTCCTGCAAGGTCACTGCCACGTTAACAAGGCCCTCGGTAGTAGCGACGAGGGACGATCCATTGGTAACAATATTCAAAACCCCTCCAAAGATTACAACTATGGCCACCTCGAATGTCGTTAGCCAGAGTAACCATACAGTGTACAAGGTCCGCAAAGCATAGTGCAGTAGAACTGCGCCGCGATTTTTTCGGGAGGCGTCGCATTTCTCCACATACTCATACCCGGCTAGTTCAAGCACCCAGAACCACGGCCGCAAAATACGTTCTATGGTTACGTTGTCTTGTTTCACTGCTCCCATCGCGCATGTCACTACTTGCAGTATTGTTAGAAGATGCACTAAAGACAAATTTTCGTCAAAATCGTAAAACAGCAATGAAAGCGTATCAGGGAATGACAGAAAACTCGTCGGGAAAGTTTGGCTGTCCTTATATTTTCCGGTGCATCAGTGGTCAATCAACAAAACCTATTTGCGTTTCAGGCATGTGACAATATTTATTACTGCGCTCGAGGCACCTTCCTTTGGGTTTTGTCAGTCCCTTAATCAGAATGATGTATTCCCTAAATGGTTCAGAGTGTACAGTACCTGCATTGTAGGTACACAAGTTCAATTAAGTTTGTATTCTCGCACAGTACGTAAATCAGAGAAAGCCGGTACTGTGGCAGAGTTAGCAAACCCCGGAAGGAGGCCTTCGTCGAGGGGGTGGGATATCTTCTTCTCCCCACCGACTTGTAATTTCAAATGCTGGGAGCATTTGTAACTGCCTTTTCCGTGAGTCGTTTTGTTGGCCGAAAGATCCGTGAGTAAGTTGGTGGGGAACCTCAATTTACGGCTTTTCTGAAACAACTCTTGAACCTGGCGGCAGTAAACGCAGCAGCCGCTTTAGAAGCACGTGAGCGGGTCCTGTGCTGATGAGCAACACTAAGGGTTTTGATTGTTTTTAACGTCTTGAATTTGCTTGAAATTTAACGTTTTTTAACGTTTTAACGTCTTGAAATTTAACGTTTTTAACGTGTTGAATTTGCTTCCTTTGTGTGTGTGCAGTGTGCAGCAGCGTCGGCATATTGCTTTGTAAGGTAACTATTGCCGAGTAAAACCATAAGAGATCGCCATTATCCACAGAATACCGGGGATGTGGAAAATCTTTGTTTGCCGGATTTTACTGAAGCGAGCCAAATATCCTGTGCATGCATGCAGCTGTAACAGTATATATTTGTACTTTGTATAAGCTGTTAAACCAGTCGAGAAAACGTACTGCAATAGTACCGCTTGCTGGCTTAAACAATTTTACTGTGAAATACGAAAGTGTTTTCGAGCCGAACCTGAAATACAACGAAAAAGTGCAGTAATTTGTTAACTCAATTACAGAAGGTCGCAAAAAATGGCACCCACTCGTATCTCCAGCTCGAAGAACCAAAGGGAAAGTCAGAGAAAATAAACATTTGCGGAAAATTCTCAAGAGACTCTAGTCCGAAAAAATACGCACTGTAGAAGAAACTGCACAATGTTATTGGTGGCGAAGCAGGATGGCTGAGATTTCCTAAGCCTCTGTACGGCAGTCCCTATTATATGCAGTTGCTGTGTGATGCCATTGCACGCACCAGTTAATACAGTCACGCGAGCTGTTTGCAATCGAGTAGGTTTTACTTTTACTTTTTTGTTTACTTCAGCACTTCACTTTAGCAATGTTCCAATTCAAGTGTATTGCTTGCCAACGGTAAAATCTTTGAAGGAATGAAATTACAAATAATTGTATTTTTAGTTTCGGAAACGCATTTCTAAATTGTTAATCATAATCTTGTTGCTTTTGGAGCACGTACGTAATTAAATTCCATTTGAAATAATATGCTAGCCATATACGCAGGCCAACGACTACTAATTTTGCTGGTTTGAGTTCTGAGAATTGAGCTTTAGTGATACCATTACTAAATCCGAAAGGATAAGGCACCGGCATCTCCGTATTTTCATATTTTATTTAAAATCAAGCTTCTAATTTGATTCAGTACTAGCAGCGAAGCATACAGACAGACATCGATACAGACATAGACGATTTATCGCTTATGGTTATGAATGAAAAATTCATTACCACAAAGAAAGTCTGTAACAAATTTTAACAAAAGTATAAAATTTTACTTCAAGACATACGAATATTAAAAATTCCGGCATGCTGTGGAATTTTTAGAAAAAATTGCATTCAATTATAACAGTCACTCTGCAGGACTGAAATTTAGCTAGCACAATTAGTAGTGCAACTATAACCAGTGATTCCAGGAGGAAAAAGTACTGGAGAGGCGTTACCAGTTACTCGTATGGGCCCTGATATGGCTATGAAACTCCACAGTTCTACTGCATAGCATCAAAACGACTCGAATCCAATTAACCGCAACAATCCTCCCGTCAAAAGAAGCCGCTTGGCTCAATCTGTAAAATAATCCGCATCCCGTTAATGACCACAGCCAGCAGGAGTAATCTGCAAATTGCTGCGGTAGCCCTGCTGTGCATCCATTACTGTTTTCACACATATCTACATTCCCTTTCTTCTACTGTATTTGCGAGGATGGAGTGACTGCAGGGACAGGATATCCACCGCTGGTACAAAGTGCACTTCAGCGCGGATATGTCCATCGACAAGTCCATACAGTTGCCGAGGACAGCCCCCGGCGGTCAGGCTTAATTATTCTCCCCCTTCAATCAGCGGCCGGGCAACCGCTGCTGCAGCAATTACTGCCCAATGAAAGACAGCATTACGGTATATACCGAGTACATGGGACGCGCTGGCGTGTTAATGGATTTCACATTATTCACATTAATCCCGGCGTTTCAATGGAACGATAGGCAAATCTGCCGGATCAATCGTATTAGGGTCACGTAGGAAGGAATTCAAACAGGTCGTCTTTGTTGCGCGTAAAACTGTGTACATACAACGGAAGAAAAGAAAATACGCACTTCGTTAACCGAATTATTGTGTACAGAGTATATACAGTGCACGATGTTTGAAACAAGAACAAATAATTAAGTTACCGCCGACTTAAATAAACTTAGCAAAGTGCCGGTAAGGCATTTGTTGCGTGTGATACGAGTTTGAGTTTACAGTGCAGATAGATTTCGGTATTTGCATTTCATTAAAATATAGTATATTCACTTACTTAGTTTCCACTTTTGTAAATTTATCGTGAACGATTCTTGCATAATGTTTATTGCGCAAATAAGGACATGCATGTACAATATATCTGTACACATCCATGATCCATTCGAATCAAAATATCTCATCGCGATTACGTCCACTTTATCTGCCGTAAATATTTAATCAGCTTATCACAATGCATTACCATTCGCAGAACACCCTGTTTGACCTAACGTGCCACTCCAAACTCGTCTACCAGTCATGTTTACCGAATTACCATCCTATGCAAAATTTTCCCGGCGACAAACTTGCAAGCGCCTCTCCACCGTTCTTTGCTGCACATCCTCTGTTTTAATGCTTTTTAAGGGAAGTAGTCGAAGAAATTAACGATTGATCGGGCTCGTTGCCGGCTTGATTGCCGTAAGTGAGTTATCATAGTAGACAAGCATCAAGCCATCAAATCAGCAGCAGCAGACCGTTCATGTCAGAAAGGACGCTAATCCCCGTTTGAATGCCGGGCACAGCCCCCGTTATTATTGACTTCCCTCTCCTCTGCACTCCACCACATAACCAGCGAACAAGAGAGAGGGACGAAAGAGTGCCGTGTTCGCATGTGCACGGATAACCGTCTCTCACACAACTTCATTTGTTGTATTTGTCCAGCGCCGATGCATCAGCCGATAAAAGATGTTCACTCTGTGATAAACATTTACCCACTATCTTACTAATATTTACATGAGCATTGCGACACCATGGACGCTGTAATAATTCCCTTTTTATTTCTCCTGCATTGCCATGGTCTGGAGGGGAAAAAGTACAGTCAACCGGCGGCGTCGGTCATCGAAGCGGAATTATTCCCCGAATCGCACTATTATCAGGCGGATTCCTCGCGTCTTCCCACACAGCAGAAATGTGTGGAAATCCCGCAGAATATGAGTTTATGTTATGGGATCGGCTACCAGCAGATGCTGCTGCCCAATCTCCTGGAGCACGAGACCCTGGCGGAAGCTACGGAGCAGTCGGCATCCTGGCTGCCGTTGGCCAACATCAAATGTCACCAGCATACGCAGTTGTTTTTATGCTCCCTTTTGCTCCCATCTGTCCCATTCAGCATCCCGCTGTGCAGCCGGATGTGTCCATGCCGGCGGACCAGGCGTTGCCGCCGTTTTTAACCGCCGGACCGACGATCTATCCTTGCCGGTCACTGTGTGAATCGGTCAAGTCCAGCTGCCAAGGGGTCATGAACAAACACGGCTTTCCGTGGCCAGATATTCTGGAATGTGGACGTTTCCCGCTGGATAACGATATGTGCATTGCGCCCAATGCCAATGCCCAAGTGGCCACCACACCATCGCCGACGCCTCCGCCGACGATGGGGAGTACAAAGGCTGGCCGGCAGAAACACCGGAAACCGGTCGATATGCATCATGTTGCTCCAACAGGCAAGTTCAGCGCACATAATTTACGTATAAACTCATTATAAAAATCATTAATATTGAAATTTAGGCTAAAGTCGGTTTAATTTAGTGCTAGCATTATCGGTTCCTCAAAGTTTGCATTTTATCACCTTCTAAAATACTGCAGAATCCCCCTGCACTACTAAATTACTAATACGTTTGCTTTTGGCAAACATATTCTAAACCGCAAAGTAAACGTTCAAAATAGGCGTAAGTCTTTCACCAAAAACACTACCATAGGCGGGGAAATTATTCCACAAGTGGCAAATCAAAGCTGGCGTGCATTTTGTGCTATTTTCTGATACTACACATAATACACATCTGATACTTCATAATACTACACAATAACAAAAATGTACTAATTTTATTCTGATTGTGCCGCAGAAGTTATTGTTTTCCCTTATTTTGACAAACCGTTGTTGCAACCGCACATTCCTGTATGGGGAAAGATTTCGTACTGCAGTACATAGGTGTTTGTATGGTACTGTACATACAAGATTTTCACATAAATTGTTTCCCATGTTCTTAATCCCGCGAAATTTACAATCTGAATTTATCTGGCCAAAGTTTAACAATTATGGTTAAAGCAGAGGATTAATTATAACGTCCGCAAGAGACTATTGTAAGTAAAAGAGGAACATTTATGGAGTTGTTTTGTTCGGTGTACTGCGGAACCGTAAACCTCCGACACGGCACTGCACATTTTATTGTTATGGTAGTTGTCAAAGTTAACGAGCGGCACGGCGTACGATGGCTTAATTGGTTGCAGCCACCGCCGGCACTAATCGGCGCTTACAGTGGGCAATTTATTATTTATTACGGCTGCCAGCCGGGCTCCATTCCCTATTCAGCTTCCCAGACTCCAGCTCTGCATTACTTAATAAACTCATGGCTCATGCACTAAAATAACAGCGCCGCGCGCGCTGCAGTCCATTTTCACCGTACCGACCAAAACATTCCCATAAAACCAGATTGTTTATGTATGCGTATGTCTTTTTGCAGCGGCCATACCACGAAAGCCGACGCCGGCCAGCAGTCCCTTGCCATCATCAACTGACTCCTGTGATGCCTGTCAGGCGGTTGTCTTACCCAAGGAGCTGGATGCCGCTTACTGCCGGGCGCAATTCGGTAAGCGCGGTGATTTATATATCCGTATATATAAACACCGGCACATTCCTGATTGAGGAAAAGGGATATCGCTTTGTTGTGTTTTACCCATTTCCTGATCAAGCAGCAATATGTATCGGATTTCCTCATTCTTTTCAATGCCGGCTTAAGGCAGACGGGCCTATTCTCACTAGGGAAATGGGGCGACGTGACCGGGCCAGCAGATGAGGGAATTTCGTGCTGTTATGCGGGGCTTAAATTAGCCCACTTTGTAGAGTAAAAGAGAGGCTGTAACGGTCACGCCCGTCACGGAGAATGGAGAAAATTGAAACCACTTTGCTCGACTAGAGTGCCGCTCTCCAAAATACACAGCGGCCAAGTTGGCCAAAGTGTGAAGTATTTTGAAGTGGATAGTAGTACGAAAGTTTAGACATAAATTATCGAAAATCTCGTGTTTGCAGATTTAAAAAAAACCTACACATTAAAATTACAGATATTTTTATTTCTTCTCACAGACCGAGTGGTAATGAGCACGTTTATGATAAAACCAGACGGAACAAATAAAGAAGAAGCGCTTAAGCAGTTATGTTGAAAGGTCTTCCTTCGCTTTAATTATACAACCTTATCACGATTAATACAATCTTTAATCACAAAGAAAGTCATGACTGCTATTTTAAGTGCATTGCGCTTATAAAGTACCTTGAAGAAAAATTTTAACGGTGACATAGGGTGCCTGTGCTTGCATTTCTTGGTACTTTGACGGCTATTGTCTAATAAAACGTTTTTTCCTTGAAGATTCTGTGCAAAATACCTTGAAGATTCTGTATATACCTTGCATAAAATACCTTGAAGATGCTGTGCAAGATCTAGAATTTTCTTAATATAATTTTGGATATTTTACTTCTGACTTCTGAGACGATACCAATATTCGCATTATTGTTCATTTTTCAGTATCCAAAATTCGATTCCGTCGGCAAACTCGTCGCGGCGCTTATCTAGCGCGCCGACCGCGCATCCTCCGCTTAACAGATCCGTCCCCGGATTTCAACCGCACCGCATCGGAAGAAAGCCTGAATGCGGAAAAGAGTTTGGAATTCCTGTTCGATCCGAGCATCTTCAACGCCAACTGCCGCGTGACATGTGCCGGTAAAGTGGAGCCGCGCAGTCAAATGTATCTCGTGTTCGGCCGAATGGTCAAAGAGCCGGCATTATCCACCAAAAAGTCCCGCTTCCCGCAAGTGCTAATGGAGCGCATAATGCCCTGGTTTACCGGGCCACTCAACCGTGATTTCCGGCAGGCGGAAAAGCGATTACAGAACTTGAAGTGTAACGGACGCACTGATAATGCTAACACTGTACGAAAAGGCAACCGGAATAAGAAGAGGAAGGGCGCGGTCAATAACATTTAAAGATTTGGTCTAAACTGAAATGTTGCGGCTGAGCAGGCGCTTCTTGTAGTCGAACGGTATCGTTTGTACATAAATCTTTTATAATGTTTCGATTCAGATTATGCGTATTTTGCTGGCTGGTGCAGAGCACTTTGAAAATGCGACGTCAGTTTACACACTGGCATTTGCGTACCTCTGAAAAGGGAAACATTTATTACTAATTTCGAATCTAATGAAAAAGCTAGTAATTGGCGCTACAAGTCTGCAACCTAGAGCAAAGACAGTAATTAAATTTTAATAAATGCGACGCGGCAATTTTGTACAGTAAAATACGTACGTAATTTTCTTTGAGGTAAGTATAAAATGGTCAAGACATGCGGACTTGGCGTTACATTTTTATTTCTTCTTACGGAAATGTAACAACATGCAACACTTTTGTAAAGAGACGTTCAGTTAAAGGACTTGCTTCATCTCAAACAAACATTAAGGAGAAACAAGGATATGAAGATGGATGGTGGATAATAAGTAGATGCATCAAGGAAATTAGAAAAGACTATATACCTGTATAATGCATGTGACGGCACTATGGCCGAGATACGTATAACAAACTAAAAACCCAATAGGATAGGGTTCGCACATTGCTGCTTTAAGTTTTCTGCAATTTTCTTCACAAAATCACAGAATCGGTTTTTAATCATGCGGTATAAAGCCGTTTCCGATATTAATACGATCAAAATGGCAGCAGCTCCATAACCGTTAGAGACTACCCTATCGAATTTCCTCATGGAACTGGTTGGCCGTGCTGAAATTAACGCTGTTTTTCATTTTAATTCTCTTGTGCGACGCAGTTAGTATATCTTACTGACATTAATTTTATTTTGCACGGTGAACTCCCTGCTTCGTTTCCGGTTACTTGATGAATGTGGCCGGTATCAATTTTCTCCTTCTATATCTCAACTGTTAGACTTTTCAGCACGATCGTCGCCGCAAACTGTGCAGAAGATTTAATACAAAAGGAAAGGTTTGACTAATATTTAACCAAAACAAAGACATGTGCCACTACCTAGACCTCCTGGTTAGAACATAGCACCTCCATTGCGTATAACCCCGTATAATTACGTGTACGTACATATGACATACGTTTCACCTTGGACGCACTTGAAGGCAGTTTACTTTTATTCGAATCTTTTTAATTAAAAACTGGTTCTACGAACCAATGTCATTATGGCTGCTTCCTTGTAATAAACGGCGACCAAGATAATCACTCGCGTTACAGGGCCGGAGCAAGCGGAAATGGAACTTTCTCAAAATTTGCGCTAACCATCTTACGTGATTATAGCGTTACGAAACTGCAAGGATCGTCGGCGGCGCCGCGGCAGACATGTAGATGAACAACTGATTAGGCTTAGCTAGTTCCCCAACGGTCGTAATAAGAGATCCTAATTTGGCCCAAAATGATTAGGAAATATTTCTGTCTGGTTCAAATTTGGCTGATTAATTCAGTGCATTAATATAACATCGATGTGGCGATGTCGAATACCGTTAGCTGTAGCCAAATAGATATATAGAAAGGCATCAATAGCCCAGTCGATCACATTAATTTTGCATTTGCTTTAGAGACTAATCGTAAAAGTCTTAACTGGTAGTTGTTATTTACCATCGCGTTCACGGATCATAAAATGATGCAGAGTAATTTTAGCACAAACTTTTCTTTTTCATTAGCTTTTTTGCAAAATCGCACGGCTGATGTACAGATAGATACGAGCGGGAGTGACCTTTCCTATTTCGAATGGAACCTGTCAGCGATTTTCAAATGTGCGGTATTTATTCTGACATTAGTTCTCAACGCAACCGTCTTGATAGCCTTTGTCACGCACCGCGAACTGCGTACGCCATTTAACGTATATTTAATAAATTTGGTCGGCATCAACATATTGTTTACCGGAATCGCCCTGCCATTCGGTACGATCTACGCCGGGCAACCAGACTGGGATCCCGGCTGGACCGGCTGCAACATCTACATCTACATATTATACCCGTTAGGTTCGTGGCAGTTGTGGTCGCAGGCGCTGATTAATGATTACTATCAACCGCGTCTGGGCTGTTTTCCATCCACTGTCCTATCGTCGAATTCACAGTTACCGGCTCGCGATTACTCTTTGTGTTAGCGTATGGCTGATTGTCCATATTGTCGGTATTTCCTTCATCGCAGTCGATGCTGCATGGTACCGAAGACCCGGTGCAATGTATTGTGCGCTAAACGAAGACGCTCAACCAGTCACTGCTCGTGCTTATGAGATTTTTATGATCGATTTGACATTAGTTATTATCTGGACCGCCTATCCATTACTCTTTTACAAATTATGGAAACGATTTAGAAGAAAAAGCATAGTTTCGAGCAGCCAGATGACGGATACAACGGTTTCAAAGTCGGAGCACGGAGGAAGGTCAGCGATGGGGAATGAACCGAACCCGAACAGTGTTCATTTCACGGCAAATCCCGCAGAGATTTCCGTAAAAGATTGTGATCAAGGGTACGACTGGTTTAAGTACAAACAAATCCGGTGTCTCGGACGCAACCAAGCATCGTGGGAGGAACTCCAAACCTTTGCTAGTGCTATCTGTGCTGACCATTAGCGCCTCCATCTTTTATACGCCGTTCTTCGCGGTTTTCTTTGTTTCCGCGTGGATAACAACTGTCCCGTCAGTGATGTGGTTTAAAATTGGAGCTTGGTTGTACGAAATGCAGCCCTTGCTGAACCCGGTCTTCTTGGTAATTGACATTGACAATTTATGGGCAGCCGTTTTCAGGATGCCCATACCTCGAAAACCTTAGCGATGATGTAATTTCATTAGAAAAATAGTTTGTTGGTTGTAATAATCACGGGAGTAGTGCACACGTCTGTGCCGGCATTGGCATCGTCAAATTCGTGTTTACGGATTTGATCCGCCTGATATCATCCTGATAGTTTATGCCGGAATACCACTATTTTTCCCCATATGCATGCAAGTTTTCATGTTTGCTGGTGTGATTTGCAGATGTACGGTAAGCATTTAAATCTGTGACATACGAGATTACCCGCTTGTTTTGCTTGTTACGTTATATAACAACTGCGTGTTTTAGTTTGTGTACGATAGAACGAAACCATTCAATCATCAACACAGTTTGTAAATCACGGCAGAAGAGTGGCGTGGTAACCAACGTGTTACCTTTAATGGAACATGCGGACCAGAAACATCACTATAAATGCTTGTAGCGTAGTTATCAATAAGACGATTCCCCAGATATGATTGTATAAACTAGAAAGTATTTTTGCTTTAAAGTTATTTGACCGAAAACGAACGCAGTCGAATGCAGACGTCATCTAAATTTAAAACACATTAGCGTCCTTAGAGAACACACCTTCGGATTCTCCACCTCGGTTGAAGGATTCGTGTGGGCTGTTATTCAGGTGTTAACTCTGATGGTGCATTAACAAAATCAAGGTTTTGGAAAGCAGGCCTAGCTACAGAAATTAGAAAATATGCAGTGATCGTTAGTAGCAATACCTTCCTTTTCCTGCAATTAAAACCCCTTAATGATTTAAGGTGCACGAGGCGTAATAGCATACTGCTTCCGTCGTGCGTTTAAACGGATACAATAACTGGCTCGGCTACGCTCTAAGGGCTTTACGCTTGCTCCTTGTTTTTAAAGGAGAAAAATTCTTGATTGCTTTATTTAAACTGACGGCCATAGAAATATTTGTGGTACTACAGTGCTGTGCAAAATTACAGTCCGCAACATTCCATCATCGCTATACTTATTGTGCACATACCGAGCCGGATCGAGCTAGTTGTAATTACTTCTGTTCTTCCTGGGTACTTTGCCGTCATATAATTTTCATGAAGTATGAAATGATTACCTTTAGTAATAACACGAATACCTCCAATTTCAATTTCACCTGGCTTAACGGAATTCCCAAGAATAGTCCAACACAACCGGAAAACGGTTTAGCTGCTTTCTCTTGGAGCGTGTCGGCGATCGCAAAACTGATAGTATTTTCTGTGAGTCTGCTTCTCAATTTAACGGTTTTCCTGACACTCGTGATTTATCGACATCTCCGCAGTCCTTTCACCATTTATTTAATAAACAACGTGGGTATTAATGTTCTGTTTGCGGTAATCGATGCGCCGTACGGCGTGATTAACGTTGGCATACCGCAGCGGTATCCGGGAACCGTTGGATGTGCAGTATACATGTACATGTCGTATGCTTTGACCCCGTATCACATGTGGTCGCAAGCGCTGATCACGATCAACCGCCTATGGGCCGTTGGCTTTCCTTTCTCATACCGGACACACCATACGTATGCAACTGCCATTGGGATCTGTGCACTGGTTTGTTTGGTCACTAACGCGGTGGGTATATCGTTTATCGCCGCCGATACGACATGGTATCGACAACGCCGACGCTGTGCAGTGAATGCTGGGGCGCAACCAATCACCGCGCGCGCTTTTGAAGTAGTGATGATTGATTTGACGCTTGTAATTATCTGGACAGCCTATCCGTTAGTCTTCTATCACTTGTGGAAACGCTTGCAAAACCGAAATCGGCTTGCTGGATCGAATAATACCGCTAATATGATGAACATGGGCGTCAGGGCCAATCAGCGAAATGCCGGAGACGGGTTAGTCGCACAGCAGCCCGACAGAGGGCTCGTGCAGCGTCGGGAGATGTCCAAATCTTTACTAGTTTTGTCCTTGTTGACGGTTAGCTCGTCCATTTGTTATACTCCGGGGTGTGTGGCTTTTCTGGTGCATTCGTGGGGCATCGGTGCACCTTCGCCCATGTGGTACGCCATCGGCAACTGGCTGTTCATATTGCAGCCTTTAGCGGACCCGATTCTGTTAATTGTTGGGTTAAATGACCTACGTCGCACTTTGCTAGCCAAGATCTGGTATTCTCACTAAAAGGTACGCAGTACTGCACCAATTAAAAGTGTGAGTCTGTAGCGCTACAAGCATTCGGGTTGAATATGTTTTACTAAGAACATTTGCGATCTGTATTTTCAAAATCTGTTAGAATAGTGTTGTGTAACATGTGTTCTTAAAACAAACTTTTCTCATTGAAAAACTTTTCACCTTTTATACCCTGTGAGTGCGTGACTGAATTGAACTGATTTACGCATAACCAAGATAGTTCCAACAATAAAACATACAATCGAAACGAGAGCGACAGAGTATTGTGATTATAAAAGTTAATTATGCTTGCACTTCGCGACGAACAATTTGATGGGCGCAAATACATGTTTAGCCAATTATTTCGGCGAACAAGAATTGACATATAGGGACAATGAAGTGTGCGTACAGCGTAGTTGAAAATGCGAATGATGCGATAACGTACACATAAAGCGGAAGCACGGTTATATCCGTATACGCGTAATACAGAATCAGACTACTCGCATTAATCTACGTACTTCTTAGTCAGGAAGGGATAGTATAATTACGATGCGCAAAATAATTCTTCAGGGAATTCTGCAGGAGTGCGCCAAGCTGGAGCTGCTTCTTGGCACTGAACTCGCCATCATCCATTTGCCACATGATCAACAAGTACGTCAAAACCACACCAACAAGCTAAAACGCAGAAAAGTTGAGATCATACCCCAGTAGCGGAAGAATTATATATATGTAGACATGCTCTTTCAGTGACCCTTACGAGTGCACCGAGATGTTTCAGTGTTTCCGCTTACCGTGGCGATGAATCCACGATCCACCACGACAATCTTAGCCAATGACATGCCGATATTGTTAGTTTTTAATCGGTTAATATGGGTCGTGAGGCGGTTACATTGACCGGTGCTCAGTTCTGTTTCTGCTATCAGCACGTCTTCCAACACCGGAATAACTTCCTTTGCCTGAAATTAGGATAATATTTCGAAATGCTGCAGTACTCGTATACTTGCATACTGCGGGTTGGCTGGTGAAGCTTTTACCTTTTCATTTGCATAGATAAATGTCAGTGTGCGTGACGTAACATCAACAATCAATTGCGCTAAGTAAGCGTATGCGAAAAAGTTATTTGCCATAATATGCTGCTTTTTGTAGGACAGCAATCCCAAAACATCGGAGCCGTAGCGCATCACGGTCGTAAACGAGAGAATGCTATCCAGCCGGCAAAACTGCTTCTCCAGTTCCACGTGTCGGTGCATGAGGCTGTCGACTACGGCAAACAATGTTTTCCCTTTCGCATTACAGGTGCCTTCAATTTCCGATACAATGCCTTTAAAGGTCAATCCCAAAATTAAGCATACAGTGATGACGAACGAATGCATGATCTTTTCCGCAAAAATGATTAACAGTTTACAGACAAGGGCAAACGCCGAAAATACATCGATTGCGTGCATTCCCCATGAGTGCTTTACACAGTGACTGAAGTTGCAGAGAAGATTCCGGTAGACGTTGAACTCACTGAACGGAAACTGCGAGAACAACTGCACTGCAGTGGACACGCTGATAAAGAGGTTGTAGATCGTTAGTGCAGTCATTAGGGCCACAATCGCTTGCTTGTTCCGTTTAGTTACAAACGGTTTGCTGAAGACAATGAACCGATCCACGAACGAGACAAGCTTGTTGAAAACAAAAGCCAAATAAAATGTGCTGGATGCCAGAGCCAACTGACCTTGCACAATTGCAGCAAAATAAAGATAGTCTTCCGTAGAACTGGTGGCACGACGTAGTGTTTTGTTGAAGTAAAAGCCGGCAACAACCAGAACATTCGCCAACAGCCAAGCGCTCCATAATTTTAAGCACCACTGACTTATTAATCTCCAAGTGATATGTTTTTCTTTACTGCTTGCTCTGTGAAAATTGCCAAAGCCGCTAAAATGTAGGATGGTTATCCATGGAATAAAAACGTTTTCCAAATCAATGCCGGTGTGGTGTGAAAACATAATTCAGTGCTTTCTAAAGGATGTATTGTAATTATGAAAAGCAGCTAGGGCTTGTGACACGGTGCTGCAAGAATTCGCTGAAAAAGTAGTTTTATCAATTTTATGCTCAGGAACGAGATGTAGTTCACGAGACTGTATGTACTAAGTACTAACCAGATCATCCAGAAGTATTGTGTAATTTGTACACAGAAACAAAGTAGGCTCTCCCTTTCCGCTCTTTAAGCTGTATTTGTACAGTAACGCATCACATGCAGTGTGCAGTGCCTCCACACTATTACTGGATCATCCTTAAATATTTACCCTTTCATCGGAATATCGCGGAGTATGCACTCGCCATACATCTAAACAATTCTCTGAGAGTCTGAGTACAGCCAGTATAGCCATCGCAGAAAATGACACCACTGCCAAATTAAAGGTCTCGGAATACATAATTAGAATACGAAGAGCCAAAATACGATAATTGTGATTAATATGCAATTTATTAGCCATGTTAATAAAAATTCTCAAAAACAACTTTGTGGTAGAGCGCTAGCACCGGTAGATAATACAAACAAGCGCCGCAAAAAATGATAAAAACTAAAAACGGCCGTAAGCCCGTAACATCAAAACGGTACAAAATTCATGTTGCGGCACATACTACATTCTATTGCTGATGACTGCGCGCAAACTGGAAAAAGCGCGTTTGATTATTGCTAAAGCGTACGCCGGATAATTATTATTCTGATGTTTTATTATTTCTCTGTTTTCTTCATAAGTCACCACGATCTTACTCACACGATCTCGTACATTGCTTCTTTAAACGTCTTCAGTTTTGAGTTGGCTGGACAGCGCTCGTTCTATGCGGCGATGCGCCTTGAAAGACAATAGCAGATTAATTTTCTTTAAACATTATTTCGAGACTGCATGGAAAGTTGAACACGTTTTGCACATGGAAGCAATGGAACACGACGAATGGTGAGCCATAATTCTATAATAATCCATGTATATATGGATGTAGTGCATCCATCAGCTGTGATGGGCTTCAGAGAACGTTCACGGCCACGCCCGTCGTATCAATAGCCTCTTTAAATGTAATCCAGAATGTCTTCACCATACCTTTGCCCTAAGTGACACCATGAGATTTCAGACCAGAAAAATTTGGTCTCAGTAACAACAAAACTGATCCATACCTTAACAGGAATCTCGCCTCGTGGTTCACATTTCAATTTGTTTGAGCAGTCCAGTAAATCTCGGGATGAATCGCTGGATTGAATACGGCAAGCTGTTAGAGAATATTGATTAGACAACATAGTAACAGGATTCCCAAAGTAAAGGGGCGCCGCTTACGCATGGATGTCGAGGTCATCCGCGATGCCATATTGACCGTATCGCCAAATCTACAATGATACATTAATTATTACAACTGTAGCTTTGCAACTGCCTTGCCGTCGCTCGATTTACAAACAGTATCTCTTCATGCGCAATCCAACTAATCCGGCGGCCACTTGACCTAGCACACAGAACATTGTCCTGACCATATCAACACACGACTTGATGACATAATATGTCATCAGTACACTATACAGATATACCCATGTACCAGAATGAAACCCGATTTGCAGTTGCAAGGTGTGAGAAGCAAATGTATCGGTCAACGTTCGAGATAAAGCCGCGCAGCAAAGAACACCAATTTCCTCCGCATGGTTCTTCTCGCTGCGTACTGGTAAACCGCTGGCTAACTGCAATAAGCGTTTAAAAAGAGTGTTACGTTCAACTTACGCAAAGCTTCGAGTGTCAGCGTCATCATATTTATGACTAGAAGTACGAGTTGCTATCATCTGAAAAATGTGAAAGAATTTTTACCATGTAACTATCAGCGATGGTTTCCACTTTATATACATCGTATTCGTTGATGAGGCGATCAAAAAGCGTGAAGAACTCATTGAGCAAGGCGACACAATCAAGAGGCGACAAATCAGCTATGATCTGTCCAAACTGGTTAATACACGTAAACGCTATGGTAGCGCACTGGAAGATTTCTGGTTCTGTGCTTTCACCACGAATCAAGGCATCTACCACCGACCTGCAACGATATTGCCGTCTGAATATCCTTCATAAATGATACTGTATACAAGAGAAACGTACGAAGGTAGCATATTCCTTAGTAAATCTTCCGACCGCTTCTTCTCGGCTCGAAGATTCTGCGTCCTCTCGGCAACTTGGTCCTCCAGATCTTCCGCATAATTGCTTAATTTCTTCAGAATAAAGTCTACAAAATTCCCTCCTTTTAACCGGAAATGCCTCTTAAACACTTCTTGAACTTGTGAAATTTTTGGTCGATCCGATGGAGATTCCGCCCAGCATTTTTGCATCAGGGAAATGATCTCCGGTCGGAAGGTGGATGCGTCTTCGGTCTCTCGCACAACCGGTCGGCACGGCACTTGTGCGCCGTGCTGGACAGATTCTATTACTTTCGCAGCAAACAGTCCGCCACTATCCGTGTCTTGCAGATCAAACGGGCGTGTAGCAAAAATAACTTCATGGATTATTATCCCGAAAGCGTACACATCGGATTCTTGTGTGAGCAAAGCACCAGCCGAGCGCAGAACTTCGGGAGCGGTCCAAAGCAATCGGTTGAACAAATGCTGATTAAGGGATTCCTTAACGTCCGTGGTCTGCTGCGATGGCCAGCCAAAGTCAGTTAATTTTATCGTTAACTGGTTGGTGACCATACAGTTCGGGCTTTTTAACGACCGGTGAGCTTTAACGCTTGAAGCGTGAATGTAAGAAAGACCCTGGGAATCATATGCCGAGGTTACCGGCAAACTTCGCACAAATTAGTTTTCATTCAAACCACTGACCTGGACAATATCAGTGAGGAAAGCGATTTTTAGCAGACTATCGAGAAATGATGTCCTGTAGTTGATGAGCTGATTTACGGACCCTTTTTGAAAATGTTCGGTTACGATGGCGAGCTCACTCTTCTCTAGTATCACGCCAATGAAATTTGCTATATTGGAGTGCTTGATCGATTTGCGCTGAAAAATGAAAATGACTGAGCCTATTTGATATTCCCAAAAGTATCTGTAAAGACCGTATGGCTGTAAGAGAAACCACGAACCTGGTTGGTGCATCTTATAAAGTCTGCCCATGAGCGTTGAGCTGATGTAAAAGCTGGACCGTCGATTACCCGGCACCATACCTTATTGTCGCGATACAAGCACACTTTGTGGCACGTTTCGTTTCCTTTCGCGGAGTACGAGATCTTGCAAGAAAATCAAATCTTGCGCTAATATTGTGGGTCATTATGAGACTTGCAGTGCTACAGTTAGCATGGAAGCGATTAAAGCAGCAGAAGAAGGAACCTTACTCGTGGCATGTCCGACGACATAGTTTTCATTGAAAACTGCCTTTTGACCTCCGTGGCAGGTATCAGCCAGTCAACACTATGCAGCCGCTGATATCTGAAATGTTGTTCAAAGGTTTTAGAATTTATGAAACGATCGCCATTTTGTCACGTTATTTGTCTGCTTGCCGTTTCAGCCGAAGAAATCCAGCAAGTGCTAACAGCAAAACCACCGAACACGACGAACACAAAGTCACAGCGGCAATGAGTAGAAGATTGGATCCTGTGAATTCACGACTATTACGTTTCTGTACGAAACAATTTGCCAGAAGCAGTGGTGCAGTTGGTAAACTTATCCAGAGCACCACTGAATCCTATGGCAGTTTACCGATTAGGCACTTTCGATCCTCGCCGGTATAGCCACACTTTGGACGATTCCGTGGAAGTGTCCCATTCAGTGGCCAGCTGTCATTCATAATTTTGAACAAACGCCCCGCACTTCTGTTCAGCTTCAGAAACACCTACGATTTACAAATAACGTAATACTGCTTTTAACCAGCTGGTTCGCTGTTTAGCCGATAAACACCCGATTCCTGCGCTGCTGTTTCCGCTAATTGCTCATCACATAACCACCTGGAAGTCTTCGCTTTCGTCCACGATGCCTTTTATCCCGTACTCATTGTCTAAGTCGCCGTTGGCGTTGATGCGGTATCTGCCCAGTTCCGTATCGTAAGTGCGGTTCCACATGGCTCTTCTCAAGTCGGTACCGAGGATCGGGTTAACGCGATTCAGAAAATTGTCACTGACCAGCGTCTGTCACGAATCAGGATACATGTATTTAATGACCACAATATGCTTTAGAAGTTAAATTGCAACAGTAAAATGCGTTTCAAAAACTACCTGCGCCAAAACTTGGATCCCAAGATAGTAACTGCTGGCATACATCGTGACCTTGAGTTAGTGCAAAACAACATGATTGTAAAAATAGGTTCATACATAACAACATGACTATAATAAGTAGAGCAACCAATCGGTCAATACCGGTGATAGACTAAGCTTTATTGCACCGCAGGAGAAAAAGCAATCAATGGTAACGTCGTACGCGTTGATATTATTTCATGTACACGACGTACCTCTTCATCCCAGTCATATTTCAAACCATACGATTCCAATGTTCGGTTCTTAATTCTCTCATTTAAATTATTAGCTGCCGGATTTTTATTCGTTGGACAGGACACAAACAGCAGGTAGCGGTAAATAATGCGAACAATCTGATGCGGAAAAATTAGAATGCGTAATTTAAATAATTTAGGATAAGAGGCGATCCCAATAGTAATTCAGGCAATTTACTTCGTCATCTGGGTCGCCAAACCTCCATGTCGCTCTCCCGATAAACGGTGACGCAAAAGGAAGCACAGCAACGAACGCCTGTCAATAATAAATCTGTCAATATTCCGGCAATAATGCCGTGCAGACCATTAGATTAAAATTTAGTATCGAGAGTGGCATAGCAATTATTGTACTAGAAAAGTACTTGCATATTCTCCGTTGGCAAATCCTAATCGGTGAGCAGCAAGCTAAAAAAATTGATTTTCCTGCGTTTATTGAAGCTATATGTTGGTGCTTAGGTATTATAATGCTTGGCTTTTGTTAAATACTCGTACATACCAGAAGTTTGCGTAATCGAGAAGCGTGTGTGCTGATGAAGAAAACTGCAACAACAAACCGTCGCTTAAAAACACTTTGACGGTGATGGAAATTTCCTGGTATACAACCTTCAAAAAAATGCTGCAAAGTAAGGAGGGAGTTCATACGGGAAATATAAATGGACAACAGTTCATCAAGCCAAGATGCTTCCTTAAGTAAAAACCGGATGCCGGGTTCCCGGTACAATGCTGGCCGATAGGCATACACTTTCCAATAATCACTTCAGTAAAAATCTTAGCATTGTAAAGTTTGAAGTATTGCTTACTGCGGCTTTTCGCCGATGCTTCCAAGAGGTATCTCCGGTAATCGGGATTGATTTTAAAGTTGTACTTCAGAAGAGTCATTGAAAACGGGGCTCTGATGAGAACTGTCGGTAAAAGTTTGCAAATCAGGAGAAAAGTGGCGAATTCTGTGGCGCCATCGTCGCAGATCATAGCAACGTTGGTCCAGTTGTAATAAAGAAACAGGCCGATAACCGAATCTATTAGGCCTTGTTGTTGATACGGAGCCAAACGGAAAAGTGTCGAAAATCGGATTTTATTGTCCATAACACTATCCGTACCACCGCTGGTAGCGTAAAAAAACAAGCAACAAGATTATTTTAATTCGCTTTGGGAGCAACCTTCTTCGGCGTTATCGATGTCAGGATAAGTCAACATCAATTTATTACGCTGACGTATGAGAATGTTTGGCTATGTATTGCACCTGCGGCTGCATTCAGTTACTTACGATGTTATAACGGGAACATTCCATTCTGAAAAAAAGGTACCATACGTTATCGAATTATTGAATATTAGGAAAACTTAATGAAAGATCCTCTGGACGAAGATGTCAGAAAGTTTCACCTCGTCCGATATCTCCCAGCTGTGTTACGGGGTCACTGCAAGCTGAAAATAACGTATGGCTTATAAGATGCAACATTTATCAAATATTATAAAACTAAATACCATGAATAAGATAAACAGCCGATCTACAGTTAATGAACAGTTTAGTTCAGTTCACAGTCTACGTAGTTACTTTACCTGGTGCCAGCAAGACAAAAAGATCCTTGTCCGACCGTTTCCAAGGTTTAGTGAAAAATAATTGGACGCATATGGAATGACATCCACCACTACGTCTGCACATGTTTTAAGATTGGTCTTATTCCAGCTGATTAGCGTAAAGGTTAAATTAAGCCTGCGATATTGCATATTCATATCCTCCACGGCTAAATCGATGGGAGCGCCTACATAGTCAAGGCTGGACGGAAGAGAAGTGGCAGATTGTTGGGACAAGAGAAGGACATTGCGTTGCAAAGATGGAGCGAAAGAAATTAAAAGAATTAGCGAAATAGCTATCAAGGCCATAGTAGTGTCGACAAAAAACAAGAGATGTAGAAAAATAGTGCACCTGTAACCAGTTTGATCTTGTTTTGAAGTGAAACAACAAACCCTTTAATATGATGCACCACTTGCGCGTCATCTTGATTCAGAAAACGATAGATTTTCGATGGCATGTTTAACTTGATCACATCCACTGGTGGCATTCAACGTTCCCGATCAAGATGGTCTCATGTATGTACATTTCGAATGTACATGAAAATGGCTTAACGCACCGAGCACAAATTATTGACAACGCAAAAGGCATTCTAGATGCACTTATAATACTGTGCGCACTGGAAAATGACGTCGAGGTCCATTTAAAAACTGCAGCAATAAACAATCCCGGGACAGATCAATTATGAATTACATATTACAAGAGCTTTTAATGGTGCTGCGGAAAGCTAGTGCGGTTTAAGTGGGGCAGTGGAAATATTAATTAAAAGCACGTGATTGTAACGACCTGTAAAGTAATGGTCAGCAGTGTTTTATTAAAGCAAACGATCTGGACAAGGAGAATCCCGAAACGGGTTTCCTTAAATTTTAGCACAACCATAGTGATGCGATAAAGTTAGGTCTCATCTGTCTCTTTATATTGTGATGGCAAAGCTTCAAGAAAGCATACTATACAGCCCAAAATAAAAGCATTCTACAATCTGCAACCCAAAATCGAATAATTTTGCATCTGAATCAAGGCTTGGCTCACCGTGAAGTTTTCACAAGTCAAAGTGTTAGTTGGTCAGTTAAACTGTAACCTTGCAGCACCCACTAAATTAAATTGGGTTAGATTCTGTTTCATAAGAATGCACTTCCTTGTTATGCGAGGCAGTAGTTGCTTCCGACACTTTAATTCACACAACCGGCTTCCGTTCCGCCAGTCTAACATGCACACTTCTGACAGCATTGACATTTACCGGCACCTTGCGTCTTCGACTTCCTACCAACGCAAACCCCACCGCACGGCTGTTAGTGTTTGCCACCTTCCCGCGGCACAAACCGGCATCCGTACACAACTTGGGCGCCGTCGTGGACGAGACAAGCTCCACGGCGGAATTGGCCGCTGCACTCAAGGTCACGCCCGTTCCCACAGCAAAAATCTGCGCCTGACTGTTCCCGTTGACCGCCGCTGCTGTTGGTTACGCTGCTTTCGGTGCGGGTTATTTCACCGGATTCCGCATCGCCATTGGTGTTGGTATTGGCGGATGCCTGTACGGAAGTACTGGCTGGGTGTTTGATGGAGCTGGCGGAACCGTAGGTGGAGCCGAAAATGGAGAAACCGCCCGTCCCGTTGGCAGTGTTCTGTGACTGGCCGCTGTTCTGGAATATGTATTGATTGTTTGCATTGTTTAAAGTGGAAGCGCTCTGAGCGTTGAGGAATACGGTGCCGTCCGATGTCGATCCGGAACCATCTGCTGCGCTATGTGCTCCACCTGGAAAATCGTAAGCCGGTTACTGTGTATCTCTCGTACGTACTTCAGCCGCTTTAATTACAGCTATATCATCATTCTTGGTTTAAATTACTGTTGATCATAGCATAAGTTATGCCAACAAGATATGATACATTATTGTCCGGGAGCACGAATAAGCAGTGACAAAGTGTTTCGCTTTTAATGTCACGTAATTTATGTAACGACTAACGAGCAAGTGCATAATATAAAATTTGGTACATGAAAGTGTATACAGTATCTACAATCTTGTAATTTAGTGCACCGTGCCATTGTTATTGCTCTGCTGTGTTGCAACATTTTTTTGCATTTATTTCCTCGTCAGTGGATTGCAAGTTTTAATTGGCACATATTGATGTGAATGCTGAATGTAACCATGAATTTATCAATTACCAGAAGATGCTATGGAAGTCCGGACATTTTCGTTTAATGATTTCAAACCATTTTTTTATTATAATTAGCAAAAAAATATGGCTGCTCCAGTCAACAACTGAACAAAGATTTCCATATTTTGCATGTTCAAAACCTGCGTTAAAGAACCCAAGATCTGCTATAAATAACCGGTATAAATAAACCAGAAAAATATAGCGATTCGCCAAAGAATTTCCCTAAAATACGTGGTTTATTTGCACCTTATCACAGCACCGACCATGTCTGGACACCCATCTGGTAGATCAACAGGAACGGGGATCACATTTTTGAGGAATTAAATTGTTTATGCCAACTGGTCATGCTACACAAAATAGCTCGATAGGATTATTTAACGCAATACTCGTACTGATGTTGTAAGAATAATTGTGTTAGGTAGGCAAAGAGAAGTGTTTTTGTTATAAATTTGTTTTAGTACTCAGATTGTATTTAAGTGCGACGGTAACTGTTATTAAAGTGCTCAGAACAAATTACAGCTATCAAATACAACCATGCTTCAGCTTTCGATCAAAAAAAGAAATGCTTTAAAGCACCGATTTCAGAACTGTTTGGAGCCAGTGATCATTCTACTCATACATAAAACGCATTGCTACGCTTAATATGCGTAATGTATTTCATACGCATTTGGACTGACGACCACAATATGTTTACACACGTCCTTTTGTAGGTCAAATTTTGCGCATCTTGTATTGTTCACAACAGAACGTTATTTACTGTATTCACCCCAGTTTTTTAAAACACTGATATCGCTACATAGAATATCTATATGACAGGAAAGCTTTTTAGTAATGCGTAGTTGCGTAGAAATTACGGTCTAAGAGCACATAGTTAAGGCATTAGTATTGCGTTGATCGATCTCACTTATAAAAGTTATAATATGATTTAGTTACTGTAAGCCTGTAACCAATTATTCGTATATATATTGTTGCATATCTTTGCAGCAGTTTCAAAAGTCTCTGGCGCCCGTACGGATGGTAGTCACCGGACTGGACGGTGCCGACCTTAATTTCTTTCCAGTTAAGCTAGTTCCAGATAGATTTGGTAATGCTCTGCTGTTAAACCAACAAGTTGTTGTCTGCAATATACCTAATCATCAATCTGCGTAAATACGAGTATAAGCAATAATAATAAGCCAAAAGTTTCAAGCAACGATTCAAACAGTATATGTACAAACTACAGACTACAGAGTGTATCATTCTGTGTACTTAACCTTAATAATTACTGGTACACCACCACGAGTGTGCGCAGGCAGTGCTGATTGATTCTATCATTTCTATGCATAGATGGACGAAGCATACCTATCAGTCCGCAAACCAGTATAACAATGACGCTGCTTCGCCAATCTTTGTGGGGAAATACGGAGATTTATTTTTATTGTATTTACATGTATTTTCGTTCAAGTTTCGTGTTGCCTATACTATGGACGCTATTCGTCCATTTTTAATACTGGCTATACTAATATGCCAATACTGGTCAGCGGAATGCTCACCCTTGTCAACAACAACAGCGGACAGAAACCACCGAACAACAAATCGATCATTACCCCACCTGTACAGCAATCCAAATATGCGGTCTGACGTCGACGTATGCATCGCCGAAATGCAGGACGAATGGACATGCTCGTGCAGCTCATCCGAATCCAACTGTTGTTGCTGTTGGGCTATGGTGATCGATGAATACGATCTGCACAGTGAGGACGGCATGACATCACAACAGTTTCTCAACGCCGCACTGGACTTTCATAATCGACAAAACTGTCGTCCGCTGCAAGCAGGACTATCGGACAACGAAATCCAGTTTTACCAAGAACATATTCAAGCTTTTTTTACAGTACCGTCAGCATCTGCCCAAGTAGCTATCGATTCCAATCCACTTCTGCCAAATCAGTTTTGGAGCGGTGTTATGGAAACAATGGTCCGCTCCCGGTCCCGCTGGTCAGAATCCCGCATCAGCGATTTAACAGTAAAACAAACGACCATGTTTGTGCACCAGGTTGTCGAGAAACAACGGTGTGACATTTTAGCGGCAGACGGAATAGCCTCTTTTCCTGTGTACAAAGCCATTAATAATTTACCGAACAACATATCGGTAATTGCTAATGATTGTGGTCTTTTGTCAAAGGAGGATTCCGTCTGTGTTAGAGTAGATGAGACCGCTCTGGAGGAAATGTGCCGCCAAGATACAACTTTGTCCTCATGGTACTGGATACAGATCCTCAGTCCAAAATATCTCGACCACACAAGCTTTGCTGCAAACATACAAATCGACGCCGTAGACATTGAATCCATCATTCGAATTGTTCGAGTGTTCGGCTGGGTCGTTGGCCTGTTATCCCCTTTTGCCAATTTTACTGGCATTTCCAATGAATATTTCTTAACAGCCGAGTTTTCACCTTTTGCACCGGTGGGTTGTCAATTAGGCTAAGCGATTCCATGTTTAGCTTAAAAGTGGTTTTGCTGATGTTTTGCAGGTCAAGGACAAATCTGACGCTAGCCATTTCATGTGCATCATGTTGCCGCGGGGCGAAAGTCACTGGAGTGATCGACACTGTCAGCAACCGGCAGACATAGATGCTCAGAACCGGGTCACATGTCGCTGTCGAAACTTTGGAATGCTGACGTTTATCGAAGCACGCATCAGCACAACAACAACACTGTCTTCGACAACAGGGAGTTTCAGTACTCTGCTGGAGGATGCAACCACCACTGTTATTACAGAGGCATCCAGCTCACCAAACTGGGAAGGAGCTACCAACGCCACAACAACCACAACAGAAGCGCAATCTATAGCATCAGATTTCTCAACAACAGTTCTTTCGCTCGAGACAGACATGGATACGACTAGTTCCAACACAACCGCTGCCCTTTCTTTAACACCGTATACAAGTGGCCCCTCGAGCACGAATCTCCCAGCTAATGTCACTGGACTATCGTTAGATAATGCAACAGAAGCAGACTTGACAGCTTTGACTGCAACAGATATCGCAACAACGGATTTTTCAACTGGGATAGACGATGATACGACCATTTCCGATACAACCGCAACAGTTGTTTCAACGACCGATACAACTATTCCATCAGACACAAATTTTGCAGTCACTGAAACCGAACCGCCGCTAGGTAATATAACAGAACCGGAATCCACAACTTTAACCACAACAGATTTCGGAACAACTGACCTCTCGCCTAATATCGACACTGCCGCCACGGTTCCCAATACCACCGTAACATTTTCTTCCACGCTGTCTACAAACGATGATCTGAGCACTGATTCCGCAGCTACCGTCACCGGAACCCCAGATTTCTTTGATTTTGGAACAAATAGTACCGACACTTTCTATCAGACGGATTCGCTGACAGAGACCACGGTCTCTATTATACACCTTAACCTCACCAGCGAATTTACCGCAGTACACCTAACTGAAAGTGTTAACACCACGGTTTCCGTATTCAACAGCCCTCCAAGCACGACACCGCTCCCCGACAATCCATCCGACATCCTGGATTATTACGCTAACACTACCAACATCCAGAATCCGGAAGATTGGAGTCGAGCTTTGAATGCCACTTTAGACGCAGTTAACACTTTATCGCAGGGCTCTCAAATGAGGTTTCACGATGTGGAAAGGTCTATCGAGATCGTGAACACTTATGTGCAAAGACGGCGCAGCAGCAACAGCAACAGTTCCGAGAACTGTCAACGACCTTCCATAGCACCGGAAATACATTTTAATGCAACTTCGGAAACACTTACTTGTTCGCTAATTGAAGATGACTTTCGGATCGATGCCGCTCATGCCGTGGTTAAAATTTGTGACCGATTACTTCATTCCAAAAACAGCCCTCCGGATTCTGTTCAGAGCGGAAATGATGCCGCTGTGCTGCTTTTGGACACGTTGGAAAATCTGTATCTAACGATGCCACCAAGTGAACACCCGTTGGAAATTAATTTCGGAAAAATATCCTTGTGCTTAAATATATTCAAAGTGAATTCTACCAGCAACTTTCAATCGATTTCTGAAAAGCTGAAAACAGTGGCAACCGTCCATCCTGTTGGGTCAAATCAAATAAAAAGTGCCGATTTCTCTCGCCGAACTACCAACAGCACTTTTACTTCGCTTCTGCAGCTAAACGATGCCGTGCTGCAGAAGGAATTTGAGACTCTTGGTAAGTTGCTGAGGTCAGATAAAAAGATTGCAGTCATGACTGAATTAAACCTATAGCTCCAATGGTTTTTAGTCGCACCCATTCCACCGAGTGAGAACCGAATTTTCGCCTTTCAGTTGTTGGCGCTACCGAATCCTTCTTTTGCAAGATTCAAACATCCGTCTGAAATGCCGGTGCGCAACGGCCGACGAAGTGGATTGGTGCTAGTTTCGGCGTCTATGCGAAACGTCAGCGGGCCGTACAAGGACATGGTAACAATTACGCACAAAGCGGACAGTCTTTTTCAGGTAGCTTTACTTTTTGAGACTCTTTAGTACTCTAGATGCAATGTGGGAATGTCGCCAGAATGCTTATAATTTGGAAAGCTTCTAGGGTCGTTTAACTGGTCGGAGTGCACATCACTGTGTATTTCTGGATTACTCGGTTGAAGGTGAAGAGACTACTTCCATGTGGTCGACTGAAGGCTGCCATCTTATGCGGAAGAGTGCAACATGGAGCGAAGGGACAACCGCTGAATGTGTATGCGATCATCTTACCCCGTTTACCATGCTTCTTGATTTGTGTGGTAGTCTCCTCAGCGAGGACGATGCGGATGACGAGCCTATGTATTTAACCCTGGAACCGGCGATTGTAACCCTGTGCAGTTTAATTGTGTCAATTATATGTTGCTTCTTCATTGCTTGCCATCTACTGTAAGTGAGCCGCTTCAATTCGAAGTAACTGCGAGAGGTATTTAGCGAGATATTTCTTCGATAGATGGGCCGTATGGAATAACGTCATTGGATTCACTCCCAGAAAATTCACTCGACTAAATTTTGTAGTCGGCATTTGTCTGGCCCATATGTCGTTTCTCTTGAGCCATACCGCAATGGAACGTGACGACGAAATTGGCTGCTTATTAGTGGCGATTGTATCGCACTGGCTTATGCTGGTGGTGTTTGCCTGGATGGGAATTGAAGGGTACTGGATGATCTTGCCAGTGTTTAAATTTTGGACGGCAATATACGAGAACACACGGGTGCCCGGTGATACATATGGAGGCGTTCGGTGGAAGGTGTGGTGCATTGCTTGGTGTAAGCTGTCTAAAGGTCGGGACTCGGTTCCGTCTCCTTCGGTGCACTTTAATCGTTTTCTGGTTTGTAGTGCTTCCATTTTCTTTTCCGTTCTTCGGGATCCTCAGTCACATCCCATTCGAGGCTATGAAGCAAGCGTTTGATGGCCATGCTTATGCAGTGGAAGAACGATGGTTAGTGTATCCTAAATCCGTACAATTCCGAGGCAAAAATTGCAACAGTTATAAATGACCTACGATCTGCAACTTGCAGTCATCTAATTAGAACAATATACTTGCCGGGAACCTATGATAATCAAAGTTCGTATCTTATATAGTATGTTTTATTATTTAATACCTAAGGGTATCTTCAAGTGTAGGTGTTGGCTTGATCATGAGCACACCGCTTTCGTGGCTTGGACCTTCCTTGGACCGGTTACCATAATTTGTGTCAGCAACATTGTGCTGTACATTTTGTACTTGCGTCGTAAGTTCATTGCTTTTATGTACGAATGTTTCCCGGTATAAAGCCTCTTAAGTATAAATAAGTAATGTTGATCATTAATTTGCAGATACTTTACAAAATGAGAAAGAACTGCAGCCCTCACGAAGAGATGGACCTAAGCGGTTTAAGATAATCAGTCTGATATGTACCAGCGGATTACTTGGTGGCACGTGGCTTTTGGGATACTTCCTGCTTTTCGTATGCGATATGAGCGACAACGTCAAAATGGCTCTGGGATGCGTGTACATCGTACTGAGTGCTGCACAAGGAGTTTTCATTGTGGTGGTGCACCTCAGGGAAATGAACGTACGAAGCACGGCTGGACTTGCCAAGAAACGTTTACGTATCTTCCGAAGAGGTACATTATAGTAGCTACTGATACTTCGTATGGATACACTTCGTCCCATATTTTTCAAGTGTTTACTATTCAGTTATCCTTGTTGATTCCTGCGTCGCGAAATGCACATGATTTCTTTTTAGGACAAAATAAAACAAGGGACTCGATCGCCGTACGATATTGGAGAGAGTTGACAACAACACCTGCCGTGTCCGGCGGACCTGGTCGATGGGCAGGTGCATTGGTTTTAACGGATGACAATACGAATGTCTCGTCCAGCATAAATGACGAAACATCCGAAGACACAACTTCCGAAGCTCTGACGATTTCGCGTATTGTTGAGGGAATTTCTGACGCTTAACGATACATTGCCACAAGAAAACCGAAAATCACTAATTTACCCCAAAATCGCCAATTTTACGATGCAGCGATTTTTATGCACTCTGCACATGGAAGCATGATACAATATGTTACACTTTATTCTTTTGAGAGTCGTTTTAGTCAATATCTGGAATTTTTCGGCAATGTTTTATTTTTTCACTGCTTCGCTTACGTACAGTTCAGTTGCCTAAGCAAAGGTAATCAAGAAATCTACAGTAATAATTTGATTGCATCCGAATTCAGCTACACCAGCTAATAACCTGCATAGTAGCTAATAACTGTGTCATTTTGGTGTAAATTAAAACAGGACTATGATTTGTAAAATAAATTAATATAATTTCCCAGCTCTGTCTCTGGATTGCTGAATGAGCTTCCACATTTGTCTATCTTAACCAGGCGGCAAGGACTGCGAGCAAAAAGAGCACACTGGACCCGTAGACACCTGAAAAGTGGAACTATACATAACTTTGTGGTACAAGCAGTTACGTGGTAGCTGGTAACCTGCCCAAATCACTTACGATTTCCGTGATTTCCGTCGCATTTTAATGCCTCTCCCGTCCATTTTCCTTCGGCTGAGCATACCAGAGTTGTACTGCCAGATATCTGAGAAATAGTATCGTTTCGGCAGGCTAACTGTACACTCTCGCCGCTGATAAATGAGGAGTTGGATGCGATGACCACCGATTCATCCAGGGCAGGGTAGCCGCAACTGGTTACTACTCGTAGACAAACGTAAACCCGTATGAGAAAGTAGCAGCATAAGATGCGATCGTGTACATTGTAAATAACGCTGCAGTGTTTAAATTACCAACGGTGATGGAGGTGTTGAAGTCCTCTTCCACAATTGTCATGAACGTCTTTGTCGTTTGACCCATACGCAACAAGCCGGTAGCCGCGACATCGAACATGCACTCTGCATTTGCACCGCAGAGATTTTCTGCTTCCCGTTTGAGCGTTGCGTTTTCAATTTCGGGTGCAGCAAATAACGGGCGAAATAAAACGTCGTTGACGGACTCGTACGTCTCCGGCACTTGGTACTGGAACAGTGATTCGGCTTTCTGTATCCGCCCTGCAAGTTTAAATTGATTATGCTGAATAGTAAGGGTAGTAAAGAATTTGGTAAAGTCGTAGATGCTTTGCATATGCAGTACATGATTCTCCAAATGTGAAAATCTCTTCGGCGGTAGGAGTTTGAGGAATCGCCACAGTCTGGCCGCGAGGTATAAGGTCGTCCGCTGTATCGTCATTCCAGCGGCCGAGTAACCCAGCGCTTTGTGCGTTTTTGTAGGTGCTCGGCAAGGAAACTTGGAACTGAACGACCAAGTCAACTTCCTCGATCTCCACTAGAATTCCCAGTGCCAACTGAGCACTGACTTTTTTAAGCGCGGACGTATTCAGGCGATCCAGGTGTATTATGGAATCTAGACGGTTACGGCAATGATATAGGTAGGTACTTTATTTTGATACACTTTAGCTCACCTACACTTGTTGAAATTTTACGTACCGTCTAGAATAATCAGCGTCGAAACAGCATCCAGATCAATGTTTTCGCGGTTTAAGTACAAGTTCAGTCCTTCTCCTCGCGAACTGATACTAGCCTGAATGGTCGTGTTGCCAACGCGAAGCGCTAAACCTGACCACACTGTGGCCATTAATTCTGCTCCTACAGGAAAGCATTTTAATACCATGATCGCAGGATAGAAGACTGCCGGCTTCCAGGTTTGTTCAGTTACCTTGTTCGGATTTCGCTTTGGCTGTGCGACCTTGCACGGTTATCACGTTAGGGATCTCCAACAAAACGTATTCGCCCAATCCGTTGAAAGTGTAGCGGAAGCCATCGTAGGTCTGAATGTGCGGATCTCCGAAACCGACGGCTACAGACAAAACAAGCAATTGCCTTAATACTGCTCGCGGTATAACTGAAAATCTCGTTTCACGCGTGACTCAAGCGACTAGAAAATGCCACGTACCACTAAGCTTACACCACAACTTACTCTTACCAGAAGTTACCACTCGTGCCAACTCTAATGAGTGAAGCAAAAAATGTATATAGGAATCCCGGCACTTGGAAAAACTGTCACTTCTGTCGCTCGATATTTAAATTCTTTTGACCGGTTTTGCCATATACGTAATATTTAGGTTATTCGTATCAGGATGACAAGTAGTGTTATTACCTGGTCGTGGCGGCTCATAGCATCGTGATGAACCACCTTTCCTGACATCTCGGAACAAACGGCAGCTATCGCTATTCCAGTTGGCGTTGTTGCAACACTTTTTCAGCGGAAGTCTATCCGTAATAGCCTCCTCCAGCCTCTGCGCCATCCAGACTAAACCGGAACTAACGTCATCGACCTCCCGATCTTGGACAAGCAGCTTCACCCGCCCGCCGCCCGGGTGCATGTTAGCCAGAATGAGGTTAGCATTGTCAGCATAACAACACTGCTGCTGATACTTCCGCGATACAGTGGGGGCCACAACGCATAGAACGGAGGCCGGGTTCTCGGCACAAAAACTAGTGGGCCACAAAGTACTATCCGCTGTTTGAATACGGTTACAGGCGCTGATGCTGGTTAGGGGGTTCTCTACGGAAAACCGGGCACGGTCCAAGCGAGCCTGGTTGGCATTCGCTGGGCACGCTGGGAAGTCAGCGCAATCCGAAGAGTTGTATCTGCAAAAAGAGCACAAACGCTACCATTTCTACCCAAATCGACATAACTTCTTAAACACATTGTTACTGACAATTAAAGGGATCTAATTTTTTATGGAAACAAGTATACCCTATCAGGTCGTATGGCGACCTTTACCTCAACGTCCACCGTTCGGCATCCGCCCAGCATCGACAAAAATCAGTATCAGCTGTACATTTCAGAATGGAGTCAATCAGTACATGGCGTTCAGGAAACCCTGACAAATATTTGCTCCATTGATCTTGGCTGAGTAGTGTTTGGGAACCTTTGTAAAAAGTCAGTGCCTGAAGTGCACGTCGGCCAAACAGCGGCTGCAGTGGTCGGCGAACGGTATAAGATAGGATCATTCCATATTCAGTGTGTTCATAATCATCATTGTTCCGACTGGACTGCTGGGGCAGTCGTTGAAGAAAATCTATATCGAACATCGGCGTCCAGAGGGATACCGGAAGCGACTGGTTCCCATGCGTAATGCCGGTGCTGTTCACCAGCGCGTTACGAACAGTGTCTTTCATAATACGAAGAGATCCTCGCAAAAAGATGTAACGTTCGTTCGGGAACTCTGGCTGAAAGAGGTTGATGGACGTTTTCAGTGTGATGTCCATTCGGCCCGTATTGATGACTGATGGGACAAGGGGAATCACCATAGTGCGGACATGCTGCGTTACATCAGAACCACTGCAATTAATCAGTCGTTTGATTGCAGAATGAAGGACCGCCAGAGTTCATTGTTTCTGTATATGTTTCTGGACGAATTTGGCTAACATAATTCATATATCTGGCAGTAAAGGCCGCTTATCAGGTCAAGTAAACCGTTAATTCCAAATTTTATGTGTTCCCTTATCGCATTAATTTATTCTCATCAAATCATTGGCTTATCTTTAGACATGTACCTTAGATACCATCCCACCAAATCAACCGCAACCTTGGAGTTGTTTTTTAGAACTACTAAATCGGCATCAATATCGTACGGATTCCACTGAAATCGCAACTTTACTTCCGGCAGCGACTCCCATAAATGCTGGTCGATAAGCCTGGCAGAGTACGTTGTCGAATCTGCATGTATTATAGTATAATTATTTCAGATTACTATGTTATGGCACTTATGGCCGCCCGGTACATATTTGCTTAACAGGTTTCAGCGGTGCGATCGACATAAAAGCAAGTGATATTAATTCTCTGAACACTAAATACTAACATAGAAACGGAAGATAGGTAGCTGTAAGCAGAAGCCTGCAGTTTTTTCTTACCAAATGTATACGTGGATGCATAAGGAAAGGTCATCCCATTGTCCACCGAGATGCGTAGAGCCACTACGCCGATCTCACCCGGTGTGGGAGCCACACACCGCACGGATGTCGGACCATGTTGCTGGCCGGGAAGGCGATCACCGCCAAATTGACAAATAATTTGATTGATGGGTGTGCCAGCATCAAAGCACACTCCGCTGACGATGACTTCGTTGCCACCCAGAACGGAACCGTATTTTGGACTAACGGAAATCGCATGGCTGTCTATAGAAGGTGACAAAACAATCAACACTTTTTGCCAACTCATGCCAGCGCATTCGCCGTTGCCTTACTGGATGGATCGCTGCAGTCCACGCCGGTGATGGTGTTGGCATCGAGCCGAAAAATCCAGCGGCCCGGGACGCCGGTATTGGATTCCGTCACAACCTTTCCCAAGTTTGCTGTTCCGGAGCCGTTGAGTTCTTTGTAATACAGGCCATCGAATCGATTAAAGCCAGCTAGAAATTAGCCAGATTTGAGTGGCTTCTTGCTGATATGGCAACCAATAGTTGGGTACCCATCGGTAGGAAAAAGGGATTTTCAAACGTTGTTTTTACCAATCGCGTATTTGTCGTTATGCGAGATCCACTCAAGTTTGTCATAGTTGAAAATTGAAAAGGAATAGCGTCCATCGGTTGCCAGTATGATTTGGAACGTATTGGCTGGATATTCCTAGATATAGCGGTTGTCATTCATGTAATGGAGAAAGGTTGTTATCACTTACCGGAGGACATCTCGTACTAAATCGAACGACACGGGAAAACGTAAGGATAAACGCCCACTGCGCACGGAACGATCGGAAACTTGCGTCGTACTCTCTGCAAAACGTTTTGATGAGCTAAATCTTGAAGTGTAATCTGCTCGTACGTTATTGGCGTTTGTATTACTCTCTACCGTATTTGATTTGACAATGCTAGAAGCAGATCTGAATTCTGGTTGGCTATTTCGCGATAGAAGACGTTGTTGTTTAAATCGCCTCCTGGAAGAGTGTTGCAGTCGTGGCGAGGATCAATGTCGGACCAGAATGCGGACAGCAGCGAACTGTCGTTCATGGGAAAACTGGTCGGTGTGAACGCTGTAAAGGGCTGATTAAAGCTGATGTAGCCATTCGTTCCTAACTACAACCACAGTCAACCTTTGATTTTGCTGTAGAACATTAAATTTTCCTCTTGAAAAATCCGCTAAAATGTGCATCTGCCTACGTATAACTGGCTGTAGCTGTGCTCCAAAAAGACAAACGGATGAGAAATGGCAAGTCCCAGGGAAATGTCATCGGCTTTCTCTAGGAGACGGTCACCAACGGCCGTGCCGTACGGCTGTAATGGAGCAGCATGAGAATATGTAAGAGCTATAAGCAATACGTATAAGGCGTATATGGAGATCGCCATTTTTGAATCTACTTGAAACTGATTTATGAAAATAATAGACTAACTGGCCGAGCAATGTTTTTAAGGTGCGATAAGGATAGCGTCTGCCGCAGTATAGTGACTGATTCATGCCTGCTTATCAAATTAACAAAAGGCAAAAACAGTTGTACCGATAATGTCTGCATGAAGAGTTACAAAGCTTTCGGGTGTAAGACGTTAATATGCATGCTCCAGATATACTGTAACATCTTTCGCACAATGCTGAGATTTGAACGCGAAATCAGCTCTGACTCAGGGACAGTATTAGATAACAACTTCCGTATACCTGCAATTGTTCTCCACGATAAGCGTTTTGACTTTGCCAGTATTGTACCCAATTGTTATTAACTTACTACAGAGTCTGTATTATTATTTTACCAGTTAAATATCTTGCAGAGGTGACTCATTTTCGACTTCGCGATATGATGAGGGCAATTACATGTAATACGATTGCTTCGACTGACGTTAGTAACTTACCATTAGTACTATTAAAGTTGTTACCGAACATTTTACATTTATTTATAAATAATGGCAAAAAGCAGTTTTTATAAATGCCGTGCTGACCTTACGGTGAAAAAAGCCCCCTAAACATACGCAAACTCAATATACGGTCGTCGTGAAAGGTTGGTTTTTGTGTTTGTATCGGTAGTGCCGTAATCTCACGATGTTCAATTTATAGCAGGCAATTGCATGGCCAATATAGCCGACAAAGAAGGGTAATACTAATGAATACTAATGAACAACCCGGAGGTCAAAAAAGACGTACGCCGTAAATTTGTCTCACCCAGTTTTTTTTATATCCGACCAGCGATTACCCCGACTAATAAATCTGTGCAGAAAACGGGGAAAATTCGGGTGTGCAAAATTTTAATTTAAAATTTTGGGCCGGATACATGGTCGGCGTACGAATGGAGCCGGGCATTTTGGTCAGTATATGCAGCGGGGGTTCATAGTTCGATTTAGTTATGTGCATCCGCATAAAGTAAAAAAAAACTCCGTGGACACACACCACTATTAAGCGAACGTTTATTTCGCCCTCTGGCAGACGCCTTAGTCGGATAACAATGTGCGTTTAGCTGTAATATGCATATTACATGTATGTTCTACGTAGTTTTTTTTGGATGAAAACAAGCAACGTTTTCATAATGGATATAATAGAACGGAGAATAAAACGATAGTATTAATTTTTTTGTACATATACAAAATATCAGTTTTCGCCTTTATCGGAGTATGACTGTATTGTAACTGTTGTGTCTGTATTGTACGTACATCCGTTAACCTCGATAATCCAGCTTGATGAGTGTCTTGGGTAATTACACTAACCACAGAAATACAATACCCTATTTAAAAAACATATACAGAAATACAGACGTACAGAATTATATATACAAAAAAACCGATATGCAATTCCTAATTTGATTTTTACTGCATTTTCTAAGGCTCTAAGGTGCACGTACTTAACGATGCGAAATCGAACAGTTTTTCACAATTACATATTATTACATCGCAGATATAGTACCATGTACGGTCTTTTTTTGCGGTTTATGAATGCTAGCTACAATAATCAAGCCGGGTTTAGTTTATTCGCATCGCACACGTACAGATATATGATGACGAACAAGGTAATATTATATCGTTCAAAGTTGACCATTTTGGCTTATGCTGTCGTTGTTATTACTAGCACGTCATGTTGCTCCTGTGCATCGTTATCGGTAAAAGTACAGTAAAAGAATAAACTCTTTTTTTGTAGGAATGTTTTATTTGTGTACATAATTAGCTCATGCGCCACTACTACTTGTACTAATCATGTCCAAGATATAAAGTGACTTTTTGTTTATATAGTCCCGGCGGGTGAATGATTAGTTGCATCGTGATCAATATCCGCCGGTACGTACACGTGACCTATCCGTTGTCAACAAAACATTAATCTGTTCGGTGCAGGTACATGAACTCACATCTCGCGGAAATCATGCAACAAACCCAACAAAGTACGCGGAAAGATTGTTCGAGCTTGTGATACCACTCAGTACAACACTGCAATTAATACATTCGGAATTGTGACAACACAACAGTACTGTAGGTACAACAAGTAGGTAAAAGTACGAACACCCGCTTGATAGAAAAGTGCCGGTATTTCAATACCAACAGCAGCACATACGCCTCTGTAATCCGTACGTGTTGCTAATGTGAATGGAACAGCCGCAGCGACCGCCGGCACGGTTTGCAAGCAACACCAGCATAAAGAATGTGCCGATCGATAATGTGCGGTATCAATGCATATACATTTTGTTTAATATGGTCGAGTGAGAGAGCGATTTGTTTGACTCAGCATACACTGCTCATAGTACCAGAAAGCCTGCGTGGAACCTACGGAGAGACGCATTAACGAGTCGGAAAAATTATATTGATGCAGTTTTCGAGTTAAAGATGTCAACGCATTACCGTCGCGATGTTCAAGTGGAATTGTGTAATAAAGCGGAACGTTGGTGTAAATTCTCGTTAATCCATTTTTATCTGTCATGTTTCTCGAACAGCGGAGAAAACATCTTCGCACAACATCGGAAAACGCGCGAGGTTTGTTTGGGTTCCAAGGTCAGTATGACATTGCCAAGCAATCAGCGTTGCGCTGTGAGTCATCGGCAGTGTGTACGCGTGGAGCGCCCGGTGCGTGTGGGGATATCTTTATCGAGTGCGCACTGCCGCGCTACGGCTGCACCGCGCCAACAGCACCCGGCATCGGCTGGGCCCACACAGCCGGATCTTCCAGTTTGTTGACATCGAGCATGTGATGCATGGGTAATAACATAAGTATTCCAACACGCGCTGTGTCCTTGCCAGGTCAATGTCAGGGACATTGCTATACAGCTGTACTGTACACAGTATACGAGTGCGCGCATTACAGCTGTATCGGCATTTCCTATACGCGTTGCACACAGTAGTGCGGCGGCAATAATAGAATGTATGTGCTCAGCTTCCTTGTGCTGCTGCTGTTGCTGCATATGGCCCATTTGGAGTTTTGGCTCGCTTAGTTTTCTGTACAGGTTCTGGCACGTGAGCTGCGAGTGTTTTTTTTCGGCTAGTTTGACGAGTGCTGGTCCGAGTCATGTTCATGTGAATTTTGGTAAACACCACAATGTTTGACTGCACATTTCAACCTTGTACTGATTCCCGTGTTGCTGCGTGACTGTGTGTTATTTCCGACCGTACGTGCGCTACTTTTGTTTTTGTTTTATTATTAATCTTGGCAGTTTAATTAGTTTACTGAAAGAATAATTATACCGCAGCATATCTCTGAGCATTTCCGCTTCAGCATATTTTCCCGAATCAATGACAGCAGGCAGATAGCCAACGCATGTGTGGACGACGTGATAGTGATTTAGCAAATATTTTGTACCGGATGCCTTGAAGTACGATGTATTTAAATAATTATTTCGGAATTGTACTTATTGTACGTTCTTTATTGAAATGCCTCTACAAAAATGGGATGGCCAATATTTTGTACGGAAAATGTACAGAAAATTTTACGTGGATTTTTCTCCAGTTGTTAAGAGATTGTTTTGGTAAATACCCAATTGATTCATACGCATTATGTTGATGTTGTGTTGGCGGGCGATCGATGGACGACGACCTGGTGATGATAATTTCTGCTGTACGTGGCGGATGTTGTCTTGTACGCGTGTTTGCATGTGGCCATATTGAAATTTACCCAAGCGCCCGCGGACAATGAACCACCTATCGGTCCAATTTGCTTAAACCATTCATTTCCGTTCAGTTCAGCCAGTACATACCAATCTCATTTCCGTCCTAAAAATGGTTCCTTGTCCAAAGGAAAAAAAACCTCGGATGGAATGACACGTCTCTTTCGGATCAGCGCGGCTCGCTTCGACTACATCCTCCTCGATCAGCTGCACATCGCGATCGCTATGCTATGCCGATTGCATCATCGCATGTTGTGGTTGTATGTGCGCTTCCAATATATCGCTCTATCTGTTCTCGTGTTGCATGTGTGTGTATATATGCGGAGATTACACGGCACAGCTGCGTTGTGTTGTCGTTCTCTCATGTGGGGAAAGCGTTTTTTGCTGACATCAAGATGGCGGATGGACGTGGCGTTTTTTCTCCTGTGCTCACCCACGGAGATTTCGCGATACATCCCGATTATGATTTCCCCGAAAATTATTCTCTCCACCACCACCATCTCAGGGAATTCATTTTGTTACAGGAATAACTGCTTCCGATGACGTCATTCGCCAGTGCCAGCGTGTGACTGGGGTATTATGTGTGCTTCATGGAAATGTAAGTTCATCCAATCCCTGCCTGCCGTTTCCCTTTCTGTCTAACGCGCGTCATTTCCCGTTTAAGTGGATATTATACGTGCGTGTGCACCGCGGATATTTTTAATTTACATTACAAGTACACGATACGAGATTAATCCAACATTAATTTGATAACGTGGTGCTGTACAAAGATCAAGTGTAGTCATTATTTTATGAATGGATTTTATCTACATTACATTCTTGTGATTTGTAGTGTAAACACTATGTTGCAGCGTATGGGGCGGTCTGCCGTGGACAGTGGTGACTCTGGGTTTTACCGAAATCCCATCGGTTGCAGTCTCGCTTACCAGCTATGCGGTTTACACAGCGACAAATGAAATGTTGTAAATGCATTGTCTGGTATGTGAAACTCCATCGAAAGAACTTCGCGCTGGCGATCAGTCGGGGGAGGCAGCGGATGACTGTCTTCGACAGGGCAACGGTGAACTGACACAGTGCTCTCACGTGACATGCGCTGATTGGTGCTTACTGCGCTGCATTGGCGGAGCGTCATCTGCAAGGAGTGGATGGCATTCTATAAAAACGCCACTGCTCGCTGGTGAGTGCCGCCATTTCTTGTCGTTTTTGTACCCTTCCGTTTTTTAAACTGTGAGGTTTACACTTTAAGTGGTCTTATACAATACTGTGCCTCATACAGTCAATAATTTATTCAAATGCCATTGTCATAAATGTTTATACCTTGGAGGAGATTTCAACACGGACACCATGTGGTCGGATGTGACGTGCCGTGTCCGCAGCGGAACCGGGTGTGATGGAATGTTTCTTGGAGCGGATGGTTATCGATCGCGCGCGCGGTACATATAACAGGTAATGCTGAATCATAACCGACGCTTGTGTCGCGCTGGAGGGCCTTTTCTATTTTCCGCTCGTTAGGTCCGCTAATAAGGAAGCACCGCTTAATGGCTCACTGTGGTGTGTTGAAATAGACGTGCTGGATGTTTGACGTGATTTGTTTAATCCGTGATCTGTGGAGGACGACAGTTTAAGAAGGGAAAGTGCACCGCGGTGCAGCATGGCAGTGTAGCTAGCTGGTTGTGGGCTATATAAGTACAACTACTAGTCATGTCTGCCGTGCAGCTCGTGGTGGTCAGTCGTCCTGGTGTCCAGTATGATTATCTGTGTTGGGTTCGGTGCGCCTGTGTTTGTTTATCGGTTCCGCCGGGAAGGGGAGCGGTGTACAGGTAGCTCGCCATGATTGGCTCATGTTTCTGGGAATGCCGCTCACGCTGCACTTAGTCGAATATTCGTCAGCTGATGTGAGTCATCTATTGTATATTTTCAATGAAAAAGGGAACTGCTTGTGCTTGTTCTTCCATGAACGTTGCGATCGATAACTGCCTCCCCGATGACGATGGGGATTGGTGAGTAATCTGTCGATAGCTTAACATTAACAAGAAACTCCAATTAATCTTTGTCATCCCAAGTGTTCGGCTAATGGGTATAATTGTAGCGTCGATTTGAAACAACACATCTATTACTACTGAGTTACGGTTAACCCTATCATCCTAATACGTTTGTTTGCCAAGAAAGGACGCTGATTAAACGTTACGCGCACGCAATGAAAGGTGGGATCTTGTCGATTGAAGGAAAAGCGACGGGAAGTTCTTTACATTCGGCAGCACAAGCGAAGATTGATATCCGTCTAGTGCGGAAGTAACAGCTGTTCATTGGAACATTTTTGTAGTGATGTATATAGTCTTGGGTAAAAGAGACAACATGATCTCGCGAACCGGACATACTCAAATATCTATCGTTACACATTGGCTCGGCTAGCCTCGGCATGTTTTGAATAGATGCCTAAAGTACTTCTTTTACTGGTTGGTCTAATAAAAGCATTGCAGTGCTGTGCCCACTTATCGAAGGCAGACTGGACTCGGATTCTGCTGCAGCACAAAATAATGTAGTCGGAATGCATTAATGGCTTGCCCAAGTTCGACTACCGTGTTGCATTAACACTTACGTGTTGCATTAACATTCGCATCTTAAGTTCATGATGTATCAGATTTGATTAATCGTAAGACGTACTTTATCGCTGAGAATTATGGAATTTCATAATTCAAATTTCTCGAAGTGTATGTACATAATCTGTTTTTTACTGTACAGTGTACAGACTGCACTTCCGTACATGTACTTCATGTTGTATAAATTACTACCATTATAGCCAATCATGCGATGCTACATAAAGATTAACATTTCGCGATCTTTGCACCAAAAAAGCAGTTCGTCAGCGAAGGTGGTAAAATGCAGACCGATGTCCAAAACAAACATAAATATCATGCTGTAATAAAGCACGGTTTTTGGTGAAACAAGCTATCAGTACCAGCCTCAACGTAAAACTGAGCCACTTGAGCATACTTAAACTTGTACATCCACAGGAGTTCAGTTTCACAGACGCAGCCACGACCTCATGCTCCCCCAGATATTCGTTCTAAAGCATCCCACGACGATCATCCTCATGGTGGGAATTTTCAGAGTATAGACAATGGGATTGATGAGGCTATTTCCGTAGAACAAATACAAAGAGACGGTATACCATCGCAGCAACGAAAACGTATTCCCGTAAACCAACATGACCAAGCTGATAAGCGCACAAGGGAAATTCACAGCCAGGAAAACTGCGCATAACAGCATCATTGTTGTCCCTTGCTTGGTGGTTCGTCTATGGCTTTGTCGGTTCGTTCCACTTTTCTCTTTCTCATCCTTTACTTGGTGGGATTCTTCGAGGGCCATTACGATACGTTTCCTCCGCTGTCTTAACGTCATATAAACCAGCACATATATAATGACAACGACAACAGAAGGCAGTATGTTTTCTGTTAAAATCGCCAAGTCACCTAACCACTGTATTTGAAAGAACTCAGTCATGCACTGCCCCATAGGTGACAAACGCTGACCAGTAAAAAGATCCACAAACTGGATAGTACCGTAAAAACCAATGTTAACGACCCAGGTCAATACGATCTTCTGGATAACGTATCGTCCACTTTCTTCGGCGGCAAACTGTGCGCCGTGTGTAACCATTTTGTAGCGATGGCGAGCAATGAGCATCACGGTTGTTGCGGTCTCCGCAGAACATATCCAGTCGATGATCTTACATACGCGACAGAAGGCAAAAGGAGCTGGCCAGCATCCCAACAAATCCAGTGTAAGGCGAGTCGGCATGGAAAAGCTCCCGAGCAAAAGGTCACAAAAAGCGAGGTTTATGAAATAGAAATGTTGAGGAGTTTGAAGCTCTTTTCGCCGAATGAAGGTTAAAATGACGAAAACATTACACACTGCAGTAAGAATAGATTGCGGTATGCCAATTATTGCAATTACAATGATTTCGGGTTTAGCGAAGTAAAACACTGGATGGCTACAATACGCCGCATCAGAAACATTTGGATAATCAGTCCCATTCGTATCCATATTAAGAGCATCAGAAATAGATTTTCTACCAATTTTCACGTTCAATACGGGCACTGGTTAAAATAACAGTCAGGATTACAATGGACGACAAGTCGTACAAGGATTACAAGGATACGTTATACAACCTATTAGCAGAAGAGGCGCTTAAAGTTTCATCCGGTTAACGGAAGAAAAAACATCTTCACATCATGTCGTTTTGCGGCTATCTCAACCGTTACTTGCATTATTGCATTATCCACCTAAACAGTAAGGCACCATTTAAAAAGGAATAGGATACGACCACCGAAGTGCTACAGTTAAGCTCACAGATAAAGTGGAGGCACTGAGAGAAAGGATCTGACTGGATATTCTGGATCTGACTGACGCAGTGGGACGGTTTTAGCAAGTAGCATCTAGAGAAATGAGACATTAAGCCAGCTTTTGTAGCGTTGTAATCGCCAGGATCATGGTACTATTTGTGTTGTTTGACGGGAGTTGGAATATGCAAAAAGCTTCATTTCTCAGAGACGTCAGACATTTGTATTTGGTATTACACATCCAAGGTGCCATCAGAACCGGGATTACCTATGTACGTAGTTGACTTAGCTGACAACGCAGTTGGTATCATTGTTGAACGAAGGTTGCGCTGGTTCGGCATTGTAAAGTACGAGGTGCTAATAGTTGACTGCTTTGGGCTTCTGGGACACCTGACGTTTATCGGAGGATTGTAGAACCGTAATGAATCTGTAATAAAAGTACCTCCGCCAGATTCTCGCATCGATTTTCCTGTAATACACTACAGTGACTACACTGCACAGTGTGCACACTTTCAAACGTTAATAGCCGTTTTGTGACGTACTCGTATAACTATGGTTAAGGCAGTACATTTAGTTACTGTATATCAGGAAATAAATCAGACACGTCTGAATCGACTCCTGCTAAAACAGTTCTACAGGTGCAGAATAATATCTTTAACGTTAAATATAGAAGTATAATTAATTGTGTATTAGGCACTTACGTTATTTACGTCGTTACGACCGTCACTTACGTTACGTTACGTACAAAGGACGCTCCAAAAGTAAGTTTCCCTATTTTGTATCTCCCGGCTTGAAAGCTTTTAGTTCTTATGAACTATATTTTTAGAAACGTCCTTCATTAACGAAACAAAATAAAATATAACTCTACCTAATTACAGTCAAATGGAGAAGAACTGCCGAGAAAGCCGTTCAAGGTTTCGACACTTTGCCACGGGTTTTACCCTGACAGTTTTTGTAATTTTTCTGTCTTCTTGCTCACTTTTCGGAAAGCACCAAATACCATCAGATAAGGAATTCTTTTCTGTCTAGCGCTAATAAGTCCGGCTGCACATATGCGAGATTTGTAGAATCGTATTTGAGTACTCGTACTGTAATTAAGTACTGACTGGCTAATGGCTACCGCTCCTACGGTTTTCAAGTTTATTATTGATTTTTTCAAGAAGGTTAGCCAAAACAAAATCCATAGCAGGCGGGTAGAACCGTGCTGGTCAATAGGGTCAGTTGCCAGTCATAGCTTTTTCGTTTCATAACGACAACAAGGTCACGACAAGTTTCGATGCCTTGATATTTCCTGCAAAACAAAAAAACAATTGTTAAGGCCATGGATCCCATGTTTCGTTGTTCGGATTACTGCTTCCATGACTCATGGCAGAAAGTGGCTGAGTCCGGGACAGGTACTTGGCAAATGCACTTGGTTAGTTAGTTTAATAATTAAAAATCCTATTAATTAATTAAATTTCGTTCGTTGCAAATTCACAATCATTACCGGTACGAGTACGTCCGCAGGAGTACGTACATTGTATTTTGCCCAGACACGACAAAACTGCGATATGCACACGGACGAAAGATCGTGCGTTCCCAGTTTCCCGGGTGGTGTTTCCACTCCAGGAGCGTTTAATCCTTGTTTAAGTTTAATCCGTGAATCAGTGATGGGTTACTGAGTAGACAGTAAGTAAGGGAAAGCTACTCAGTAAACAGTAGCCTAATATTAAGGATTCAGTAACCAGTAACGTTTTGGACCTGAAGTAACAGTAACAGTAAGTAAGCGTTTGCGGCAGCGAAAAAGTAACAGTAAAGTAATTCAAAAGTATTGCAACAGTAACAGGAGAGTGCGCTAAGCAATTCTGAGCGATTAAAGAAAAGCGATTAAAAAGGTGTTCCAGAGAAACTTCTTGATCGCTCGAGTTTTTAATCGGTCTGCTACCAACCGATTAAAGAAATTCGCGAATTTCGTTAATCGGACGTTTCTTCATCGGTAGTGATTAAAAACTGCCACTGGGAGGTGGCTTGGAATCTACCAATAGTACCGTTCTGAGTCTGAGTTCTGAGTCAAGCCGCTTCTGGTAATTCGTAAAACTCTTAATCGCTCAAGTTTTTAATCGCTTTCTTTAATCGCTTTCGGTGCTTAGCGCACTCCCCTGTAAGAGTAAGGAAGAGGTCCAAAAACTCAGTAACCCATCACTGCCGTGAATGGTGTCGACTCAGACTCGACTGTCCATTAAACTGCTGAAATCTACGGCGACGGGCGGTCACGTGCTGCGGCCAGCGCGCTGAGTGCTGAGTCTTCTCGCTGGCTCAGTGCTCACCGTTAAATTGTTCAGTTCAGCTTCATTGTCGCTGCTGAGTGCTCACTACAGAAGTGTGGCAAACGAAGTCATTGAAGTGGTTTGTTAATTTTTCTCGACATTTCGATTGCAAAGTATGTTTTTCTTGATATCTCTTTTGTTTTGGTAATTTGTCGGCTAGTAGTACTTTGTAAAGAGCTTTCTGTATGACACTGGAACAAAATTTAAAGCGCAATGGATCAGCACGACATAATACCGGACGCTGCCATGGAGGGGAAGTTCAGTACCATGGAAGAGCAGCTCCAGCAAGAAAGGAAAATCTTTGTGGAGAAGGTCAACGAAATTATGGGTAAGCCAGCATTATGGGTACTGGGTAGGAATATACTGTGAGCCATATTTTCCAGCTCATCCCTCGGAATAATAGGATGACCTGTAAATTTGTTGAAATTTCTATGTGATGATTTAGAAAGTTGCACGAAAAATTTTCTGGCAAATTGTCACGGAATGATGCTGATGAATCACTACACGATAACGAAAAATCATTTAAAATTAAAAATAATTGGAATTACTTATTGCGATATTTCTGCAGATCAGTGCCAGCGTATTGTGTGGAATTTGTGCAAGCAGTACGAGAATGTGCTTTATCGTAAAAGTGGCACAGAGGAAGAGCTGATTTTTGGCGAAAACACGGATGGCGAGGATAAGACCGAATCAGGTGAGGCCGTGTGCAAAACCAAATCTTCCTTAACAATGCTTTGATAAAGGCGACGCGCAGGGTGCACTTTGCGGCTCTTCTGAGATATTAAGGACGCCGAGTACGAAATTGTAAATAAACTAAATTTAAATGAATTTCAATTTCCAATAATAATAATGAAATTTTTCGATTTATCTGTGCCAGATGTCGTCTACTACGGTGCAAGCTGTGCTCCATGTGTATGTTTGCGTTGTAGAGCAACCTGATAATCCTCCAGTACCACTTATGCCGGAAACTCCGAAGGTTATTTCTTTCTCTGGATTTCAGTGGACTGTGAATCCTACCTCCTCCAAGTGGAATTCCGATAATGCGTTTGTGGATGAGCACGGCAAACTCCATCTGCGCTTGAGCAAGGAGGATGACGGTTGGCAAGGAGCTTTATTGACCAGCGTTTCAAAGTTTGGCTTCGGTCGCTACCAGTTTCACGTGGACGCGCGTTTGGACAAACTGGATCCCAACGTCACCTTCGCCATGTACAGCCAGCCCGAACACTCTCCGGACAGTGTGGCGATAAAGTTCGCGAAATGGGGATACGGAGACGCAGAGCAGGTGAGCTACGGGATGAGCAACCGCTTCGTTAACGAGCCGTTCCTGCGGACCGCGACATCGGTTGGGCATCGCTTCAAGCTCAACGGACCCAATACAACGCATTCCTTCTATCGAAAACGCAACAGTGTACTCTTTCGATCGCAGCACGGGCATGAGAACAACAACAACAGATATGAGATATTCAACTGGAATTGTGAACTGCCGAAGGAGATCGACCAGCAAGACGAATATGCGCCCGTGACACTGGGACTCTCGCTGTACGATGGTCGCCCGCCGACTGATGGCCAGGAAGTGGAAATTGTGATCACTTCGTTTATTTTTCATCCGTAACTGTACATTCTTGGCGAATACCGCGAAGTAATCAGCTGTATGGATTATGTTATGTTGTTTTGGTTTTATGGATGGAATTTTGAATTGTAATAACACTTTTCTTTTGTAGATAGGTCATTGAACTGCGCGAAACTGATGGGAGTGCGAGAGCTTGTGTGCATTTTCCATAGCTGAACTGGCATCGAGCACTTCATATTTTGTTCTTAGTTCTTACTATTGATCGCTTCGGTGTTGTGTGCCGTTTAAAGCTTTGTGGAATGGTGTTGCATTTTTAAAGATAGAGTTCCAAACAATCGGTGTTTTGCCGTTTTGCAAACTTGAAGTACGATTTTACTGTAAGTAGCTTACTGAGAAACAGCAGCAGCTTTCATTACTCATCAATCAGATAAAAGCGGCGGCTGACGAGCAAGCACTCCTTGTGTGTGCTGCCGTGAGTGCCGACGCTGTGCCGTCATCCAGCTGGAGTTTTACGTACGTACGTTGTGACCAAAAATGGTGCTTAATCTTACGTACCGCGCCTCATTTAACCGTTACTATTGCCGCAACGTCATGCTCTAGCCGGGTGACGACACTCACGATAACAAGAACTGGGATTCCTTTCCTTGGGCAAGAACATGGATTCCTTGCCCAGGGCCCCAGGCCATTGACAACCCCTTATATAACAGCAAAAGAAGTATGATTCCGTCAAGTTGTTGTTACTTCTTTATTTTTTGGACTTCGTGCATGAATTCTATTTCTAGTTATTTTGCTTTGGCGGAATCTGTACACCTAAATATGCACACCTAAATCTGTACACCTAGGCGGAATCTGTACACCTAAATCTTTGGACGGAAGGTAACCCGTACGGGAGAATAATTTAGGGAATAATTTGCTGGATGGCTTTCACTTTTGCTGTTCTGGGAGAAGCGTTATATGATTTGTTGTGCGTGCCCGTTTGAGTCGGTAGCGCATTGGGGACTGCACTTGTTTTTTGCTTTATAATCAGTAGTTTAGTCAGCAGTTCAGCTACTGGTTGAACTAACGCGTTGCCATTTCCAGACGTAAGTTAAATACTCTAGTACAAGTATTCCTTTTGAACGATTTTCCCAAAAAAATCTTTTTAATTCTCCATCTTTCTGTAGTTTTCCTTTATTGCGATGCAGAAATGACTTTATTCGCAGGAATAGGAACTACTCGCGGATGCAGAAGACTTCGAAGCGCGGATTAGGCATCTGCAGATCTAGCGTGACCTTTTCAAAACGGAGTGAACACAGTGAGCAATGTTAATGGGTGTGCAGTTTGCTGGAAACCTGCAGCGTGGTGTAGACAAAAGCGTAAACAACAAAGCGATTAGTTTGAAAAAAAATTTAAACGGCGGAGCAACGCATACCTTAAACTAATATGAAAATCACTGAGCTAGAATTATTTATGATAAAGCTGTCCAGGACAGCTTCGGAACCCCAGGATACATGGCAGGCTCGTAAATTAAAAAGCGACTTACCTGATATAACTGCACGCTTCTCTCGCTGCCTTTGCGTATGGAGGGAGGCAAAACATCCGACACCATGGGATATGCGCATGACGGTATCAGCTACATCGTTGTTTTATGGGAAAATCCGCCTGTCGCCCACACGCGTGTATCTGCTGTTGTCCTGGATCACTGGATGCGCACTGGCTTTCCGAGTGGATCTTGCTGCTCATTATGTTGGTCAAAAGAGCCAATAATTGATGGATACTTGGTGTCGTACAATTAAAGGTCGTCACCTGAACCGCAGTGAACTGCGTGATTTAATAATCGATCTTGCTACTTTTCAGCTGAACGCGCAAACTTACGTTCCAGACTACCGGCACTGAATGTGTTACCGGCACGTTTCAGCATCTTGCATTTATCCTTCTGCCTGGTTTAGTTTTTTACTCGATTTACGCTTTCCGCCAAAAGTGGTGAACATGCTATAAAATTTTGTTTTAAAAAATATTTAAAATTAAATGGTAATGCAGGTTTCTGGTATTTTGTTTAGAGCAATAGTCAATTTTGTGAATTTCGTAACACAGTCCCTTATGAACACCAATGTTTTTGGCTTTTTGCGACGTGTGATCCGTTCATAAATGACTAGTACATCCTGTCCCATTGAACCCAACCATTGGTTTGTCTACACAGGAGACGCGCACTGACTCCATTTGAACCGATGAGACCAGCAGTTTTTTAAGCGGCCCAAGTCAAGCGTTTAATAGATCCAGTCTCTAATGTGCAAACTATCAGTCTTCTCTCCTCCTGTATAGAAGTACATGCACAACGCCGGGTGCGCGCGCGTATACGGGCCAGCGACACTTCCGGTTTCCGTGCATTTTGCTGTGTATCCTGCACTTAAATAGTTGTGCGACTCATCGCGCAGCAGGACGCCAACCCCGGCCCAGTGCTCGTACAAACTACAGATCACGCAGGAAAACTGTCATAGAGTTCCTTCCTTTTTGAAGTAGGTGTGCTGGTGGAGAATTGGCGCAAATTAAACTATCTCATCATGGCCGCGTGTCGAGTGCGCACCGGAGCGTTGTTATCATTTACAACTTTTGCCGCTCTTGCAGCCGATCAATTGCGGAATATCATGTGTTGACGGAGATATGCACAGGCAATTGACCATTTGCCGGGATCCACTGCACTGCCATATTGTGCTTGAGTATGGCCGGATTATTGCCGAAAAAATCCCATTTGCGGTCATTCCTCAAGTGCTCTGATTCTTTTCTCTTCCAGTAAGTTAAAGCAACACCTTACTGCAATATAAAATATGAACACCGAAAACTGGGTTACAGCATGATTACAATAATAAAAATTATACCCTATCGCATATGACTATCGAACTGCCGGTTATGAAATGATAGTTTCTAACTATTCTCAAATTATTGTTTTATTGTGAGAGCTGCTCCTTACAGAATACTATACGTTTACAAGAAAGATATTATTAGGCGTACTATGTACGAAACTATATTATCTCTCATATATCTTGATAAAGTTAGGTTTTCCTTGTACTGTTTACAAGTTGTTTGTGGTTTGGCTCAATCAGCACGCAAAAAGTAAAGCAAATATAATTTTCCGTAACATGGAGATACTTTTCTATTTAATTTTAGCGACCAATTTACCAGGCTTCGCCACAGTTTACACTTGGCTATTTTAAAGAACAGAACAATCAAATTACGCCTTGAAAAGGTTAGGTAACCAACAAGTAAAAACTCGCTAATAATTAGCGGAAGTTATTTTTTGCGGGAGACTTTTTGTTACATTTAACCGGTTAGCACATTTCTTCTCTACAGTTTCTCAGTTTCGCGAAAGACAAAAGCGCCTTTTGTGAATCGCGTGATAGACATTTATTGAACAACAAAAAAGTTTGGTATCAAATTAACGAAGCCAATAAAACTCTTTTTTTACAGCAGTAAAAGTAATTTGACTCGCTAACGGAAAAACCTTGGTGATTTCCGTTAATTCCAGGCCTCCGCCGAACTAATATTATCGCATCGATTTTTCACCGTAGAGCTTTTTGCAAAAATTTAATGTCCTGGCACATAAACGTCAATGGTGAATAATTACACGCTTCAATCATCACGTGTGTAGCCAAATGGCACTACAGTTCCTTGTTACCGCGTCGTCGAGAGGGGATAGCGCGGGAACGCATTCCCACGGCCGGGACAGCCGTGTGAATTTTTCATAAGCGCGTTTGAAATTAAATTATCCCTCCACCGGCAGGTGCCATCTCTCTTAATCAAACGTTGACTACCCGTAGCTGTTTGCACTTTTGCCTTATCATGCCATCCATTCACCGCGCGGCATATATGGAAGCGACAAATTATTGGATAATAATTTGACATTAGCTGGCAAATGTATTCCTATAGTACCTTAAAGAATACTTTTTACTGGTGCGACTACAGATACGAGACGCCGCGCTTAGTCACCGTCCGGAGCGCCCGGATCGGGATTATCTACCGTGTGGTCCAAGCCTGTATAATTTCTTATTTGATTGGGTAAGGCATTATAATACTTACGTGTATAAATTTCCACCTTACATTTCGCTTTCTCAGCAGTATTTTCTTTGATTGCGTAAGGACGTAGTCCCTGTACACTCCTTGGGATTAATTGCTTTTCCGGCGCTTTGTAACCCTTGTGTTGATAAGGTCAAATTGACCACTGGGGAATTTATCGTCTTGGTGCGCTCTATTGAGCCTGCACAGCACCACTGTTGCTGTGCGTTGATGCGCACAGGTTTAATCGGGGTTTTCTTCTCCTGCAGATACGTATTTGTATACACCAAAAGCTATCAGGAATTCGATTTGGCCGAGAGCAGTGTCGTATCGAAGATCAAGGGCTTAATGTATGCACGGGGATTAGAAGGGCGGAAAGAAATTTGGGACAGTATTGATTTTGTTGTTCCGGCACAGGTTAGTGGATGCGCACATTTCATCGCGCTGCTAATGGCTACATGATTGACTTTGAAGGCTCATTGCATAATGTACTCGGGAGTGTATTAATGGACGCATGAGCATTCATTGCGTTTTTTTATGCGACGTACTACTTTGACTAAACTCATTAATGGGATCAATTGACGTAACGCCCACGCTTAAAATATTTGGAGCAGTAATTTCAAGCCCTCGATATTTATTTATATTTGTTATGCGCTTAATATTTTATTAAAAATGATTATAAAATCGCACGTGCTTGCAAAAAACTTGCGTAATATACCATCTCAGATTTACTCTTTTGGCGTTTGTTTACATATTATTACTACTAGGGTTGATTTAATGAAATTTTATTAGGAAATGTTTTTTTATTTTCAGGAAAGTGATGCTTTTTTTATTGCTACAAGTATGGTGCTCACCGTGAATCAGAGTCAGGAAGCATGTCCAGAGGTACGGATATTGTAGACGATTTAAACTAGAAGTATAATATGATATTAGTGTTCATCTACAGTTTGATGCGAAAGACCTTTAACTTTGATGTACGAGATAGCTATTGCTGTATTACATTACATTCAAATTGTATTTGTTTATATAATAAAAAGCAATATTATTTTGCAAATGCCGGATACGATCAGCCTCGCGATCTCACTAATAATCCATTTACATTTACTATTACATTAATTAATGAATAGTACGATCGAGTACCCGTAGTATCGTATAGTGCTCGTATTACGTTGCAGTACTAGTTACATCGACTTATCTTTTCCGTCAGTATTTGTATGCAGCAATTATTGAGTGAATACTATATTATGCGGATTTTGTTATGGTGTCCATTGGCAGGATCCTAACGTATCGCGAAAGGGTGTCTGGTGCGAGACGGACGCCGACTGTACACCGGGTCAGCCCACTCCCGGTGGGAATGGTCGAAAAACGGGACGTTGCGTCAACTGGGACAAGGAGATTAAGACGTGCGAAGTGAACGCCTGGTGTCCGACGGAAACGGACAAAACACCCAAGTTAGTTAGTTAACATGGGGGTACATACGGATTACGATACTGTATCCGTATTCGGCGCTTTATTGCCCATTAATCTTCCCGCCGACGACCATATGCGGCGAATGTAACAAGAGTTCATCAGCCTTTATCGCAGCATGAGAAGCGCGAAAGGAACACTTCGGTCGGTCCATTAGTGGTCGTAAACGCGACACTTTCTGTGCTTGACATTCAGGGTGAAATATATCCCCGAAGAGTGTCGGGAGGAAATTATGCGTAAAATGCCGGGTTTTGATGACGTGATTAAGAGGGTTATTTTTTTGCTGGGAATGTTTTTACTCACGTAACTTCCGCTTGTAGGAAACCTATCCTGCATGGACTGGACAGTGTGACGGTGCTGGTGAAGAATCATATTGCCTTTCCCAAGTTCGGTATTAAAAGGTGAGTCAGATGCTTGACGAATGTTTGGCAAATAGTGGCTTGGCACTTCCGTTGCTTAGAGAAATCCAGCTCTTTTGTGAGTCAGCTGAACATTTATTTGAGCAGTTTATGTTCAGAAGAATTAAAAGCTGAAAGATTTGCGGAATGCAAATAAACGCAAAAAATCTATTAAACTGTTCCGCATCATTGGTGACCTGTATCCGATTCAACGATCACTTATCACCGGAGATTTTGTTAGAAGTGTCGAGATTTATCGATTCGTCTCACTTTCCTTTAATATAAACGAATCGTTCGTACCTATGGCAAAATGTTGGATAGTAACGGTTTTTCGTTATTTAATATCAGGACCGATATTGTTTTACTGAAAGTAGGTGAGTGTAGGTCCTAATGCAGTCAAAACAGTAATGTGGGCGTGTGCCGGCTGTTAAACATTTGGCAGTATTATTGCATATTGGAGCAAATTATTTTTCATGTTTCGCCAGTACAGCTGTCGCTGTCAGTGAACTCCTTGCTTCAGTCTGACGTTTACAAGATCAATTTCATTTATTCAACATTCTGCAGGCTGCTCTGAACTATTTTCAACTGTCATAACACAAGAGGAAACATGGGTGTCTACTCTGATGTACCAGCTTTACACAGCCGCCACCGGGCGCAGTAATTATTTCTCCGGCCGACGGAATGCACACGCTGATATGTCTTTTATTACAGGCGAAATATTTTGGATTCCATCAACCAAACATACTTGCAGTCGTGCCGGTATAATCGCGACACGGACCCGCTGTGTCCCATCTTCAACGTTAAGGATATGATCATGTATGCCGATGAGGATGTGCAGGAGATCTCGACGCGGGTAAGGAGAAGCGGAGAAAAAAATCGCCCAGCAATATGTTAGTTGTTCCGCTCCACTTGGGCACAGCCACGTCGTGCAAAAAAGCATCTGGTTGGAATTATTTTTACTCATTTATACTACGTGTTTGTGGCATGAATAAATCAAAACCCGACGTCGGTGGCTCATTAGACACGTTCTACATGACCAGTGAACTGGCCGGGTGTGTTGTGGTAGTAATCTAATCCCCTGTCTGTCATGACGCGGCCGTTTGGAGTGTACGCGGACATCGAGTGGCGATATAAACAGTTCACTAGGAGGTTATGTCACATCAAATAAAATCAGTTTTTTAACACAATATTCTATCGCCCGGCCCTGCATAATTTTGTATAATTAAAAAACTTTGTCTAGACGGTTACATCACAAAGATATTTGCAGTGTTACCTGTTACATATGTAAGCGTCTGATATTGCAAAATACAAGAATTTCGCTCGGCTAATCATTTACATACTAGTACTGTAATTACTTATTTTTTTCAGGGTGGTATACTTGGTTTCACAATATCATGGAACTGCAATTTCGATTTTGATCAAGAACAATGCATTCCGGTTTATTCGTTCCGCCGTCTGGATGATAAAAATGCCAAGATTGCCAAAGGATGGAATTTTCGGTGGGACATTATTATCAAAATGAAAATTACTGTATTGCCAACGTTTACTATACATAATACATTAATGACATACATACAGTATATTATTACTCCGATCATTGAATTCAATCTACTCCCGCGTAGACCCACTAATAAGCATTGGTACTATCGTCAGGGTCCTACTGACATGGTCCACTGATATGGTTCTACAGCATGGCGCTTTCGTTTTACAGGACAGCGCATTATTATTACGACTATAACGGCACTACGCGTAGAGATCTCGTGAAGCTGTGGGGCATTCGCTTTGTGTTTAATGTCAACGGTCGTGCAGGGAAATTTTCGCCGGTGAACTTTTTGTTAAATCTTGGATCTGGGATCGGACTGTTAGGAATTGTAAGTATAAAATCCCTGCAATAATTAATATAATCATAGGACTTCACAATGCTTGTATAAATACTTAAATACGAATCATGTGCGCATGCTTACAGGCATCCGTAGTATGCGAATTCGTCCTGCTCAATTGTGTGCGATCTAACGACGATCTACTGGAACAAAAATTCACCAACCTGGAGCAAATCAAGGTCGTAGAAAACTTTTATACAATGAAATATAAAATTTAAGGTTTAGTACGAAAACAGCATCTGATTTACGAGTGACAGGAAAACTGATACGATTACCAGATTTTACTACATAGTACATATCTACAACTAATAATAAGAAGGCCGGAGGACTATCGATTAATAAATTTTGCAAATTTCGTAGCAGACAGTACGACGCCAATCCGCCGTGAATCTCAGTTCTTTAAATCTCCGCCAACTGGACGGATCGAACAATGCCAGCTCGGCCCGACTGGATCGACTGGTCGACCGCGACTACCTTTCAGTTACCTCTAATCACATATACGCCAATACGGACTACAGCGCCACCCTTCCGCGTCGCCATCCTCCCATTGCCAATGCGGACGAGATATGAAATGCACAAATATTCCACCGCCTTGTAGTTCAGAGCTTCTCTATGTACACTTGTCGCTTTCCTCATAAGCCTATTATAACTTTGTTATATACAATACATAATGAAATAACTATTACAGCATTTGTAACTTTAATTAGCGTGCCATTTGTTACGGCCTCGGTAAAGGTCATTCGGGGAATGGTTTATCCCAGTGATGTAGTCTTTCGTTAAGTGACGGCCTCTTTAGAAAGAAACGTACTAGTAAAGAGGTTGACGCGCGAGATTGCTGATTAACCGATGGTGCGCTGTGAATAAAATTGCCATTTTATTGAAAATTCTAACTGCAGTATGCTCTTTGCTTTCATTTGTACAGAGTACAACACCGTGCGACGTGAGTATCGAAAATTTCCATTAATAATTTAAAATGTTTTAAATGTATGTGGACCCATCGCCATTGTTATACCATGATGTTGCCGCGTGGAGTAAAGAAGCCAAAGACGGGCTAAAGCTAAAAAGCTAAAGATGTGCTATAGGCGAAGTGGATTTATGCTCATTTCAGTAAACATTGTATCAATCGTCAACTTCTGTATTGATAGTTTCCTATTTTTTTCTATTCTGCTTCAGCACTCCATCAGATATTAAATGTATCGGTGGACCGGCTATGCGACTTCTGGCATGGAAGGAACAATTGCCGGTGCATACTCCACGGCCCCCTTAACCGGCAGTTACGATTTTTTATCAACTTTCACGAATCAAGAAGAATGACAGACACGAACTCGCTCTCTTTTCAGTTTTCACTCCCATTTGAAGGATTTTTCATTCATTGTCAGTACTTACTATATTTTTGAATTTTCGACTTCCCGCTTTCCCGTGACACAGTTTGATTTTGGTAGCGTCTTTGCATCTCGTGGTTTGTTAATTTCTCTTGATTTCATACTAGCATAAGAGGCGCCTTGACCCGCTTATCAGGTACTCTGTCCGTGCCTAGCTGTCTAGCTTGCCTTGTGACTCAACTAAACCGTACAGGATGTCGGAGTCTTCTGCAGATCGCCCTGCTTATGATTGTCCCGTTAGCGCTGTGGAGGTCCTGCGCGGACTGCATGATCTGCAGTCGACGGGAACCCTCTGCGACGTTGTTCTTAAAGGAAGCGAAGGATACGCGGCGGGCATTCCCTGTCATCGCAATATCCTGATTGTGCACAGCGCTTTCTTTCGGGCAGCGTTTACTGGAGCGGACTGGAAAGAGTCATCGCAGAAAGTCTTCCCGCTGCACCACATCGACACCCAGACGCTGAAGGAGTAAGTAGCGTTGTGCCGATCTGTTCAAGCATTGTAGTATTGGCGTGCGGTGGCAACTTGACAGTCCAGATTTAGATTACCGTTTCTTGTATCGTACATGTACCTGTAAACCAAATTAGAAGATTCCACCTCGATAGTACTGCTTCGCTCATGCTATGACGCTTTTTATTTGGCTGTTTTTTCGTGTTTTCATTGACATTGTGACCGTTCTTGTTTCGCTTTGCAGGCTGGTGGAGTATGCCTACACCCTGGAGATCAGTCTTAACGGTGACAACGTGGCGCCTGTCTTGATTGCGGCGCAGTTTCTGCAGATGACTCCAGTGGCCAGATTGTGCTGGGAGTACGTGGAGAAGCACATGTGTCTGTCCAACTGTTTGGCCGTTTACGCTCTGGCATCTCAACATCACAATCCCCGTCTGGCTTACACGGCATTGGACTTGGTTCATTCTAACTTCCCACGCTTCGCACAGAGCCAAGAATTTCTACAGATGAACGAGCAACAGGTGCAGTCTGATTTTATTCAGCGATAGTTTGTGGCAGCTACAGAACAAATGTCTAAACTGAATAGTTTGAACAATGAATATTGAACAATCGGATTCAGGGCAGTATACAGTTTTGGAGATATTTACGTGCGCTCTTCTAAAAATTATAAACAGATTCCAAAAGCAATCCTCTACACTACTTGGCTTGCGCTGTGTTTGGTAATCATATGTGGCAGTAGTGGAATTATTATGGAATTATATCCAACGGTAAATTGCACGGATTTCATGGGTTCATGAATTTACCTATCTGCAGCTGATTGCTCTCATCGCATCGGATGAAGTGGAGGTCTTCTGTGAGGATGAGGTGTGGGAGGCGGTGCTGCGTTGGTTGGAGTACGACCGTCCCGGCCGACTGGAGCACGTGCCCGCCGTCCTGCAGATGGTCCGCGCTGCTTTTCTCAGCGATCAGAGTTGTCTGGCATACTCGGAAGTACTCGCCAGTGCAATGCCGCCGTGCCAGTCTGCCATGGCCGCCAAAGAATTACCAATCGAGGAAATTGAGAACTTTAGACCACGCCCTTCGTACGGTAAGGGCATTTTTCTGTTAATCAGTTTCGTACGATCTGGTGTTTTGCCAGACAGTTTAGACATTGTCGAGTGATTTTCATTTTCGAGTGGTTTTCATTGTGGTTCATAATTCATTTTGTGTTTATAATAATACGTCGGTACAGTACAAATTTTGGAAAAGAATAAAAAGTTGGTTGCTGGTTAAGGTGCACAGGAAGTGGTCCTTTGCGTGGGCGGGGGCGGTGGCACTACGGTGGAAGTCTTCAGCCCATCCATTCCGGCCGTGTGGTGCTTCAGCGACCTGCCAATTTCCGCCCAAAGCTGCCGCGCAGTGCAGCTGGACGCCTGTACCGTTATGGTTGCCCACTTTAATGGCTGCAACACCCTCAGGCGGGACTGTCGCTACATGGGCCCACTTGGCGAGTGGTGCAAGGTGGCCCCAGTGCTGACACGGCGCCGAGATGAAGGCCTTGCCGCTCTGAGTGGTCGCATTTACGCGGCCGGTGGCTTTAGTCATGGCTACGAAAGCGACCCACTGACGTCCGTGGAAGCCTACAATCCGGAAAGCAATGCTTGAGCGCAGTCGCGCCGCTCCCTGTTGGTCTGGCCGGCTTGGCGATGGTGGCATGTGATGGTCGATTGTTTGTGTTTGGCGGCAAGAGTGCGGAGGGCCTTGGCAGTTATGCTTTCTCCTACGATCCCGCAGCCGATACGTGGACCAGACTGCACGACATGCCGACCACACGCTTCTATAATTGCGCTGCTTGCGTGGCTCCCAACGGGTTGATCTTTGTTCTGGGTACGGAGCATAGCCAGTAGGGCAATATTTCATGTTGAATTGCTAAACTACAGTATTTCTAGTGGAAATAATTGTTTAGGCGGAGGATATGATCATTATGGTACTAAACGGCACGCGCGCGTGGATGCGTACGACCGCGCCACCGATCAGTGGGTGAGAAAAGGTAAGTGTGATTTCATTGTTGATTGAAGAACTGCCTCTCGTTGCATGCCGGTGGTTTTGCACGTAAACTGTGCAGTGCGCTGTATGTTTACAGCTGATCTGTCCGTTTGTCGCCTTTCTCCTGGTTTTGCATGTCTCAATGGAAATTTGTACGTTATTGGTGGAGACCTACAACGCAAGAAAAATTGTGGCAGCATCGAGGTTTATAATGAAGAAACCGACAGCTAGGCCCTGCACGAGTGCCGACTACCAAATGCTAATTATAGACCGTTTGGCTGTGTCGTAATGAAGTTGAAACGCGGGTGAATGAGCAAGTGTCAGATAACACCGTAACGGGTGCCGCATTTGAGTGAACTCGTTCGAATAATGTTCAGATTTGCCTGTGTGAAATTCCCTTGTAAAGACTTCGTGATGTGTATGAGGTACAGTATAGTAAACAACCTGGAACTTTTGCGGCAGGTTCATTGAACCGTGACAGGTTCTTATATGCGGTATACGACTAGAATCAGTCGTAGCATATATGAAACTGTAGTTTCGGTTTTTGGTCTTCGATATCCGTGTGTAAACAAAAGTAATTTTTGGCGCCCGTACAGTACGGAAGGGTCCGGCCGGTTGAAGGAAGCGGTGGGGCCTAACAGTCACGTGACATGAGTCATCTGACATGAGTCGAGTAACGATGCGTGAAACTTGTAGATGGCGTTGTTAGCTCCGCATCTTTTTTAGTTTACATTATGTGCTTCTACATTATGAGGAGCACACTGCATCGGTTTCATCGGTTCTTGGAGAAGAAAAACGGAACTGTAGTATCCAAACAAACGTAATCCAGTATGCTCCTGCAATGTGCTCCTACATCTGTAGGAGCACATTGTACGAGGCATCATAAGGCGGTAGGAATATTAAGTGCTGAATAGAGAATTTAATAATATAGTAAATTATATTAAAGGTGATATGTCTGACGGAAAGTGATAATGAAGAAAGGGTGAATGTTGAAATAGGGTGAAGATAGTGGGGAGTTTTGCTATAGTTCGGTTTAAACGTATTCGACTTTCTGGTTGTTCGTATCTGAGTGTTTAATGAAGTGTTACAGGAAGTGGAGTGTGTTGCGGGTTAAGGGTTGTGGTGGTAGATAATGATGGATTATTGTGGAAAATTTAAGAAATTTCGAGAAGTTGATTGCTTAATGGAGCAGGCTATTATGTTTTGCTCTGATAGTCTTGGATGTGTAGAAAGAGGTGGTTTGTATATGGGAAGTAGATTGGGACGTACATTAGAAGGTTGTTCAAGAAAATGTTTAGTTTAACTGGTTTGTTGACTGGATTTTTTGAGTTCGGTGGGTACATAAGAAGTTGAGGAATGTTGTGTTTGAGTTATTATGGAGTGGACGAAGTATATAGTATATACAGTGAACAAAATGTTTTTCTTGTTGTTGTTTTTTGGTGGCCAGTATGGATTTGTGGAAGCGTACTGATTCAGGTTGCTGTGTTCTATGGAAACGTATCCTTGCAAAGCACTGGTCGTTATCCTGGCACAAAGCCAACTTTGCAGGAAGTTCTGGTCCGCCTTTCTGGGGAAATGCATTCTGCAGCAGATAGACTCCTGCGTTAAAGAGTCCTTGCTCCAAATCCGCTTGTTGTCAGATTGTTGATATTCTGACGGAGCACGACTAACTCACCGAATCGGTGTACAACGTCATTCTGACCATCTGTTGGCTATAATACGAGGTGCCACCCGACTTTCGATCAGTTGCTCTACATTTTTCTTTTCGGTTTCGAACAACCGCCTTCTTTCTGGCGAATGTTGGGCCATCGCCTCCGTGAGCTCAGGGTTATGGTCTTCTAAAGCTGGCAGGTGAATGGCCTCCATCATGTCATCTTTAGGGGGACCACTGCTTGGCAGTTACTTTCTAAAGTTGTAGCGATATTTTTCTTAGTGGGAATTGAATTCCGTCGGCATATGCGTAAAGCGCCAGCTTTTTCGCAGAATACCTTCACTGAGGCAGAGGGGAATGTGTGTGTCTTAGGCATTTTGCTATTGTCGCCAGGATTTATAAAGACTTGATGTGTTCGCTCGCTCCATTGCTCCCTCTCTCTCAAAAGCTCCGTGTACGATTCATATCTATTTCCCATTTTAAGTTTTGATGCCACAACGGCTGAGGGTTGTGAAAACTATTATCAGAAAATTTACGGTTTACCGGTTTACGGTTTACCGGTTTATTTGACAACGGTTTACCGTAACCGCTTACCGTTACCGTTTCCGTAACGGGTTACCGTTACCGTTACCGTAACGGGTTACCGTTATTTACCGTTACCGTAAGGGGTTACCGTTACCATAACGGGTTACCGTTACCGTTACCGTAACGGGTTACTGTTACCGTAACGGGTTACCGTTACCGTAACGGGTTACCGTTACCGTTACCGTAACGGGTTACCGTAACGGTTTACCGTTACCGTAACGGGTTACCGTTACCGTCACGGGTTACCGTTACCGTCACGGGTTTCCGTTACCGTAACGGGTTACCGTTACCGTCACGGGTTTCCGTTACCGTAACGGGTTACCGTTACCGTAACGGGTTACCGTTATTTACCGTTACCGTAACGGGTTACCGTTACCGTAACGGGTTACCGTAACCGCACCGGTTTACCGTAACCGGTTACCGTTACCATAACGAATCCGTAAAGATTATCAATGCCAATAAAACCGAAGGCGGAGCCGAAGGCGACGCCGAGCTGCAGCGCGAGCGAGCGCAGCGAAGCGAGCGGAGCAGCAAGTGAGACAAAAGGACATTGTACTTCCCTTTCTCTGAAACCCCGTTTTTCACATTTTTGTTTTTGGTTTACATTTGGCTTTTGAATTTGACTTGATTGAGACTTAGGAAAACGTTAACAAATAAAGGCAAAAATATAGCAACAGAGCTTCAGGGATGAAAAACCTTATGGGCTCAATGCGAACGGTCCAATACCTATTACAGACACTCGTATTCACCGAAGGTGAATTGAGAGCACCATGTCGACACCCTCTATGTCGACCGGCCAGCATGCCGGTGTAAAAATGCCGGTGTAGTCAGATTTTGTAATTCTTTCACTAAAAGGTGACCTTTCCGTAATTGTTAGTTGTCATGACGTGATAAATATACTGGTTCAAAGTTTTTAGTAGTTTTTCTGTGCGGGGAATAACTCTCGCGCGTAGTCAATACTCATAGCGCGGGAGCCTCTCGCGCGTAGCCATTTCGTTCGAATTAATAAAAGTGGGCGACAGATAAATATAAATCGGTAACTAGCCTAGGACGGATGATTTAGACTTACGACGAAAGACATCCTTGTAATAATTATGTAAAATTGTCCTGCAGTTTTTTATGAACGGAAACGGTTTTTAGGTACTTATACTCGTATAATCTGTGTTAAGGTTTCGGCATCCGCCGTTGTTAGCCAGCAAACTCGGATTACTCGAATTAGTTGTCCAGGTTTTAGGAGATACAAAACTGGAAAGATCAAAAGTCGATTAGACGGATAGCACCGTGAGAGAATTCTCTAATCTTTTGGATTTTGCAGTAGCAAAACTGGATCAGTAAAAATCTGAGATCAAGCATGACATTTGAGAAGGGCAGAAGCTCCCTGGCACCGGTGACTACTCGTAGTATTCATGTGATTATAGTCTCTAGGGAACAGAAAAATCATGTACTTATAAAAAAAATATGGTTTATTACAGTAATTAATTTTTAATAAATAATAACAAAACATAGTACTTGTACATTACCATTTATTAATGTACAAGCATTGCCTGGTAACGGAAACGTTTCAGTGTTTCTCCACATACTTTAGAAAGCTGTCAGACCTACGGATCAGTGCACGTGTTAAACTGGAATTTTCTCGTGAAACTTAGCTGGGAAATTTATTCTCGTGAATTTTCGTTCTGCCTGCAAGCTACACGTATGGATAGCAACTTGGAAAGTGTCCCGTCTTCCAGTGCCGATGTCGCTGCCGACACGGATGACGACATCCAGGAAATCGCTGTAGTTCCCGCTAGAGCTTCAAAAAAGCAGAAAGCTATTCATAACATGGTGGAAAGAATGCGTAGGTTCGTTTTCGGTTAATGGCATTACTTGTTGATGCTGTACTCAAATATTAGTATCAGGTTTGTAGTCCAAATGTAAGACAATTTTCGTCAAGTGAAAATCGATAAATACTCGTATATCGATATATATCGACAATATGATGCCATATTAGCCATGTCTTCGTGTGTAATGCGTAGTACAGATACAGTTCTGTGATTTCTTTCGAGATACTCTGTTACGGTAGAAGTTTGCACGAAACTGTGAAAAGATAGTAAACAAATGATAAGGAAACAGAATATTTGGATTTCAAAGGTCATAAGTTCAAAAGTCATAAATTTCAAGGTGATAAGGTTGCAAAAATTAATGTATCCGAAGATTTCTTCCAAACAGCAAATTGCAGTTTCGTGAAGTTGTAACGGTGATCGACATTTTACGATCTCAATAAACATCTGTTTGGTTTTCGTTCTTTGCAGATATCGAATGAGTACTTGTATTGCCAAGATTGCAGCAACGATTCCGACACTCCAGGGTGCAAAACTGGATAAATCAGCGTTAGTATCTGCTGGATATTTATTACGGTTTACAACACCCAGTTTACAGAGCCTATAAAAAGTTGATAAAGAATTTGCTATTTCACCTTTGAAAGTACGAGTGAAAGTTAACCTCGTAAAAACTGCTACAACTCCACTGCATGAGTGTCTACTGGTTGCTTTGGCTGTCAGATATAGAGGTCATTTTCTATTTTGCAGGGTTTTAGAAACGGCACTAAGATATCTCCAGTTTATCAGAACATACTGTAAAAATATCCAACTGATTGACGACGCCTACTTGACTCGTTATGCGTCAAAATCGGAAATACGCGGCAGGAAAACGAAAAAAGCCAAATCTGCTGCTAAAACTCCTAAGGGGTCAACTTCTGTTCCTCTCGCACCGACAGAAAAATTGAAAGCAGCTGATACTCTAATAACGGCGGAGTTGCTACCATTCGGTAATCACAGAAAGAACAGTACACGGAAAAGTAAAAAAATTACCACCATTAGTTTTGGGACCTTCGTGTGCTTGGGGAATGATTAAGCACTAATAAATTCAGTTGGCTTTTGAAAATTAATTAAGCAGGTGCACGTCATCAAACCGTTATTAATTATGCTGTTATCGTTTTTAGAGACAGAATTGGATTTGAGTTCGACCGGAAATTCAGTTATCGACGAGAAAATGTCGAAGGAAATCAACGATTTGCTTAATGAAATATTTCAGAATAACGACGTTGTCAGCGATCACAATACATTTCTAGATGATGTGGCATTTCTTAATATAGAATAATTAACTGCATAGGTTTTAATTTCCCATCAGTAACGCGAGATTTTTGTTTTTGTAACGTTATCGTTAAAAGGATTTACTGTGTTACAAGGAACCGTCATAATTATAAAAATACTGTACTGCAATACGAAACTATTATAGCGCATTTTCTGTTGTGTATTGGTAATACAAAAAAAGCAACTCTATCATAAAAAAATTTTGCTATACTAATCACAAGCGGCAAGAGCAACATACTATCTACAGCGCTGAATGTGATCTGCATTTATTATTGCGGGATCGGGAGAAATGGTCGATGGCTTCCTGGGACAGAGTATCGGGCTGGGCACCGTACCACAGCGGCTGAAAGCGTTGTGATGAGGAATCGGATTTTGATTTGGATTTCAACGGTAGCGAATCGGACGGTGATTTGGACTTGCGTGAATTAAGTATCGACGGGGCTTTATCCAGCGGATACTGTCGATAGAAATTCCGTTGTACCTGAATTTGGATGACCTTTCCCGGCTTTTTGGCTTTGGAATCTTCTGCATAAGAAATTTCTTGAATTAATAATTACATCAGACACTTATCAAGTTATCAACGTACGGGAATACGTATTATGTTCTGGCTGTTGTTTAGAATTCGATTTATTTTTGTATTTTGAAGTACTGATATTATTGTTGGTGTTGGCGGCACACATGTAAATAAGGTTATTACAAAGCTGAAAATTTAATGAAGAAATCATAACATACGTATATAGCGGTTTGCTTAGCATATCAATAAGTAACAGAACTGTTCAAGTCCTAAAACCGAATTTCGGCTACTCTAGTTGTACCGAGTGTGATGATACAGCTTTTCTAGAGCAACAATCGAACATTGACTATACAAAGCACGTGTAAATTTGTAATTAAAAAGTGATAATAAATGGAGATGGCGGAAATGAAAATGCAATATATTTAAACCCGTAAGGCGGAAATTAGTGTTAAGAACGGCGGTCGGCACGCACGAAATAGAGTACTTTGTAGCAATTTTATATTGCCTGTTTATGGTCTAGTTTGAACGCTGAACCCAAACGGACTTAAGGATGTATAAGTCTGCGCGTCATCCCAGAAAAAAGGTTAAGAAATAAGCATTATTTATTTATTCATCAACATTCTACAGAGATCCCACAGTGTATATTATGCAATCTTCCGGGATTGTGATAAACTATAAACAGCTAATGTTAACTGAAGAAACGCAGGGTGCGACCGGCTTACCGGAGCGGATGTTGAGAACTTGCTTCACCGCTATCCGAAACCGCTGGCTCATGATGTTGTACAGGAAGGGATTAACGGCGCAATTGAGGTAGATGAGGGTTTTGGCGAACAACAGATACCAGATATTCAGCCAGGGCTCGGCGACGAAGGCGTTATATACGAGCAGTCCGCGAAAGGGCAGCCACGATACGGCGAACAGCACCACCACCACGATCAGCATACGCAGTACCTGTAATAATTATCCATACAGACATTTGGAGGAACAGCTGCTTATCCACCTACTGCAGTAAAAACATCAGTAGTATTATCGGAGAATTTGCTATTGTTAGACATGTTATGTGGCCGTTACGCACAGCTGGCAACCTTGGAAAATATGTATATGTAGGCTGCCACGGACGTGCCCTTGCAAACAGATTAAGCCGCGCATGACACCGGCGTTGTCTTTCACCAGTAAACAGTGTTCGCTTAAAGGTGCAGCAATCATTGTCTCGTTTTCGGGTGGGAATAATTTACGGGCTATTTCCGGTAAGGTTGTTCAGCTGACCCGCGTCGATTGTTTCACGTCACGAAATAATTCATGCCCAAAATCTAAGATGAACTCAAAACCAGAAAATCAAATTTTTAGTTCGTGAAGGTGTAGAAAAGATGGGAGAGTGAAAGTGGGAGAGGCTTTATTCGAACCACTCTGACGCAGTCACGTTTGCAATAACAGATCCGGACAAATCTTTTCCATTGATATTAAGGCAGCCAACGTCAGACTGCCTTACCTTGGATTTTCGGAATGATTAGCTGCTGATTTATTTTCGGTGATATTATGATATGTTAAGGTCACCGACTGACTGCGGTATCATGTGCGAGATTATTACTGTATAATTGATTAAAATTTTAATTGCTGCAGCAAGGATTTGAGAGTGCTGTGGTATTTAAAATCTTGGTAAGCATGCTGAACACAAGTTTTAAAGCATGTTTTTCTTGCTATGTCAGAAATTTGTTTTCGAAATTGTGACGATATTGTTCGAAAATAAGCATAAAGCGGCGCAAGTAATAAATCTAAACTTGCTGATGAGAAAAACCTCCTAACAACAGCCTTTAAAAAGTGCCGGAGACTTGTTCGGATCAGTGATCCAGATACAGTACTGGTTTATCTTCACTGTTAAAATTAAGTATGGACATTTCTTGTAACCGTAATTTAGTATTTTCAAGAAACAGTCTCGTCCAAAATTGTATAGGTAGAACCGTAGAAGTACCTGTATTCGGCACTGAGCCGTCCACACCATTTGTTTCTTGCAGGATGAATCTCTGCGCAGCCAGTACAGCTGCTTCTCCGGTGCCATCTCCATACAGATCCCCGCTACCGGCGACTCTTCCGTGCGCAGCATGAGATTCTTCTCCTTACTGGCCAAACTCATGCCCTTGGGTTTGCGGCTGCCGCAGTTCTGCCGCACAATCTTCAGGCTACTGTACAGAATCCGACCGATCTTCATGTACACTACCACCGCCACGCCCAGCGGGACAAAATAGAAAAATAACAAATCCGCTCCAAACACCGGGATGTACAAGGAGCTCGGGAGGCGGAGTTCGCAGCGGGGCCGGAATGGCAGTGCTGTGTCGTGTTTGACCTCGGTTAGGCCCAGCCAGGGACAGCAGTACAGCACGGCGAATATCCACAAGCCGACGATAATCCGCTTTGTCCGGTTCAGTGTGCAGAGTTTGCGGGCAAGGAGGGGGTGACAGACGCCGATGTAACGCTCCACGGTAAATGCGAGCGTACTGCAAAAATTAAGTCGCGCGTTTACACACCCATTAGGGCTAGAATCCGCTTATCTTGCAGTCATCAAACGCCACCAGAAAACGTCAGTCTGCTTCACATCTGAGTGTAATACAAAGTACTGCTACAGATAAATGAATGAACGGCTCTTCCTTTTTTTAAATTCAGAACGTGCATATTGTCAGCGTTTACAGTTCCAGTCGTTTTTCGAATAAGAATTACATCCCATGCACACCATTTAATCTGTGCATTGATATAATGATGGTTTTCAAGGTACAGTTTTTATTAAGCAGTTGATTGCGTTGCTACATAGCTAGCGCATACTAATGCGTAATAACAAACAACACAGAAATAAATTTGCGCAATTAATATAACGGTCGAAAACTGCTGTGGCACAAATACAAAATCGTGCAAACAGTGTAAATTGTAAGTGCGGTTAAAACAGGTGAGATGGTGACGTTATTTGTTTTCAGTTTTTGTATTTTAGTTAAAATCACGCTTATTTTCTGAGAATGTCGTCGCATACTTAAAATCTTTAGCACAATTGTGGTAATCTATTTTCTATGTAAGAAGGAAAAGCTGATGTTGTTGCTCGTTAAATGCGCGTGGTGCGGAAACTGCGGAAATACAGGTCACTTTGTATCAGCCAGCAGGGGATTAAATCCCGGAAGACTGCGGACCACTGACCGTTTCGCCATGTTACTCACCTAAGACTTCCGGCATTGATGCCGAGAAAATTCAGAAAGACGAAGAGGGCGCATGCCGTGCTCCCCAGCAGCCACTGACTCCCCATTTGATCAAAGACGATAGCCTGAAAAAATATACCAATAATTTTGTCACTGAATTCCCATTACTTGCAAGTGACTGCAACCAGACAAATATTATGATTAATTTTGGAAAAGCATATGATTTAATTTGCTGTAATTAGAAGTGGTAATTGAGTATTGTAGCGAAATCTTAGAGATAGAGCGGAAACAAGCTGTTGAGAATTCGCGGCACAGCGGAAGTAGACGCATGTGCTCTTTATAAAATAATTAAAGGATTAAGTAAAACTGTATATGTCAGCTGGTGTACACCGGCGAGAAAAGAAGGAAATTGTAATCAATTCGAGAGACGGCGGGATGTACGCGTGAGAATCGCATCAAGCGCGACGGAAATAAGGCCGTTGTTGCGTAAAGCATACCTCAGGGATTGCCGTGATAATTACGAGTAGATCCGCGATGGACAGGAAACCTGCGAATACAACGCGCAATTTTATCTTTCAGCGTCATATATTCAGCATATATGTAATGCGAAAAACCGTAAAATACTAAGGTCATGTTAAAATAGCCCTGTGCATTGATAATATCGGGGAATATCATCCAGTGTTAAATCTTCGTTTTTATATGGTGCATAATGTGTGTATTATATTATACAATGCAAAATCTGCAGATAACTGAAAGACAAAGATTTATTTGATTATGAATAATAAGACTTCTTAATAATTTTTCTAATCCGCTTTCGAAAGTCAGGTGTATTTTTTATAGGCACGATAAATTGATAATCACACGCTAACGCTTGTTTTTAACTCCCGTTTATATTAAGGCACTATACGCGTATAGGCGTAACAATGACCAAAGACGTGATCCATCAGAATCTTCGTTATTTTGCCGTATATGTTTTTTTCTACTGACGGCGTCATTTTTGCGGCAGAGCTTTGCTATTGAATCCTAGAGAGGTTTTTTTTTAATTTAATGCTGGTAGAAAATAGTCTGTTATGTCGCATCATACGATTATACCCTCGATTGTGTGTACCGCCGGCTTTCATTTAAACCGTCATTGCCGCCTCATTATCCGAAAGCGGTTGCATAACCGCGGCATTTCAAGCTGCGGTGTCTTGCGCACACGCACACACGAAATTATCGACTATGCGGCGCTGCTATGAACGTACCGTTATGCCCACTAATGTGCCCCCGCAGATTATACTGTACATTGTTCTGCGTGTAATATGCACATAAATAAATAAATTAATTCCCTAACGACTAATGCATACTGCATCGCCGCACAATGCAAATTAATCAGGCTTCGATAAATGGGAATAAGTATGCAACGTTTGCTTGTGTTGCTTTGAATGGTATCGATCGTCAGCGTAATGGCGATCTTGTGACAAACTACACTAAAATAAAAAAACCGAGCACTAGTACATCGGAACTCAAATTAGTCAATTGCCATTGTACAAAGTAGATCCAGTATTTTGAAAACCTATTTGCGTTGAAAAGCAAGCCATATGGTCGGTTGTTTCGTGATTTGGTCTCCACAGAATGTTTGTAGAAAAGAAATTAAGTAATGCAAGTGTCAGATACCACTTACAGCAGAACTGCAAAGCGAATTCAAACCAAAACCATATGAAAAGAAACATTGACACCATTGCCACAGCTTCTTCTTCTTGGAAAGGTCAGCATAACATTAGACCTGTTGTAATTAAGTAAGTCATTAGAGTGATACTTATGCTACTGACGTCGTTCGAAGCCGTACTGAGAGTGAACACTGAAGATTAAAATTACCTACTCAACTGAAATAAATTAGACTGCATCTACCCAGATTTTGACCGACATTTATCATCTCTTCTGCTGTCCCAAAGCAATTTATTTTCGGAAATAAGGCGACTTCCAAAGTCAGTATGCTAACGTCCTAACGACCAACCGGTCAAGAGATATTCAGGTGGAATGTTTCCATTGCTTCGCTTGGCGCTTTAATCAGCGCGGTCATGGCGAATTGTGATCCGGTTAGTGGGCTTTCATTCTGTCTCACTAGCAAGCCTCTCCAATCAAACCCACAGTGGTTCACTTTTTCTTGGGAACCGAAAAATACGCCCAGTTATTATCCCGCACGATTTGGCCCACGCTTGATTAATCGTAGGGTCCTGATGACCGTAGAATTAAGCCTCCAGCGTAAACTTTTATATACCCGGTTGTTTCCATGATCCGATTAATTGCCCGTAATTTTCCAGGCCGCAGTTAAAGTTCAGGCTGGAGCGGAAACGGATACTACGGCGAATTCCCTTGATGGTGGAGTGAAAGCTGGCTTTTGGACATATGCTGATTATTCAAATCAAATAAGCTATACATTATAGTACTTACTAACGAATCGTCTAGCACATTACAATAATACATTATAATACATATTATAATACATTATAAACATTAATATTATTGTACGGAGTACCTACTGCATGACAACTTTTGGTCATACGGCGTTGCGGGGTGTAGGACTGTTATATGTATTTTAACGAAGCATTGCTTACTTGTGTGTACTGGCGTAAACCATGTGCATCATGCTGTGATCGTAATGTATCTGATTCTAAATTTGTACTCGTATTGCATTGTTTATTAATCCAACCGAGTTTTGTTACTTTACTTACGGCGTTGGGTAGTAAATTTATGTGCTGTACCGTGTATGTACCAGCTGGTATGCTAGATTTTTGCACGGAACTGAATCAAAGAGCATCTGCAGGATTAAGAAGGAGTGGTATATCAAACAATTATATCTAACAACCTAAGAAGTAATGCACCAATCAAAAAAGTATTACTAGAAAAAATCGGGGAAGACAATCAAGAGCGTTTTAATGCTCTTATACCGGCATTAGTCAAGGCATGAAGAGCCATTACGGGCTTAGGCCATAGCAGTGCTGACGTGCTGAGCTGCACGTGCACTCACTTGTCAGTGTGCATGGCCAGCATGGGCATGACCGGACAAAAAACTTTCCGGCCCTGCCGCTCCTGTTTCACTTGACGACGCTTACCGCGCACTTTGGTAAACGCGTGAGGCCTCATTAACCCCCAAATTAAGACTCCTGAATTCGAATTTTTCGGTTTGTTGTAGCACCTAATTCACGGTCGGACCAGTGTCGTTATCGCAGACATTCACAAAAACCATTATCATTAATTATTGCTTCCTTCGCGGTAACGCGCATTCATTGGCAAAGGTCGCTGCACAACAGTATGCACTGATGGAGCTGTGCCTCGTTAGCCGAGCATTAGCTTACGCTTTCTGTTCACCATTTACCACAATTTGAAGGATGATTATCGTTGTTCTCGAACTGCATCTCATTTTGTGCATCAGCGAAACAATGCGTAAATGCTAAGTATTTAAGAAAAACTACGTGAGCGCTGAAAGCTTTTGTATAGTTAATGTACTCGGTACGCTTTGAAGCTTAAACGATGCTTATTAACCCTGGTTACGTCAGTATACGTTCAACAGCCCATATTAATTTCTTACCAAGTATCGATACGTCGGGCTTCGCAAGAACTTGGACTTGTGCACGACGATGATGAGCATGACGTTTCCGGTAACGCCCAGACAGAAGATGACCACATGCATGCTGGTGGCGATGACGCGATAGCTGAGCGGCGTGGAGGCCACGGCTTCCATGGCCGCTGTCGCCAGGAGCCACTGCGCCAGAGTATCATTATACCACTGGGCCAGTAGTGTATCACCCATTCCCGCCGGTTCACCCAGACCTTCCTGCATCCCGCCAACACATCCCTCGCACACTTGACCACTACCGTTGAACGCTCCGCGAATTTCCTCAGCGCATAACAAGAGAAACACGATCACGAGCATGGCGTCGCGACAACCAGAACACCGAGCGCCGAGGATATTATGAAGAAGATTGCGCAGTATCACTGCATTTCATGAGCCCACACACGAAGCCGTTCCCCGAAGGTTGATGAACAACGGATGACGCAGACGGTGGTGCACATCCGATCAATGCCGGTTGTAATTCGTTTAGACGGTTAGATGCACAGCCGATGGCCGTGTATATCTGTACACGATTCGCGCAGTCGGCGTGAATGGTACAATTTGTCTCCCCACTACGGGGTGCGCATCTGTGGCTTCTACATTAGCGGATTACTCTACAGATATGCGCCTGCATATTCCCGTAAAGAAGCATTCAAGGAAAAGGACATTCTACAGAGAAATTGAACTAATCAAACCCCGATGCAGTGGATATGTCGGTGTACAGGTCTCAGTTCGGTGTTACGCTGTGGTGCATGTAATGACGGAATGGATCAGCTGGCAGGTAGTTGCCGCAGCGGAGATGCCGGAGAAGTAGTCATTAGGAGGATTACTTTTGGATGTCTGCTGGAATGGAAAAGAGCACAGAGGTAGACGAGGTTTTTGCAACGATCGAATACCCGTGCTTATTTTACGGGGGATAAATGGCAACTGTAAATGGATGGGTATCGATCGATGCCCGGCTAATATCGTCAAAGCGGCATTATGCTAATTGTACCGCGCGAGAGCCTGTGTTTCAACGAAGGCAACGCTTGTGTAATATGTTGCCTATTGATCATTAATTACTGGCTCAGTAAAGCTATTTCATTGTTATTATGCTGCAATAACACGCAGCCGGCAAAATAGACAAAAAGAATGTGTCCCAGCCCACTCAGTGTGGTCGGCACCGGCACGTGTATTGATTTCCGAGAACGGATTGCCCTATTATAATTTGCAAGTACTCTACCGCACAGTTCATGAGTAAATTTTAGTTACATGGAATACGTACAAAATTGTTAAACAAAGAAGACAGGTGGCTGTTCTCACACTTATGAGGTTCGGAAAATTTAATCAAAGCTTTTTATGCAATTTGAATGATTGAATGCGAGTCAGGTACCAATTAAAAACGCAATAACCGCGCCATGCCTGAATCGAACATACTTCTACTCGTACAACAATATACTTAAAAAATGTGTCAAAACAAATCACTCGCCGCTGTTAATGTTAGAGGAGAATCGGAACTCATTCAGGCATTCTAAATAGTGCCACAGAATTGTATTTACCTACCCGGATAGTTGAGTACACATGCAACATATGGGGAAATACTGGTGATTAACGCGATACAGTTATGCAATACCAATTTTTCTAAAACTTTTTAGCAATCGTTAGTACCCTAGCAAAAGGTTTATTTGAGACACTCCACTCGAATTCGGTTTTTATCAGGCAGCAAACCAAATAGTGTTAGTGTATCCTGGACCGCCCTATTTCAGCGAGAGCCGGCTGCCCGTCCATGATCGAACGGCTTGCTGCTTTTAGAGATTTTAAGAAACAAGGAAATGTTCATTAGGGCGCTTATCACCCATCATGGGTCAAGAAATGCGAGATCATGATATATACGATTATGTAAACTTGTCGACAGAAACGGCGCCTACATTTCTCAGCAGAGGCATACACGAGCACGCGTAAAAAGTGAAATGTTCAAGGTAAACGTACAGACTGTACACCAACTATTTTATTACTTGAACGGTAATCGGTATCATAATAAATAACAAAATTTGCTGCTTTCGGTTCGTTACATCGCAAGATTCAGCACAGAATGAATTAGTGCGGCGAATGCGATGTCGAACCCGTATCGTGACCTTTCGACATTTAAATACCACACCGTTTTTTTGTTGTGTGAACCGCCAGATATTACTAATGGGAAAAGCTTGTTGCCGAATTGAGACTTATGGTTAGTTCTTAAAGACTGACATCCAATGAATGTATTATCTGTGTTCAAAATGAGAAAGGACTTGATTGCTTGTAATCGTTCAAAAGCTTTTAAACAAACTTGTTGACTCGTAGATGCCGTAGCACGTTAAATCTGAATGCAGCGATTCTCCGCGAGTCGCACTTCACCACGCTCCTAAAGTAACGAGGCTATATTATAAGGCCTTGTCCCGAATTCAAAGCGAATCTCGCTATGGTACGGTTGCTCAACCGCACGAGGTGGCTGTATGCAGTGGCCACGCCTACAGATACGGTACGCGAAGCCACCTCGCGAGGTGGAGTTGCTGTATCGCAACGAGATTCGCTTTGAATTCGGGACGAGGCCTAAGAATGTATCGGTAAACGGGACAAACGCGAAGTTCTATTGTACTCTGTACAGCACGCATTGAACGAGCGGGAGATATGCTCTCCGTCACGAGACGCATCGACATCACAGCGCAGATACGGACTGAATCAAGACCCTGGCATTTAAACTTAAAAGTCTGTTTGATAAAATTAGAGAGTGTGGAAAAAATTCACCTGTGGCACGTTTCGTACCAAAGAAAAGAAGTGAATCGTTTTTTTTTCTTCTTGTAGTCACAGTAGACATCTGTGTACAGGCTGTAGACACTCTGTAGACCTATCGGTAGTCACCTGGTTCACAGGATGTATACAGGTTGTCTACAGGGTGTCTACAGGTTGTCTACGGATGTCTACCGCTGTATGCAGGCAGCCCTTCTTAGGTTCAGCTCGATACCCTGTCTGTATACACCGGTAGTCATCTGTGGACAGCCCGTAGACACCCCTGTAGACGTACTGTAGTCACCTGGTTTCTTAGGATGTGTACACGGTGTCTTCAGGTTGTCTATATACAGATGACTACAGTGACTACAAGAAGGAAAAAAACGTTCCAGTTTTTTTCTTTGGTACGAAACATTCCATATATACAAAGCGACCTTATTTTTCAAATTTTTAATCTCTATTTATCACATGTACCAATAGTGCGAATTCTGTTGCGTAATGACCTTTAACAGAACATATTGTTGCAACTGAAGCATACCCGTGCGTAAAACCTTTTTGTTTGATCAACTGCAGCACTTTCATCTTTGTTTTGTCCTCCAAATGTGCCACTGTGTACTGTATCCGGATTTTTTGTTAACTTTAGTTGCATGTAAACTGTTTTGCAGCTATGAATAAATTATTACGGCTTTATTTAGTTTATTATTAACAGTTACTTGAACACTTCGTATGGTTTTTAAATGTAAACGTACAAATAACGCGTCTGCACATCCTTGCGGCAGCTCTTCCTTATATTAATAATTTAGAGTTTGCTACGGACTTTTCTTTGAGCAGTGGTAGGATTAGTACGCACTGGAGACTTTTCGTGCACTTTAGCTTGTCCTCGTCCTTTTAGCTGCTGGTTCCTAGTTCTCGCCCGAGGCGCTATTTTGCGTTGTCTCTGATCAGAGTGCGCGGACATTGGTGACTCGGTTGCGCTAAAGTAGGGTGGTCCTGGAGAAGGGCAACACGGGGGTGGTGAACAACCGGGGCACGGATAATAATACATAGTTGTATAATACTGCGGTCTATCCGTGCTGTTGCTGGCTGAAATAGCACCACTGACATAATTATTTAGCGAGAGTCCGGTGCCGTTGCCGGTGATATGCGACTGACTGACCACCGAATGATGCTGGCCGTCGTTAGTGCTGTTGGAATAGCTCTGGTGGTTGTTTTGTAGGACTCCGGTGGTACCACTACCGTACGAATTGGCCGAATTACTGCCAGAAATGTACGGATTTACAGGAAGCGTTGGATCAAATTGAAGACCACCGTTGATATTGTTGTTAAAGGATATTGATGTGCCGGAGAGACTGCTTTGCGAGTTGCCCAGCGAAAGCTGATTACCGTTGTCCAGTGCCGATGACTGCTGAATGTTAAGGTCAACTTGTCCGTTCGTTGCTTGCCCGTTAGAGGATGCTCCATTGTTGCCACCCGTATCACCTACGACATTGCCACACTGACATGGGTTAACCATGTAAAGTTCGTAGAAATGCAAAGTTCTTTATTTTCTACTTACCGAATACTTCTGGTGATGCTGACAGACAACAGAGAAACAAAATTAAACTCTGCATCTTGCTACTAAAATACGATTCTACTTTGTATTCTCACGAAAAACGAACGGTGAATTACCTTATATCTGTAGATACATTCGTCCTATTTATGGTAACAGCACTGCACCGAAACGTTCGGCAATCCGCAAAACTGGCAAAAACCGATGATGTGACCCAAATGGCAAACTTGGATGATTTTGATCTGTTCTTTGATCTGTTCGTAATTATTTAAGATTTTCAGTAATTAAGCGCGCTCTTTGCGCCATACCGGAATTTCGTCTTCGTAATATGACACTAATATCGTCTGTGTTGTTACGACTCTGATGCGTTAAAGTTCTAAACAGACACGTAAAACCGTTTCGCAGCTGTATAATGGAAAATCACCGGCAACGCTCATTCGCTGGCCGACTGTGCATTCATTGCAGTATTTGCACAGTCGTCAGTCGAGGACACAAAATGCATGGAATCTACTATTATTATTACTAGTATCTTACCCCATACTGCAAAGTCGGAACTGAAATACGCAATTTGTACCGAGCGCAGTGCGGACGATTCGAGGACTAGCGGTTAAGCGCAAAACTTTGTTTGTAAACATAAAACGTGTACGAGCACCGTAACACTTCACTAGTTTTTTAAGCAAATGTCCATTGGTACCACCATTTTGCCGTTTTCCGTTGCAAAATATAGTTAATATCCTTATGAGTGCCTTTCTGTGTGCATCAGTACATGGGACTAAATGCATCCTGCTTCACGTTTGCAACGTTTAATTCAACAAGTGCAAAATGCAATCCGAATGCTTGTAAATTAGCAAAGAAAACAATCAAATTTCCATAGAAGATCTATAATTGGTAGTAAACTGCTTAGTCTTTCTCTTACCGCATATTCCATATTGTACATCTGTCGCATGACACTCACTGAAAGGGACCTCAAAACCTTAAACCAGTACATCTGGTTAGGGAGATGTAGCATGCGTAAGCTTACGGTGTCCGCTTTATTGTGTATTACGTGTACGCGTAGCTGTGTTGTTCGTGTCGAACTTGCACTTCCGGTAGATCGAGTATGTAAAAGTAACTGCGAACAGATCAAAGAACGTCAGAACGTTGCCGCTTATTTAACTGTTTCCGTATTTACCAGTTAACACCGCGCAACTGAATGCCTAATAGTGAACCATTCGGTATAAAAAGCACCAAACCATTCTCGGAAAACGATATAATTCAAAACATTATCTCTCATTCGAAAACCTTTCCTTTTTCCGATATATACAGTATTAATAATGATGCACCGCTTGTTGGTAGCTTTATTGCTAGCTGCTATCTTGCCCCTTGCTCTGGGTATGTATTACGATTTTAACGTGAAGTGTACGCTCTAAATGCGATGTATTTGCAGGGAGCACAGGCGGTTCAAGTGGATCATCCGGAAGCGGGGGAGCGACTAATGGCCAAGTCCAGTTGAACATTCAGCAAGCAACCGCCCTGGACGATGGTAACCACAACTCTGTGGGTCAGTCTCAAAACATCGCCTCCGGCACATCGCTGAGCATCGGAGGCGGCAGCAGCTCCAGCCTGCAGTATGACCCTACAGTGACCGCCAAACCAGCCGCCGCCTCCGGCAGTAACTATGTGAATGCCTATGGTAACGCGCAGACCGGTGTCCTGCAGAACAACCAGAACAGCCAATCCAACAGCACCAGCAACGGACAGCACCACAATGTCATCAGCCAGTCGCAGGTCATCGGCAACGGTACGGGAATGTCGATGAGTAATTCGGCCAGTGGCAGTCTGTATCTGGCCAATCCCACCTCGACCACGCCCTATCCAACCCGCTACCCTTGTCAGGGCGTTACATGCTACGGTTACGGGTGTACAATAATTGAGAATGGATATTCCTGCTACTGCTCCTGCCCCTATATATATACACCTACTTACTATTATGACTATACAACATACCCATCGATGCCATCACCGGCACCGCCCGCACCAGCGCCCCATGCAGTCGATCAGCGACAGAGAAAACCCGCGCCGTCGAGTAACACTAAGGGACGAAACGTGCAGAAAGGCCGCGAGAAAGCGCCGGCACGTGGGAAGGCGCAAGCGAACAATGGTCATACGTCCAAACCCCATAATTCCCGTTCCAAAGCTTAATTAGGCACTGTAAGCTTCGTGTTTAGCCACCACCATTAAATTATGTACTGAAGTACTACTTCTTTAATGACCTGTGTGGTGCAGAGCAGAATTCATATTGATAATACTATTTATAATAATAAATTATTGATTATGATGTTATCATGACTGAACTGTTGGGTCTTCGGTCACCAGACTGCAGATTTACCGGCAACCACACAAGCTGATGGCTGTAATTAATTACCCTACATAATAAGCATTAAAAAACAGCTGCAATCGCTGCCTTCCACCGTGTTGCGGATGCAAAGTGTTCGACGCGACCGGCACTTTTTTACTGATGAATCACAGGAGCGGAATACGTTATTTCGGTCGGTTCCCAAATTTTAAGCATGAACATGCACCACTTCGCTTACAATCGCTCAGAATATTTCCAGCACGTAAGCAAGAAAGAAGACTCCAAATAAGCTCATAGGCAGAAAGCAAATTAAGGGCGACTTTCAAATTTCAAATTAAGGCGACTTTCGAGTATTCAACCGGTTTGCTACCACTAGCTCGAAGTACCTTTACAACAACTGTATTCCAATGGCCTAAACACTTTTCACGTACAATTATGAATCATTCAAACTCCGTAACTATTGTTCGGTGAGTGGAACAGTGCGTGAGTGGAACAGGACGCACTGTTCCACTCACCGAACGGAGTTGTTCCGTTACGGAGTTTGAATAATTCATAATTGTACGTGAAAAGTATTATCCCCTACGCAAGTAAGAACCATAACTAATATCAGGAATCACAGCAACTCCCAGATCCTCTAAATCTGTCTAGCCTGTTCCCGCTCCTGGAAAGCTGGCGATAACAGTCAGTCGTCAGAACAGAAAGAAGCTGTGGACACATACGCTTCAACACTTCCTGTATATTCTTACTTGCGTAAGGGATAATCCTGGTAACGCCTACTGTAGCGTCTTAGCGTCTAGCGTAGTCTGCAATCCGGTGTCTTCCTGATTTTATAATCATACCTCATAGCTCTGGTGACTTTGAATTATTTTCCGACCTATATCTGTACAGCTGGAAACTTCATGGAAGCTTTCATTACCAAATGATCAGCAGTTCGAAGTGCAATGCTTTAGCACCATCGCTATTGTAACAGTGGCCTATCTGGCTACTGTCCTAGTGGGGTGGCGATCAGCCTTTACCACGATTAAACGGCTGTTGGTGTGAAAGGTGGCACGGCCGGCAACGATGCTGGCCGAGGACGCTCTTACAGATGTAACGCAATTACACAGGTGGCTCCGTTTGGGATGACGCTAGTTCATCCCAAGAGGTCAAACACGACAACGTAACTCAAGGCATGTTTAATGACAAGGCGTTCAAGAAACGGAGCAAGGTTGTTAGCAAGGGTTTCAGCAAGAGAAACAATCAAGTAGATGCAAGCTGTAGCAAGCTGAGCACAAGACTGAATTCTAGAAGTTCATGAGAAAGGAAACTAGCCGGTAAAGTGGACAAATTCATAACGCGATGGAATGATTCATCATAACTGGGCGGTCTTATCGTTCGTACAAATACTATCGCTACACTATAGTATGTTGTACTAACATCACACAAAGGAAGTTCCGGTTCAAAGGAGAGAGCTTGCCGATCTACTTCTACAAATACGTAAGCTGTAAGCAGACCGAACTTTACACGGACAATCGGTACATCTGCATCGATATAAAGCGCCGAGATCAATCTGGTTGTTTGTTCGTGTTCTAGCATCTAATCTGTGCTGAGGCTTGAGAACTCGAGACTAGTGAGCAGCGCTCGTTCTTGGCATAAAGTATGAGTACTGTACTTGAGTGTTGGTAATATAAGTGATAAAACCGAAGAACTCGTGTCTGGGCTGGGCTAGGCTCGCACAAACACTCGCAAAAAATCTGCCGATTGAGGGAATCGAACCCACAAGTGCCACAACCTCCATACTCTAAGGCCGAAAGAGGCACCACTAGGCTATCGGCATAGCATACAAAATGTATTGCAATGTTCTATCGAACGATCCTATAGAGAGCGGGTGCCGCTCTGACACTCGAAATGAGATACCAAATCGCTACTTATTTGTGAACGATGCAATTTACTCGTAAGCCAAGCAGACGTTGATTTGTAAAGGTCTGGCAGTTTCTGCACTGCTACCACTTCTTTAAGACTGAACAGTCCATCATCCTGGCAGTCGCCAAGTGATAACTCCTTCGGCTAAGTATCGCACCATTTTAATTATAAGCGTTTTCTTCCAATTCGTAGAGTACACTGCGGAGTAGATTCTCAAATTGCTTCCGCCTTAGGCACTAATTTATAATAATTACAGTTCTGCCCATTCAAATGTAAATCCATTAAGCTGTTGCCCATCAACATACAGATACATAGCCACATCGCATGCAGCCGACAATCGATTATGGATCAAGATGGGGGCGCTATTTTTTGAAATGAACGAAGCATGTTCACCGCAGGTTTGGGGAAAAGGTATGGTATAATTCCTAGAAAACAGTTGCGAGGTATTATCAGTTAATCATCCTTGAACCCAAAGGCAACCGCAACCATCGAATCGTGAAACACGCCTTCTATTCAGCGGTTAGTCAAGCTAAAAGCATATCGCACCCGTCAGAGCAGGAAACGGGATGTAAGAAACTTTGAGTAAATTTTTAATCAGACACCAGTTTATACCGAACGGCGATATTTATGAGAGTGTTTATTTGTCGGAATAATTATTCTGCTTTTGCTGTTTCGATCGAACAGTGAACGCACAGAATGTTTATCTTGCGTGCCTGGAACGAAATGCGTAGGTACTAAACAAAAAGCCTTCCCCAGCCAACATTTTCCACAAACGATACGTGGTAATTTTTAAAGCACTTTTTGGAAAAAGGTGCGAGCTGACGTAATGAATGCCACAATGTCAAATTATTCCTCCCCGGCCTTCATCCAAAGTTTTACGTACCTCCAATGGATGGCGGCATTTTCTTGCCTAACCTCTCTTGCCGGCAACCTGGCGCTCCTGTATCTGTATTATCAAGTCCGAAGTACTTTAACACCGTTTAGCGTCTACGTAATCAATCTGCTTATTTCCAATATAATCAGCGCCTTTTTCCAGCAAAACCCGTTTCTTCTTGGAGTAAAGCATCTTTTGTCGCCTGATCACTGGCCGAAATTTTGCACATTCTTTCGGTTTGTGTCAACCGCTACCGGCCCGTTGATTCCGCTGTCACACATGCTGATCACGCTGAATAGGGTGTGCGCCATTGCCTGGCCGTTCTTTTACCGTAACCAGCACACTAAGAAAATGGCGGTATTGGCCTGTCTGGGCAGTTGTATTGTCGTGCAACTGTACGCTATTCCGACCATCGCGGTGGACGCTTATCTGTATCTTGACCAAATGGACAATGTCTATTGCACATTCCGTAATCCAACGCCTGTACAATCGCAGTGGTTGCCGGCTTATAATTGGCTATTCTACATTCTGCCGGAAATTGCAGTGGCAGCAGCGTATCCCTATTTCCTTTTCAGGAGACGCACACTCAAGACTTCGCCAATGATCGCTACTCGTGACAACAATCCGACGTTAACTCGATCGAGTCATACGACTTTGCAATCAACACCGCATTTACCGCAGCCTAAACGAGCCGCAGTAAAGCGCTCCACGATTCCCATCACGTTACTGTCGTTGATGACCTTTAGTATTATGATCTGCTGGACGCCGATGAACCTGTATTACCTGGCAGCACCACATCTGAACAGTCTAGCGTTTCTACAGGTTTGCCGCATTTTGAAGGTTATCCACACCACTATCGATCCCATTATATTTGGAGCGGCGGTGCCGGAGCTCAGGACACAGGCTCTTCTTCGTGTTCAGTCACTGAAAATGTGGTTGTACAGAAGTCTTTTGTAATTTTCCATAGACCGCTGACTAATCACCTCTTTCATACAGATGATCGTAATGCGAGCATAAGAACATCGATGTTGCTATGAATCGTCCTGAATTCATCCGATGATTTCAGTAAACTACTTGTTCTTGCACAAATAAATAAAACTATCATGTTGCCCTAAAATTTTATAATGCATTATGCAGATTTTATTAAAACTGCGAGAAGAGCAGCATTTCTCTACAACGAACTATATTATTGCTGGGTGCCCGAGGGGACACGGGCGTCAGCTGTTTACAGGGGTGTCCGCACGGGGCTTGGCTGCGTGCATGGATTTTTATTTGTATGTTAATATCTGAATAATTATTGAATATTTTTGTTGAATTTTACTTTTCTAGTTGTAATTTCATGATCTCCTTTTCACATTTTGTGCAACAATGACAGATTTCCTAGCCGTTTTCGGGACATATTTTGGTATGCCACAATCGAAGTACGTTCGTCTTCCTGGTCAGGCTGTTGTCAGTCCTGCCGGTATCAAGAAGGAATGGTGTGATGTTCATGGCTCATAATGCGACCTTCAGATACAGTAACCTCGCATCCTTTTCAGTTCGAAAGTTGCCGTTTCCAGGCCAACCTTTAGAAACAACCGGGGTCATTGATAGTGTAAGGCCGCATTCAACAACCTTTGTTTTTGACAACGTTCCATCGATCTACCTTTGACCCTCATCTAAATTCTCTAGATGACCATTTAGCCGCTTAACTTTCCTTGTCATATTCCGACCCAAGCTGCAATCGAACTGCCGAGAGATGTCGCGACGGACCGTTTTAAAGAGAAAGATTTAGCCGTGGACGCAGTCAGGCAGCATTAACCAAAACAAAATTCTCATTTTTCAATAACAGGAACGTGCAACTCTGACCGTACCAAGTGATGACGATTAAGTTAAGTGCAATCGATACTGAAACTATTCGAGGCTTTGCCGTAAACCTTGCTTACCGTCGATCTGTCGGCGTATGGAAGACTTTGTCGCCACAAGATCTCTTCCACGCACGCGCTTCTGGCGCTTCACCCTCCCTGTTGTCCTTTCGCCATACGGTTTCTCCTTACATGACCTTATATCTATATTACACTCCTTATATTATGATCTTACCCTTCCGCTGATCACGTAAACTGCGTTTCGGTGTCTGTTTTTGGTGAAAACTCATGATGCTGCTGCTGCAAACAGCCGAAAATGAAGTAAGGAAATTGTGAGCGTCACTGCACGAGTAAAAGAAATAGTGTCACTTCATTTGTTGTTGTTGTTGTTGAGGGTTTCATTCATTTGCGGAAATAGGGTCACTTCATTTGCTGATTAGTTAGACGAAAAATAATACGGTAACTTTGTTTCTAGGGACGTAGTAACTTCTAGCAGGCAGGAACCCTTTGCAGCAGCCAGCAAGTGAAATTACAGCGTGTTCACTTCCGTAAAAACGATCAAAAATTTAACACCATGCTCGTGTTCGTTGACGTACTGTATTTCCATGCATCTGACGGAGCTTATCGTTTGTGTTATGCGGAGAAACGGAGTTTTACATAGAAGTATAACATAATGCAGATTTTTGAACAACTATGTAATTATCTGAATCGCCGACGATTATACGATAAATCATTTGTAAAGGCTAGATCATTTGCATATTGTAAGAGTCAGAACCGAATTGCTACTGTAGTGTAGGACAAACGAATTGTCAGTAATGTTATACAGAGCAGATACCGTTTGACAATAACGCTTTTCTAAATGCGAAGCGAAACACAGTATGTTGTTGTAAAGTCTCACAGTATCTTGAAAATTACGAGTAGAGATATATTCTATATATCCAAATATTTTCATGTAATATACGAAGGACTAATAGTTATTTGAAGTGTGGGTAGAAGTACTGTGTTATTAACAGTGTGCTGGGGGTAGGCAGTACAGTACACAAGTGGGCCCGCGAAATATACAGACAGCTTACTTGCTACTGTAGTAATGCAAAATCATTATCTTATGTTAGTGGAATGACGGATGACCAGTGGGTCGCAGTGACCACGCTTCTTTCCGAACGGGCTTTCAAGTCGAAGATCGTTATGCTTACCAGTTTCCAGCCTCGTACTTGTTAAGCGCTTTATTTTACTGCGAGCGGAAGCCAGCCGAAAGCACCATCATTTTGTTTCTAATATCGTAAGCCATTTTGCAAGAATTATAAATCACTCTCCACCGGATAAGTTCCGAAAATCCCTTCACTGACATAAGTTTACAACAGAAACGTCAGAATATTATTAAGGAATGTTAACTTCAACGCGTCAATTATGCCTATGCCGCTTCCCCCGTGTTTCAACTTCATTACGACACAGCTAAAACCAAACTTGTCGCCTTGCAGTTCACACGCGTGCAGGGCCCAGCTGTCGGTCTCTTCGTCGTACACCTCGATGCTGCTGTCACCGTCCCCTTCCCACTGTGCATCCCCTCCAAGAGCATAGCCTTTCCCATCCAACCAAGCGCATCCGGGATACGAGCGGTATCGGACCAGATCAGCTGTAATCGCAAAGCCGTACTACTACAAATTGGATCTGAAATGGGATGCACAAAGGAGCAGTTACAAGTACAGGTATATATAGTGCGCAATGAGCGAAGTTGGCGCGAAAACGATACAAACAACATTACAATGGTCGCGATGGCAAGTACCATAATTTCAATATTACTTCTACATAGACATAAATAAAATACAAATAATTTAACTCATATTAACAATTAAACGAATATGATCACGTACATTATTTTTGTCAATATTTCGGTCAAGCAGCTAAAAAGAATGGCCGTGGCGCGCCGTAGTATAAGTATGCATTTAGCGATTAACGTAACCCATAGATGTGCAGTATTCGCTGTTTCTTTACGCCACCTATCTCAACTCCGATAAATCTACCACCGCATAGCGAACGGCAGGTAGTTCCGCGACCGAAAACAAAATATCACCTACCTTTCCTTACCCACTGATCGGCGGCACAATCGTACGCATCCACGCGCCTACAGTAACCCTCATCCGCTTCACCACCTACACAATTCACCACTGCAGTAAGGCTGGTCATTTTATCATGCCATGCTATCCTAGGGAACAGCGTACCGATAACAAAGATTAATCCGCTGGGCGCCACACAGCCAACGCAGTCGCTGCACGCGGTCGGCATGTCGGACAGTCTGGTCCACGTATCGGCAGCGGGGTCGTATGAGAAAGCACACTTGCTACGGCGCCCTGCGCTGACCCCGCCGAACACACACAATCGACCATCACAAGCCACCATCACCGGCCTGACTAGATCAACGGGCAGCGGGGCGACTGCACTCCAGGAATTGCTCTCAGGATTGTACGCTTCCATGGATGTCAGTGGAAGTGGAGGCTGTGGGCCTCTAGTACTGTAGCCACCGGCGGCGTAAACGCGCCCATTTAGCGCGACAAGGCCCTCCAGTCTGCGCGGCGTCAGCATTGGGGCCACCTTGCGGCACTCGTTACGAAGGCCCATGTAGTAGCTGTCGCGCTTAACGATATGGGGTCCTTCAGGGTGGGAAATGAAAATCGTACTGGCGTCCAGCAGCACTGCGCGGCAACAATCATCGAGAAAGGGCAGCTCTTCCAGGCGCCATACGGCCGGCAGCGATGGAATGAAAATCTCCACGGCACTTTCATCCGAATCGTGTCCTCCCACGCAGACGATCACGTCATGCGCCCCTGAAGTTAAAAATAATTTAATAATACTGAAGCTCACCCTGAAGTCCGCGATTTAACAAAAAAGTGAAATAAATAGATTCCGAGTCACTACTATTACTGACACAACAGTCATGTTCGGCTTCGCCTTACCATTAGATGATCTGGTGGTCGCCAGTCAACTGAGGAAGTAATTTTTATGCGATTCGAAACATAGGAACAAAAACCGTTCAATATTATTTACAGTCTGACAGTGGTTTTATTAGAAGGCACTCAAGGCAGCAGTAATCAGGTAAAAAATATTACAAGGTGAATTCGAAGACTTAGTTTTTTAAAGGGTTCGTTTATTGGAGCTCTTGCAGCAACAAAAAGAGGATCGATTGGTGACCTCTCTCCTGATGAGAGGAACGTAAACGGATAAACATAATCTGATAACGCTATATGTCGCTCCAATAAAGACTTCACTGTTTTGGAAGAAACTGAACCGTGAAGACCGATTAACGAAACTATGTGGTTCTTACCGCATGAATGGCGTGGTGCAGTTTTCTGCTTTTTGGCGGCGGGGATTTCAAGTCCACCACTGCGGACTCGCACGGCGCCCCCGCACTGATAAGTGTCGCCGAGTACACCTGCCGAGAATCGGCGCTCAGACAGGAAGCGCGGACGTTCTGCAGGACAGCGGGCTCGTGCGCTAGTCGTCCGGGACGGTCGTAATTTAGCCAGCGCAGCACAGCCTCCAACACTTGATCTTCACTGAACACCTCCACTTCATCCGATGCGATCAGTACAACCAGCTGCAAAATAAACTCCCCGAACACATGCTAACTGGATAATTCAGGTGCCAGATACTGTCGCTGAATACACCGCAACCCAAGTGATTCTGGCCCTGGGCTCATACAAAGCTCATGTTATGCCTAGGGTAAACTTTACAATGCCGTCAGCCAGACTGCACCTGTTGCGCGTCCATCTGCAGAAATTCCTGGCTCTGCGCCAAACACAGGAAGTGCGGATTGATCAAGCTCAGCGCTGCGTCGCCCAGAAGCGGATTGTGGTGTTGAGAAGCCAGAGCGTGGACGGCTAGGCAGTTGGACAGGCACAGGCGCTTCTCCACGTACTCCCAGCACATGCTGGCCACGGGAGACATCTGTAGAAACTGCGCCCCAATCAAGATGGGCTCAACGTTGTCGTCGTTAAGGTGCAGATCCATCGTGTAAGCGTACGCTACCAATCTGCAAAACGGAACAAGACTGATCATACTGGGAAACAGGTGAAAAAGGCTACGTCCACACAAAAACAGCATCATTCATGGGGAATGAACGGATAATGAGCTGAGATAATGTGACTGCAGATCACGCAGTCCGCGCAGAAATTCCACGGTGTTAGCGGGACAACCATGAGGCAGGGGATCTGTAGAACTGCTCTGTTGCGACATTGTGTAGGGAACAAGGACGGTAAAGCGTACTGGATAGTCAGCCTACAGCCAGGAAAGTACTTTAATATTAAGTGCAGCTGTTGATGCACAATTCGAAATCAGATTCGTTAAGTATGAAATGCAAGAGGAAGTAAAAAAAAACTCGCAAATATGCCACTTCTTTCAGTTCGTGATTTTTAACATGCTGTCCAGTGTCCACTATGGCTGGCGCCTGCAGCAAATTTAACAGCTACCCTACCACAAAAACGACTGCAGAATGCACTACTTCGTCTGCAGTTTGCTTTAACACGTGCTGCCTGCCGCGGCAAGTTACCGTAACTGCTGGCCTGAAGGGTTCGCGGAGCGCAGGCACTTGTACCGGAAGTTGCCAGAGCCAGTATAGGAAATATTTAATGCAGCAGAAATTCTCTAAATTTTATTTTCCAGTTTTGTTCACCGATAAAAGAAAGGAAATATTAAAAAGTAAACGCGCGAACTGCAGAACCTGACAACTGCGCAAAAGTCACATACTTTGGCCATGGGAAGTGCTCTCTCTTCGGCTCTACTGCTGATTCCAGTTATTATGCAACTGTATTAAATAGTCTTCCGTTATTTTCCAATCGACTGATTCATACTGCATCGTCTACAAAGTGACCGCAGCCGCGTAACTAATTTAATTATAAAATCCTTCGACGACACAGACATCAGAAACTACAAAACTAAAACTTGTAAACCAACTGTACGAGATGCAGACGTTAACTCTGATAACAATTCCCAATTCATAAAAAATTAAACGCTCAAACTTTGACAGGCAAAAATAGTATAAAAATCTGTAACTGAATAAAAACTGTGTGGCGAGTGGAAGAGGATAAAAATAAATCATAATTTAACGATGGTCTTGCTGCGATCGGCAGAGTGGGGCCGGGGCGGCGGTGGCGGCGTGAGAAGGTGCGCGCAGAGTGAGCATTCGCCGCGGTGCAGCAGACGGCACTGCGCCCCGTCGAACAGCTCCACCATCCGCTCGAAGGCGGCCGGGGCGATGGGCAGGGCCAGGTCAGGAAGACGCTGTAGGGTGCCGGGCAGGAGTAGCCGGTGCGGACAGATCAGGTCCTGGGAAGACATACGGTGGATCATCTGCGACCACTTCAGCTTCGACAGCCACTCTGCAATATCGAAATACGACACATTACCGCCTTGCAGGTTTATGCACCAACAGAAGCGTAAGTACTTATATCATTCGAAATTCGCGACTCACAGTAATAAACAATCTTATTTCGCCCTTTCCCAAACCATTACAGTATATGATTACATACTGACACAATCAAAAATGAACGACTGTGTCAAAATACACAAAAAAGGACTTGAGCTAGTAACAAAGAAGCTGTGCATCTTTGCCGCACTTTCGACTGACACCAACAACTATTACGGTGATTATTCTAAGGCTTTTTTATCTTCCAATATTCTTAAAGACCCTAACAGGCTAACAGCGATAGTCAGTAAAATCCAAATAATCACCAAAAATTTCTATACCAAATAATAAACTACTGCTATTTCAATATTCCCCATTTGATTTTGTGTCAAAGTTGAATTTTAAGAAGTTAGAATAATACGGTACAACAGTACTCATCAAAATGCAGATATCTATATAATAATCATATTATAGTAGTCATCAGCAGATATCGCTAACAATGCAGATTTAACCTTTATTCTACTCGAGAAGTCAAATTTTTTTAAGAATATTTGCTGTATGTTTATTCTTACCTTTACTGATGAGTGGCACATTTTGGTCATATCGGGCAAACATGGAAGGCGGAAGAACTGCTGAGACCTTCTGGATATTGCTTCCCATCCATCGGGCGGAGTGCCCTCAAAAGGCAGCCGCCGGAGATCCTTACACAACTGATACAGGCGCTCGTCCTTCTCGGGATCCACTTGGGAGTAGAATAAAATATAGGCCTCCGTGTCCGCAATCACGGAACTCGGAACTTCCGTCACGTCGGCGTCATTGCACATGTACCACTTCGGCGCGGTGTTGGGCTCGCCTGTCTTTACGTAGCACGTGTAATGTCCGCTGGACAGCGTGGAACCGGAGTGGGAAATCACCGCACGCAGATCGTATTTGGAGCTGAAGTCCATGTTGAACAGGCTCGGATCCAGCAGCTCATCGCGCGGAAAATCCACCCTGTTAGAGAATAACACTTCCTGAGAATGAATTCCGGAAAATGCCATTATAAAACAAATTTTAAGAAAATTACTAGTTTATAAACAAATGGATGAGCCAGACAATTCAATCAATGCAAAATAAATGGTAAATCAAATCAAACGCGAAAAGCTAACAAAATGTCAAACCGATACATATTTCAAATTTTATCCGGACAGTTCGAACTAAAGACTGGAAAAAGCTACTGCAATACATTATATACAGTAACTGCAGGGTGGATGTAAAAGAAGAAAATTAATTACAGTATAGCACTTTTTCATTAGATTATTTAATTAAATTTTATACTGCGGCTTAATTTTCGTTGGATATACTTCTATCTGTTTTGTTCTACCACATCATAAATAGGCGATGTAGGTACTAGGTATACTAGTGAATTCAAGACTTACAGATCATGAATCTTGCGGTCCGGATTGCTAAACGTCGACAGGAACGCGCCAGAGTTCTCATACTTAAACCGTTTAAAATGGATAATTAGTACTTCTGGCAGCCGGGAGATCCGGATATTCTTCACGGCATCCGTGGCCCGGTTGCAGCGATCACAGTGGTACTGGTTCTCCCCGCTCAGCTGCTCCGGGCGGAACTCATTACGCAGGCAATTAATCAGGCCCACGCGTCGCTTGGCATGCCCGGTCTTCAGGCTCAACCACTTGGGCCAGCGACTGTCCTTCGGTTTCTTCTCCTCCACCACGGCGTCCCCTCACTCCATTCGGCCAACTGTTCCGCCGTGGGAATGGACACCTCCAACATCTGGAAATTCTCGTAGCGTGTCGACACCTCCCCGCACGTCCGGCACTGGATACTGACGGCGAAGTCCCCGTAAAACACATCCTGGATGATACTGCGGAAGGTGACCACTTTACTCGTTCGGTGTTTGGGGAAGACGGTGGTGGGCAGCTCCGTGGAGGGGGAGGGGTCCAGCTCGGAATGATCGTCCATGGATTCGTAATACTCATCGCCATTCCCGCATAGCGTCGAATCCTAAAACAAAACGTGGAAAATTAATAAAAGCAACACAATATTTTTCATTACAAAATCATTTTTTCCAACTGTTCAGAAAGGTTTTTTGACATCACTAGAACTCAAATCTGGTGCCGATTATCATCATCGACTGGACGGAATGCGATCATTTCAAAAAAGACTAATATTTCGTACCCGGTCGTTATCGTCGCCGTTAACATGGCCGTTGGACAGTCCATCCGACACTCCGGAGTCCTCTTCGCCGTTTAAATGGAACACGGAGTCCTCCGACACCAGACTCATGCAGCTCTCGTAATCGCTTTTCGTACTGCTGACCGTTTCGTCTTCGTCGGCAGTTTCTTCGGACAACTGGAACACGGGATACTTCAGTTCTTCGTGTATTCTACAACAAATCAAGAACACAAAATAAGTCACAATACGAAGTACGAATAATCTCCCTCATAAATTACGGTTTTAATTTCTCCATGATAAAATACAGCGTTCAGATGGAGTGAATGCCAATTAATGCACTGGAAAGCTGCACTAAAAATGACAACGAAAAATTGATTTTCGATGAGAAAGTGGTGATCGAAGAAAAATTATTATTAGTAAAAATCGAAGTAAAATTATCATATCTCACGATATCTGCCAGTCCGTTGATAAGCTATTTCTAAACAATCACAGCATACTTTGAAGTATCGAAAATCCATCAAACGATTTTCCTTGAGCACCTATACTTTTACTGAAAATTACGTTCAGCATTTCAGCATGCAAAAAGAAAAGATCCACGGTCGCCCGAATGTGGTTTAAAACAGACATTTTTAATTCTACTGATCTGAATTAATACTGCATGAAATTACGCATACTTCTATTGAAATGCAATGAATCACGTCAAAACAAGTAAAAAGGCTGAAGAACGTAGGCAGATGTTATTCACTGTTATTGACACTGTTACACTATCATTAAATAAACTATCTCCAAAGGCGTTACGAAGATCTTGAAATAGCGTAACGTACTGTATGTTTACCATAAAATTTAGAAGCACGGGAAACGTAACAGTTAGGCGTTAGGAGGCAATTAATGACAAAATCCGCAAATTATTTCTCTCACCTGTCCAATAAACACGAAATGAATTCCTGCGCATCGTGCTGACTCCCGACGGCAAACTGGGGATACAGCTTGCGGACGGCGGTCATGAGGTGCGAGGGGGAGAAGGAATCATTCTGGCTGCGCAGCAGCAGGAGGGAGGAGACCACCTGGCTGAATTCGGCGCTGAGGAAGGGGCCGTCTTGGCGGGGCCCTCGAGGGCGGCCAGGGTGGACTGGCGCTGCTCCACCAGGCCCTGGATGCGGTTGAACTGGTCCACGAGGTAGCCCGTGAAGGGCTGGCACACCATCAGCGCCTGGAGAGCCGCGTTGGCGTAGCACGTGTTCCCGATGTTGAAGATACCAGCGGGAACTGCGAAGCGAAATAAAAATACATTGGCATAACATTTGCATGGATTCATTCATTCTGAACGCTTTTTCATTTTCATATTTACATTAGCTTCAAGGAAATCAAAAATGTGTTTAACAAAGAGTTTTGTTAAACACATTTTTGATTTCCTTGAAGGTTTATAAGGTATAATAAGGTTTTATAAATTTTATAAATTTATAAATTTTATAGGTTTTGTTACAAAACCTATAAAATTTAAATACATATTATTAATGCATAAAATTACGCATACAAACTCGATTTTTCCCATAACCTGATAACCATAAAACATAACTTTGCACAGAGCTATAGAGTATAGACACAGTCACACACGCTGTTCGTTGGTCAAACAACAACCTTAAATTAATTCAACAATAAAAACGATATCCATCCACGAATGTCCGTAACTCACAAATATTGTGAGCTTACGATCCCAACAAATAAGAAGAAAGTCAAGCGAAAATTTTTAAAGTTGAATGTTGAATCGTTGATCAACCGTTAAAACACCTCATAATGCCAAAAGTAAATTAGAGCCCATCAGGGCATTTCATCGTATAACTGGGAATCACAACATGCGGTACTGCGAACGTGACCGGTTACGCCCAGAAACATTCTGACGTATGCAGACTGCACTCACTGCAGGCAGTTTCGCACGCAAAATACTGATGTCATTCAACGTAAAAGTGAAAAAACGGACAAACCTCCATCTTCAAGCAATTTCTCCTCAATCTGATTCTGCAGTGATCTCCCGCATTCCGCATCCTGCTGGTCTAGATCAAGGGAATCAATCACAGCGCGATGGCGTTCAACAGCGAACTGATTCTGAATACACTTTAGCAGCGACTGTAGCTGCATTACTACACGATAACAAACCAATCCGTGACAGAATTCTCATCAATAATCTCATGAACGTGTAAACCACTAAATTAGAATATTTCAAAAGGACTGAGAAGAATCGGGATTGTCAGTGTCGATTCTGTCGAAAATGAAATGTGAATTGTACGAAAACTCAAAAAAAGCCTCGAAATCGGAAATCTGATAGAAATTTCGCGTTTGCAGAGCGGATTCAACGGAAAAGTCCTACAAACATGAACATCTCATTTACCGCACCCGAAGGGGGTAGGCTTGCACGGCAACGTTGGCTTGTAGTTGCAGCTTGAATACAGTACATGTATTGTACATGTAAAAAATTAAAAAGTTAAACCGCCTTATTACATTTCATTCTTTATTGTATTGTATTGTAATATAATTTTTTTGTGCCTATTAAAGTTGCTAATTATGCAGACTGCAGAAACAGCCATACCGCTTAACGTAATTAGGTAACTTCCGTATTACAGCGTACCGGTCCGGGTATACTATACAGATACGTACAGTAACGCACACGAGCCGGTTGAATTAATAATTATTTTGCCGTTGTACTTTATCTCTATTTGAACAGCAATTTTCAAAGTACTGTACTTCTATTTATGATTAGATATTTTTATTAATGTCCTACATAACTTATTACGTATGCAAGTGTTTGACACGTCTGGCGTTTAAATACAGTAATATATCGCTGCCACTAGTATACTGGAAGTCGGAACTGCTCGTGAGTCGCTATAGCATTTCTGTCTAGGTTTATTGTTACATACAGTGTCCATCTATAATAATACTGCATACTTCTATTCACGTTGCACCATATACATATTCTACGAGTATGTGATATGTAAGTATTTGCATTAATTTTGCTATTTATATACGTACTACTCGCAGTCTCGCACTTGTGTACTCTAGCAAATTTGGAAGTTTTACTGCACTTTCATTATCATAGATATTTTATTATTTTCCATTACCACACGACCCAGTTATACAATTGTAATATCGTATAAAACGTTTACAGTATATTATGGCGAAACTTTTAGCAAAAACAATCGCAGTTATGTATAATTCTGTGTCAAAATCCGGGAGATCATCGTCCTCAAGCAGTCAATTATATTATATACGCTGATACAAACATGATAAAACTATAAAGAAAATAAATACAACATAAAGAGATCGACTGGCGGAAGCTGTATTGCAAAGATCGGTGTCGCATAGGCAGATCCTGCCGGTGTATGTCTCTAATCTATCTGGATCGGGATCACGGGAGCCGGTAACGTTCGTGCACTTGTTCGGTTGAATATCGCCCGGCGTGAACTGTTGCATAATGCTGTTCGCTGCACAGCCACGTGTGACATAGCCTAAAATTATCCCACACAACCGCGTACTTTTAGCTGAATCTTTTAACGAAGATGTACAGTCCCAGTGCTCATCTACATATTATCATATAATTATGGCTGTAATTTTGTTAGTACTAGTACCTTGAAACAGAACTTCATCTTGTGTAACAACGCCTTCGAACTTGAAGCATGTATCCAGCAGTGTGGTGCAGCCGGTCTCCTTCATATCGGAAGCGCTGGGACACGTTCCCTCAATGCATGTATAACATCGCAGTGCCCAACCTACGGAATAATCACATGTATAATACAGTATATCGGTGTTAAGGGCTGATATTATCGGATTTATCTTGGGGAAAATGTTGCGTCGCGTCACGTTCAACGATCGGCCATACTGACTCACAGACCAGCTAATATTCGGGAAATTTCGAGATTTAAAAATTTCCCGAATTTTTTTCCACAAAATTGAAAATGCGTAGCACCCAAGAAGAAAAACAAATTTTATACAGATAGCGGTAATCCAAAGTAGCTAAAAACAATTCAATAATCGACCTGCATGCTGGAGTATTGGTAACCGGAAATTCAAATAATCAGTAACTTTATGTATATATCGCAGTACTTAACTCTTAAGCGCTTGTACAATACAACAGCGCATTAATACTCAGCTGAATATTTTTGAACGTATAAATACAAACGCTGTTTAATTCTAACGGTTAATAATTCTACGATTAAGTACCTTGTTTTAGCAGAATGGAAAATATACCGATAACGGCAATCGTCCAAAGCACATGCCGCCTTTCCATTATTCAGATGCAGAACAGAATTTGGCCGAAGTAAGGAAATAATGAGCCGAAGGTTTTTTAATCGTTCTGAACTTTAAAATTTAAACAACAATCTCCGTCCGATTTCTTCGCTGGTAATACACATATCACACCACATATCCCTCAGCATTCATTTGTGCGCATCGATCAATATGTTTGGCAACGGATTGTAAAAAAACTATACATGTGCTAGCGATTCTTCCGACTGCAACTTACAATTTGATGGACGGGCCAAGTGCTGATTGTAAATTAACCGAGCCGCATCAATGGTCGACGGGGCAGCGCAACAGTGTCTGACTTCCGCTGATTACCGGCGCAAGTTTAATCTGTGCCGGCGTGTGCTGTATTTCTGTATTTTGCGCGATAAAAATTACACTGACGCATCGCCTGACTCAGCTCTAACAACATTAAATTATTTCCACGAGAACAACCGTGCGCTAATCGATGTTAACTTGGACATTTCAAGGTGGAGTCTTGATACCATCCTTTATGTACATAAAGATTTACCAACTGTAACATTTCCGACCAAAAAACGCATTTGACATCATTTTGTAAATTATTGTGATTCAGTTAGCTTAAGCATTAAATCAAATCCTCAGTACGAATTTAACAACCAGCAGCAAAAAATACCGAATTCAACAAGTGGCAAGTAGACGTATAAATTGTTAGTAAAGAGCAGCAGGTGTTATGAAAGCGCCAAATAAATTCCGATTTTCCATATATACGCATCTGACTCATATATATCCGATCGATTGACCCCGGCACGCACGTGGCTGTCATCATCCTGCACTTCCTCCTCAGCGCCTACAAATCCAAATAATCAAAGGCCTGCCTGAGAAACTGCGCATAGAAATCCAACCGTTTAGCCGGTGTATAATGGCAGAAATGCCACTGCCAATCGCCATGGACACTGGTCAGCCCCGGATGATGACCGTACGGGGACATCCGGCATCCTGCCGATGAATCCTCACAGTCGGTAAACAGCCATAACGGCTCGGCGTCCATATCCCACACCCGCTGGCACTGTTGACCTTTACGTAAGAGGAAGAAGGGCCGTGATTTCGGCAGGCTGATGGGGATGTCCACGTCCCCGTCGTCCCGACAGCAGAAGTAGTAGCGGGTGTTGTGCGTGTAGAAGCCGTCGGGGAGGACACCCTCCTGACCGTTCCCGTTGTTGGTGGTTTCGTCGTCGTGGTCGACAAAGCTGGTCTCGAAACCGATGGGGCACGGGCCTTTCTTGAAGAGGCAGTACTGGCCGGGCGGCCAGTCCGGTTCGTAGGGGGAGAAAGGCGTCGTTTTGACGCAGAAGTGGAGGCGGACGCCTTCCGGAGAGAAGCGGCTGGTGGTGAGGGAGGTCAGCAACACGGCCCAGTCGTTGCGATTGTTGCGGTCTTCTGAGTCCTGAAAAGAGCAAGCAACGCATTAAAACTTAGTTTACATAAGCTGTATATATGGTACGCTTTTCTTCCGATAAATCTGCTACTTTGCATAAATCCCGGTTCTCTTTCTAAAAAAATTGTTTCATTTATTTTCACGCGTAAATTAGGCAACGATAATTATTTATATTTGTATTATAAGAAGTGCAAGTATCCAGTGGGCCCACCGTCCAAAACACACGAGATGTTTAAACACAGTTATCGTCGCATTCATAAAACTGAGCTAATTTTATGGGCCTTTGCGTGTGCGAAACTATATCCAGATTCAGATCTATGTTGCCACGAATGGGATACACCAGAGCCGGCAAACCAGAAAAGACTGACCAAAACCAATATTATATTCTGAATGCCCGTAGTCGAAAACCCTGCCAGACAGTATTCATTTCTATCAAAACCTCTCCCGCTTCGACCGCTAAAGCGGAAGTGTTTTGACTACCTTCACCAAATGTAACTAAATTATTATAATAATAATTATCATCGTGGTACGAGTATTTTTAACCAGGCACTGTTGCGTTAGTTTAGCGAGTGGGCGAAATACCACTATATTCAAGTTAAAATAGCCCGCTAAGCCAGTGAGTGACCGACCAGTGCTGCCACTACTGTCCGTGCACAGAGCCCGGTAGGTGTGCGGGTGACCGAGTTGTATCTAATGTCCAGTGTAAATAGCCCGTTAGGGAACGAGTGACTGAGTGAGTTACCACTACTGTCCGTGCACAGAGCCCGGTAGGTGAACGAGTGACCAAGCTGTCATTATTGTACAGTGTATATGAGTAACCGAACTGCCACTGTTGTCCGGCGCAGAAAGCCGGTTAGGTAAATTAGTGACCGAGCTACCACTCGTTTTGACTTTGGAGTTTGGCTAAACCAGTAATCCGTACAAACACTGCACTCTGATGTTTAAACTGTCCAGTGCACAGGGTCCGTTAGGTGAGCAGGCGACCGAGCTACCACTACCGTCCGGCGAACCGAACCGGTTAGGTAAGCAAGTAATCGAGGTACCACTACTGACCGGACATACACTACCGGGCACACACGACTTTCCAGTGAAAAGAGTCAGTGAAGTGACGAGTCACCGAACTAATGACGGCTACGGCTGTCGCTGGAAATTCAGCGGAAATGCAGCATCTATCCTTGGCACGATGGACGGAGTGGATAGTTTAAACGAAGTTTTGCTGTTGTGAATAATGTAATGTTTATTTTTCTTCCACCTGATTTGTGAAGTGATTTTTAATAAAGAGCAGTACCGTATGATCCAGTGCACTATCACTGTTTCAAATTTCATGCTTATAGACTGATATTTCGGCTTTCTTTTCGGGTAGGGGATGTCGTAAAAATTATCTGTATGCACAGTCAAAGAGAATGCTTTCAAAGTTGAGAGAATCATGAACTGATTTTCATATAAATTCGTGTTTGCCCTATTGCATGTACCGACCATGTTTCGGAGAAATTTAGATGTTATTCTAATAAATATTCGTTCAAATTCAAATAAAATGGCCATGGACCACAAGAAACGCGGAGGCGAAGCCGAGGCTGTTTCTTGTACATGTATATGATGGCGTTTCAAACTATATATATGACGGCGTTAATAATAAAACCGCGGGACCCTTGAGCTTTTCAAGCAACACCGGGACGTGAAAATCATGAATGATTTCCTTTGAAAACGAACCATACATTGCACCTAAAGGTCAAGTACGGTTGATTCAAGGTTACCTGAAATCTACTGCCCTTTCTCCAGTCTCCTGCCGGACATCCGTCCGCAGCTTCCAATAACGCATACGTTCCAGCCGGCCACAACCCAGATGGCCCGTCAACGACGTAGGTCATCGTTGTCGTTGGTAGTATTGCGGCAGCTGTCGTCCTCGTTGATGGAGTCGACCGTCGCGGTGGTGGTGTCCGTTTGGGTGGTTTCGTCCGTAGCTGAGTAGACGACTCATTCGGTATAACCAGCATTCTTGACTGCGGAGTAGGCGTGCTTGATGACGATGTCGAGATAGCCGGAATTATTACAGGGTATGACCTTTCGGTAACATCTGTCTCCTTACTGTAATCGCTCATGGCTTGGTTCAAGTTGCTCTGGAGCGAAGAAATGGCGCTGTCGTTGTTGAGCACACCGCTGCATTCGGTTGGCGGATTGGACGCGACTATCCTGGGTTTTGTGACAAAGTAGCTAATGTTCCTCAGCGTTATCATGATAGGTCTGTTAGGTGTCGAAAAAGAATTCGTAATAATGTCGACTGATCCCAATTTTCGTGCGGTTTCCATGGCTGTTTGTAGTACTTCTGGAGTAACTGTCTGTGCGCTGCCATTAGACTGAATTTGTTCCAGGATCAGAATTTGGGGGATAACTGACCGGGTAACGGCAACACTGCCGTACCGCAGTTTCACCATGATATGGGTGCCGAATTCCTTGAGAAAGCTGACGTAACGTGTCGGGTCATACACGGTTGGGAGCTCGCAGATGGCAGACAGGAAATGCGGGTCCAGTATCTGATCCATATCGCGGTAGTTTAGGGAGACCTCGTTGGAGGCGTTGAGTTGGACGGTGTCGATTATGCCGTTGCCGGCAAGGAAGAGTTGATTAATTTGCTGCATGGAAACGCCCTTACCGCCAATTTTGCCGGCCATTTGAATCTGAAAATTACGAAAAGAAACTACTAATTATAATTAGCACTGAAACAAGAAATTTTATTTGAATTTAAGTTCATGTGTGTACATATTTATAATCTTTGTATACAGTACGTGTATATTACTAGAATACATAATTACAGTTACACCTACAGTAGAAATTATAATCATACATGCATTCTGCAGAGGAAATACGTAAGGAATTATATATACGTAAGAAATTATGTACGTAGAAATTTATTGTTCGGACTGCATTATGATCGGTACAATGGGAAAAGGAAGCGAATATTGTATATTGAAATATTTTATAAGTTTATTATGTCGTCAGAATACGGTGAAGCATCAAAACACAAATAAAACTTTCTTTAATTTACCGGCAGCGTATCTGGAATGCGAAGGACACTGTTGATCTCCTTTTGGTAGTCTCGTCCGGACCACACCGCATACTGTGACCTTTCCGCGGCCTCCACGCTAGCGCACGACAACCCGGTACTGCAGAAGGGCTTCCGTCCCACCAAACACGGCGCTTTATGGAGAAGTGCTGGCGTGAAATGCACTCCGGAATCTAAGTGCGAACCCAGCGTGTCGGCCGCGAAGATATCGTAGCCCCGCCCCAGCAGCGATAGATCCACGGAGCCGGTACATCCATCTGGCATGAATTCCAGAGAACGGCTTTGTGTGAAGGCAATACGGGCGTAGATTTCCGGTGGCCAGAAGAAAAATTCCGGCTGCTTGATGTGGAGACGGTGTTTACTTTCGCCGGCATAGTCGATCAGTGCACGACCAAGATTCTCGCGGAGTTGAGCGACTTTGGACGCTGCGGTGCCATCGGGAGCGTCTTGTATAAGGTGCCTGTACAAAAATTACCTTGTGTATTTTTAAAAATTGATATTTTTTTAAAGGCTTCGTTACAAAGCTTGATTACACATATTTTTTATTCAAAAAAAACAAATGGATAGGTATCTCTTTTTACGCTTTATGAGTCCGGTGTACGTTTTTAAATACGTTTATCAAAAGCGTTAATGCATATTTCAGAAATCATACGCTAATGCATATTTAAGAAAAATCAAAGTTTAAGAAATTTATTTTTTAACACACAGTAGAAATTTGTCTAATGCAAATACAACGTGAATAGAAAAATGTTTTCACCAGATAGAAATTCATTCAGTTAATTACCGGCAATTGTCAATACTGGCACCGGATCGCTGCAAACGCTCCCGGGTGACGAAATACGGGATCTCCCGAATGGCCGTGACAACAGGACTCGCTTCGCTCATTGTACTTACGTCCACCAAAGACGTAAGAGACCCATTCTTTTCCACGTTTTGGGCAATACGCGCCATCAGTGTCCCGGTGATGTTGGCTAGGAAATACCCGTCGTTTATAGTATCAACACTTACACCGCTATCCACAAAGGACTGATACAGCATTTCCGGTGTGATGGTCACGCGCCGCACGACGGTTTTGGCCAAACGGATTTTGACGATGACGTGCGTGCCGAATTCCTTCAGCAGACTGAGATATTCATCGCGCTGATAGTCGAGCGGCAGTTCACACAGGGCAATGGCGAAGGGCGTGTGCAGGGTCTGACTGGACCGGAAGTCCAGTTCAGCCTCTTCGGAAATGCGGAAGGATACGGCCGCGGTGAAGGATGCTCCACTGGCGAGTTGATTACGCAATGTGTCGAGGGAATTTTCGGCTGTTCCGACTGCATTTGTAATGTTACTCTAAAAAATTTGAAAATCGTTTAAACACCCATGTACAATATATATCGGCATGTACCTGCAGTTTATACGTACACAAGTCATAAGTTATGCCACCATATTCCTATCTACATAAGCAAGATTGATTTGTTTTTTCTTCATTTCTATGCAGTTAGCATTATATATATTAATGTGCCGTTTTAAACCTTTCTGTAGAAAAAAACGGCAGCAGTTAAGTAAAAAAGATATCACTACCGAATTTGTGAATATGTAGTCTGCAATGCAGTAATATTCTTACAGTTTTCCTTAGATAACCGGCTTTATCAGTTACAGACAACTCATATTAATCATCAATAAAAAACGTAGGTCTTCTTATATACGAGGTGTTATATTACAAAATGGGTTGGGCATTCGTACTGTAAATTTTCCATACACATGCAAATGTTCCAGAGTGGCGCGCTGGTAATCGGCGAAGGATCTGATAAAAAGTTGTTGGTCTTTCGCCGGTCCGTCCGTGCCAACGGACGGTTCGATTTTCAAACACTGCGTTAGTTGCGGGCACGTGGCGTTGTTCTGGAAGAAGGTCTTCAGGAGTTTTGCCGGTTTCAGCGAGCTGCTTTTCAAACCGGGATCCAGAGTGGTGGCAAAGGGATTGGCTCGCATAAGGTCATAGCCTAAACCCAGATACCGGGCCACGCCGACCTCCGCCGTGCTGAGTGTAACTTCGTTGGAATCTTCCGGTAAGATATTCTCAAACTGTGGAATAGCGTTGTCATCGTTGGCAATATTTCTACAAACGTTAATAGTGACTTCAGTACACAGCATTTCCACTTCAACAATTAATTTTCACCGGCAAAAATAATTTTCATAATATATTTCATTTTCATTTTTTCAATTTCATTTTCATTTTCATATATGTACAGATACATATATTGTTTTAATTAGGTAAATTCGCTTTACCGAACAGGGTTTTTGTTCACTTTCTGGCGGGAAATTTTTTATTATATGTTATTCTATATTTTTATGTTATTCAAATGCATTAGAAGGGTAAAAAGTAACAACGAAGCATAAAAATAAAATTCACACTTACTCGGAAACATCAACATCCGTTATGGCATAAACGCATGATATCCAAGTAAAAAGCAATAATCCAATCACAGGAAGAAAACATCGGGATTCGTAGAGTAGCATTTTGTAATATTTTACAGCGTAACCAGAGTGTTGGCTTGCATAACGGCAGCGTCTTGTAACACTCCAAATTTCGTAAGTGACAATGAGGTGAGAAAGAAGTCAATGCTACAAGCGTGTTAAGACTGTGCAGCGATTAGGTAGGAGGAAGTGTTGAGTATTTACTTATCACTTTTCCAATCTTTTAACAGCTGTATGTCTAGGACGACCACTGCGGAGAGGATTGTAAACATATGTGGTCGAAGTCTAAACTGTGTGTTGTGTGTATTACGGCCAATTAGGATACATTTTCTGTGGCACTGACAATGGTGACCTACTGGCGCAATGCTGCCGGTAGAACGAGCGTCACACGGTAAACATTTGCCTGATGAATTAGGGATCAAATTTATAAAGTGACCTCGCGATAGTAAGAATGGAGTGCATCTTGCAAAAGTATTACAGTCTACAGAAACCACTTTTTTTTACTTGTACGTTCTTGCTCCTAAAGTGATCTTTAACACTTAATCAATAATCGTGGTAGGGGTTTCCAAGGCAGAGTGGCAAATACACTGGACATATTCAATTACAAAAGGATGGAAAACCATTTTCGAGAAAAGAATACGGAAATTAAATTTATGATTAACAAAGTCAAGGTGGATACACAAAAGGCTTCCTTGTATACTTATGCCAGATAAATTAATAATTAGGTTTATATGTATAAATTCTGTTGAAGGCAGAAACTTCTGATTACGACCGACACAAGTTCCAAATAATAAATTTTTTTAATAAAACTTTTAAAATAAACGACATTATAAATATTTTCACCTATAGCACAACGATGTTTATATCTGACGATGGTTTATCTCTTGGAGGTGGTTGGTTCTCACGGTTGGTACTTGTACAGAAGTTGCGATAATTTATCGGCACTCGTATTTTATCTTCCGGTAATTATGCTGAATAGCCAGCATTATTATTCCAGCATTCCTGTATCATCAAGTCGTATAAAGAAAGAAGAAAAAATTTGATTGCTCTAAAACAATTTTGTTAATTATGACCACTGGATGCAGTGTTTAACTCGGATTAAATAAAATAACGTTTCAATCGACTCACCATGTATATGTGGTAAGTTGGTCAGTTTTATGACAACTTTGCCGGTAAATGCTGACAGCAACTCGGAACGATACTATTTATGCAACACTAATATACTGTACTTCTACACAAAATAAAAAAAATTACGGTGTGATGAAGACAATAAAGATTTCCTAAGCAGTAGCAGACACCAGCCGCTGGAAAATAGCGGTTTTTGCGCTTTTTTAGAGCACCAGAAAGCACTTATGGACTGTACAAAATTTTCAATTAACCGACAATTTTTGCACTGTAGTATTGCGCAGATACAAGAGAGTTGTTATAGAATATATTTAGTGAACTGAGCATGGTGAACCCGGTCCAGCCGGTATGCCACGATAAAATAGCACGTGCCCAGGAGCCACAAAGAGCACCCGCTGGCCACCGCTACCCAAAAGGTCCACCCCAAAATATTGCTCTGTGTCCATCCAAATAACCCTTCCTTCTCGAATGCACAGGCGGCAAAGACTATGTCGGCCAAACATATCGAAAAACCTGTAATTCAGTGTGATATTGTTACTTTTACGTAGGTATGACCACAGCCCATTTATTATTAATTATTATTATTATTAGTATTATTAAGCTGTGGTGATACTATCCGCCAGTACTGTTAAATATTTTTATGTTCTTCAAATTCGTTGCGAGTAATTTATTTATGGCAGCCATCACGTGTTATAGTATTATTGGCATAATTTGCACCGAAATAACTCATGCGCTCTTACGCTGAACAATAATGACAACTGCGTTACATTTTAGATTTTCCGTCATAACTTTCCAACTTGAATGCGCAGATCGATGATCTAAATATCTAATTGTGCGCCGTTGTGTGGGCACATACAGATTACAAATTACAGCACAATATGCGCATGGTGTAGCATAATTTATGCCTATTTTTAGTACCTGAAAAGAGAAAGCATCCTCCAAGCGCGAATATGATTTTCCGGGTTGCTCCGCATGCCAGCATAACCACCATCAAGACCGTGGCTATTATGACCACACCCATCCCGGTGCTGTATAGCACCTGTGTTGCTAGCATAAAATCTGCAAAAGCACAACTTGAGAGATGTGTAAACACAGCGCAATCACGACGAGTACTAGAGCAATATCGTTGCCGGCAATCGTTATACTGCTTACAACTGTAAGTAAATATTTTAATACACCCGTGTTATTGTTGCAGTTTATCGTGGTAAAAATTGTTTTTAAAAAATATCAGTATGTAAAAAATATTGTTGTGCAGAACTTCTATTTTTTATAATTTAATTTTATAACTGGCCGTTGATAGCAATAAAAGTAGACGTGTATACCCAGCTTATGCCGACTGTCTCTAAATTCTTCAATAAACATCGATTCTACTGCAAGGAAATATTATTTGCATAGTTTCTATAGTTGCTGGTTTATTAATATTATGTACCTGGATTTCTGTAGTTGGGATTTGTATTAACAATCACCGAATCACACATAACTGAATAGCGCTGATAGGGATTGCCGGTGTTCTGGTACATCCGGAAGCAGATCTCCCACAAGCCGATTTTGTGGAAGAGCATTCTGAACGACGGCACCATTTCCGGGTGCATTTCGCTGTCCACAACCAGCCATGACGATGTCCAGAATCCCGTGAGCGTCAGCGCCGCCACCAGGATCGTCAGGATAACCGTACCCACAGAAACATAATCCAAAATCAATCGATTACCCCAAGCCATGTTCGATAGCGTGGCAGCATCACAGTATATTACCAAAAATACAAAACGGTCTGTAATTAGCACGAAATTATCCTTGTACAATAAACCGAGATCAGAACGCACTCCTTTCAATAATTGTAAAGCTGAGCGTCTGTAAAGTGGACATTCCAAAAGTATGCGTATACACCGGCGTGTACAAACGTTTATCCGGAAACAATCTATTTGAAATGTTAATAAGAGCAAGGTTAATGTCCAGCTGACGCATGGTTTATAACTTGTGGACGCTGTCGCATATCGCAGCTTTGGGCAATTGTTCAACAAAGACTTTTACTGCATATGCACACCGACAAATGTATACAAACGAACATGACTCAGTACGGCGGCCAGTACTCCACAGATTTTGTAGTATTAGGTGGAAAACTGCTTGGTGGTGCACTTTTCCAGCCACTACATAACATACTTCAGCATAATTATACCGGGGTCAAGCATGACCTTTGTATCCTGGGCGCTCATGCGTATCATATGCGGAGTCAGACGAAAAAGCGAGTACTACTACTATACTTTGTCATCCCCTTTGTAAGGTGGTTGTAATTACAATAACTATGGTAAATTGGTATGTTTTGGTGTAGGTAGGGTATATTTTCGACTGATGGTTAATTCTTCTTCAAAACGCTTAAGTTATAGAAACATTCTTAATGCACAGAGTGATAAAGCAATGAGCAATACTTTACTTTAAAAAAGGCAGGGACGCTTTAGATAATGCTTTACGTATATAATTTTATTCCGTCACTACCGGATTTCGTTGAGTACGTACAGTTTGATTAATTCTTCAGTTTAATTTCTAAAAGAACCTATGTTTCATGCCGCTTAAGCTAATGGAGAGTAGCTTTCGTTTGAATTTGGTACTTTCCAGTTTTTAAAGGCGATGTGCAAATTCGTACATTCTGCGCTAAACTATGCCGCAAAACACACTACTACTGCGCTAAACTATGCTGTTCACAAAACACAAATTCAAAATAAGTGCAAACATTCTGTGACGTAGGTACATACTAATGAAACGCTGGGTTTTAATAGAATGCTTTGTACGCGCCGACGGTTGACCGATTTTGTTTATTAAAATCAGAATTGTTGCAAAGAGCATAGGTCAAAGACGCTCTTCTTAGTCTTTATTACGCCTTAATGGAACACCTTTATTTTATTCCGAAGAATAGCTAAAATGTCCTTATTATTAGGTTACGATTAGTGAGAAAGAGAAAAGGGGTGCAGCAAAAAGCCCTCTGCAGAAACTGCATTTGTTGCCGAATGGCTGTCAAGAATGACCTGCTAATGCAAATGGAGTTTTACGCTATTGTTTGTTGTGGAGTGGTCTCCGGGGAATGTGTAACCTGTAGTCGGTAAAGGGGTATCATATTTCAAGGTCGGCGAGGACACATGTATTTGTTTGAAATAGGATTCCAGTTTCAGGATATTTACATTTAGTTACTACATAGACAAAAATATTCCATTTTAACAGCAGAAATGGTTGACTGACGTAAACCACTCATGCAGGCATTCCACGGATAATTTTCACTGTAATGACTTCGTGCGAAACCCATTTGCTCTTAAACAAAAGAGCTTTTTTTGGATTTTCGAGCAGAGTACATTAGCATCCACGTAAAGTCGCACGGAAGCGGAATCTGTCGCATTTCATTACAGCCCCATCACGTTACGAAGCCACAGGGATGCCGGAAGCCGGTTCGCTGCCGATCTCTCCACTGAACGTGATCGAAGCCGAACAATGCGCTGTAGAAAAGCTCCTACTATATAAATGCCGCGCCGGAATCGTGGCGGTGCGTTTAAACCGTCAGCCGTCATTTGTCACGATGCCCAACACAACAGCTTCTTTAGCGTCTTTAGCCGGCAACACGACCGTCACCTTTTCCACTCCGACCGAAGTATTCGGCATCATCACTATCCCCATCAGTTTGGTCGGCACGGCGGGTAGTATCGGCTGTCTGGGTTTTATCCGCACCCATGCCAAACAGCAGAGCAGCAGCACCAACGCACTGTATATAAATTTATCCATCGCGACATTACTTTTCTGTGGAATTGTGTGTCCGGTACATGCGTATACACAGTTGGCGCAACAAGCCAGTTCGTTCGCCCAGCCTACGTATCTTGCCAAATCAGCGTGTAGCTTTATCGGGTTTTTCTACTTTTGGACGCTGACCGCTTCGGCGTATTCCCACAGCGCCATTGCCGCGAATAGATTGTTTATCGTTGTATTGCAAAAATCTAAACTCAGTTCTACATCGACGACGGTTTTCCTGATCGCGGCGTCATGGTTCATTGCCGGGATGACCTTTATGTGGCCGCTACTGCGTTTAGGCGGAACGTATGGATTCTCGACGGAGAGCATGAAATGCACTTTCTCCTCGTTGACCTCCCCGGAATTTGTCATTTCCTATAAAGTCCTCTACGGCTTCGTCCCGGTGATTATTATGGTCATCTGTTATGCTGCCGTGTTCTGCAAAGTTGCAATTTCCAGCCGGAAACTGCGGAAGAATCCCGCGGTGAACCAGGCCGGCGCTCTGCTGATGCCAGTTAACCATCGACGTCAGCGCAATGCCGAGCGGAAGATCACGCAGATCGCCTTCATTACCTGTGTGGGCTTTATTGTCTGCTACGTGCCCAGCGCGATCTTCGGCTTTGTGGTGAAAGCGCGGGCGGCCCTGCAGTCACCCATGGGGATGGCGCTGGTGTTCCTGATGTGGATTGGTAAATGTCCCTGTAGTTGCAGCTGCCTTTCTTCTACGAGGAACTGCATTGATTGTGTGGTAATTTGTTGACAGGTTGCGCGGCCAATCCGCTGTTGTATACGTATCTCAACTCGGATCTGAAGAAGCGGGTCCACGATGTGCTGAAACGCCGGCTGCCCTTTGCGGAACGTGTCTTTGGCGGATCATCCACAAACGGGAATTCCATGTCCCTGACCGGCGTAAAACGGATTACCAGCACCGTCTCCAATAAGGTCCATCCGTCACGCGACCAGTAATAACTGCCCTTTGTCATTGTACAGTTTAAATTGTCGTTGTTTTCCGCAACTTACAACAATAACTGTGCTGTAGAAATAAATCATTGCTCGGGTTGCAGATGTATAATAATTTTGGCGCTGTATAATATTAAAAGGTAATACTGCGTATGCGGTGTGTTGAATGCTGTCTTTTCTCTATGCGGACATTAATGTAATTACACCCATACAGCTTTTTGTAGCGTACAGTACATATTTCGATATAATTATAGTATACACAAGTACAGATATGTACAGACTACAGTAGGTAATTAGGTTCTGCTTTACATCGGTCTAAAAAGGACTCTAGCGTCCATAAAAGCAAATAGGTGGAGATACAGTTGGCTATCATTTTTTCCTGCTTGTTCGATTGGGTTTTGTCAAAAAAGCTCTTGCCAAAAATGACGAATTGAAACTGTTTTCGTAGTTAAACGCAGTAAATAAAGTTTCTTTAGAATCTGCGATAAACAGCGTCGGTTTCAATGTCATAACTCCTGCTACTCTACTTCCTAGTTCCTACGCAAAGTATATTCTGGACACCATTGTTTTGATGGTAAAATGGGATGGACATTCTTTAGATTGTTTCGCTGAGAAGTGCCTGCCGCCATTAATACGGAGCAAAGCCCTCTATTATTCTTGTTGTTCTTGCGCTATCTTGTCGTTAAACATACCGAAATTACGCTGTTCCTTTCACTCGCTTGGAATGAATCAGCGTCATCCTCATTTGTCTCTTTAATTATTAAAAACATCTTCGCCGCGCTTTTACCGGTCGTCCTTTCCAATTAGACATTACACAATAATAATAACGGGGGTTGCAGTATTAACTCAGACTGTTACGTAACATACAGTAGCTGAAGCCAATAATAAACAAGCTATTCCATCGTAGCACGCCATTCTGGATTAGCCAACCTGTTATTATTGTAAAAAGTACGAAAAACAGCTAAACTGGCTGCTGTTACTGCCTGTTAGCCTGTTACAAATACGAGTAAAACAATATACTTTGTCTGCATACAGTTATAAACAACAACATATTTTGCAAACAATATATTTTGTAAAACAACAACAAACAATATACGAGTATTTTGTCTGCATACTCATATCAGTTTATATCTATGTACTTATTCATTTTGCTTTCCAACTGACTCGAGTTTTTTTAATTATGTTGCGTACCAAACGTTCACTCGTTCTTGGACAAATGAAATCGATCTCTGATGTACTCGTATTAAAAATAAGGTGAAGGCTCCGCATACCACCTTTACACCACCGTTGGCTCCTAGTAGGCTAGTACTACCTTTTTACCACCTTTGACTCCGCATACCACCGATAACTTTAATCCTTAAATAAAATATAGTTTCAAGGTAATTTTACGATATCTTGTGCTCCACAATCTGAAAATTAATTCCAGCGTACAAATCCTGACAGTGTTTGTCCTGAGTGCGATTGACTGCAAGGGTAGAACGAAAACACGGTTTTCGTAATTAATTTAGCCGATTGCGAGTAAAATTTGTGCATTCTTTCTACCTGTATGTTTCACATTTGTACAGGTTCGCTTTATAAAAAAGATATGATATGGGTTTTTAAAACTATTCATTTGTACTAAAGCACAACCGTATTTATTGAATTATTGTAGAGTACTCGTAACAGTGTTATACGTTCAGAATCCCGGTAAAAAACTGGTTTTGAACGTTCAAACTTCGAGGTATTCCTCCAGAAAGAATAAGATATGAAGTTTAAAAAGTAATAAATCAAGCGCTGCTATGCGGAGAAAGGTGGTACTGGGAGTCAAAAGCGGTATAAAAGGTGGTACTAGGAGCCGAAGGTGGTAAAAGGCATGGTATGCAGAGCCTTCACCTAAAAATGACGCATGTTTATTCATTTTACGGCTCCCAACATTTCAACATTAATTATAGAAGTACTCGTAATTCCAGGAAAACCCAAAAGCAAAAACGACCAGAAGATTGTTCGTTTAAATCACGGTTTTGTGCTTACGATAATGATCGACCAATAATATCAGCATATTGAACATCATAATGCCCATCAAATTTTTAGAGAGTTGACAATGAAAATTTTAATTAATATAGACAAGTAATTTTCTCATCCGCCTTAGTCACGAGCGTTTCTTATGATGTTTCGCCATAACGCTCCGCGTAAACTGTCCAAACCGATAATCAACACAACGGGATCCAGCAACGGCTGTACTATATAAAGCAGCGATCCCAGGTTATACCAGAAGGCATTCGGTTGTACGGCCGTCCAGGATACCAGCAGCAGGACGATGCACAGCGGTGTACAACAGACCGTCGCACTGATCGTCAACAACCACAGGATCACCAACGGGCGCCGCGCCACATGCCGACGCTTGAGATTTTGCAGCGGTAACCTCGCCGTCTCACTACTATTCTGACTGTTCCTGCTCGTGAAAGTGCCCATCTTCGTACTAGAGGTGACACGCATCGAGCGCTTACGAAAACTGCTCCACACTTTATACAACAGTAACGGATATGCCGCATAGATGATACACATGGTCACATCCAGCATAATGATCTCGAAGGCGTGGACGGTTACCGGCTGGGCAGCTTCGTTTATCGCGCAGTAAAATGTCCCCGGTAGCCGGTACCACGTGACATTGGTGACAATTAAAGGGATCCCAAAAATGTGGATGAATGCCCACAAAAAGGTACAAGCGAAAATAGCCATACGGGTTGTGTGCATCATCCGGTATGAAAATGGATGGAAAATCGCCCAGATACGGTTTAAAGTGATGAGGGCTTGCGCCCATAATTGACATGCGGTCAGCGGATAAAGCACATACAGGTAGACGGCGCAGACCTGCCATCCGGGATACCAGTTAGGTTTAGCCGCGAAGATGGTGCCAAACGGTAGATCGAAGACCATTAAGAGAATGTTGGTACCCAGTAAGTTTATCAAGTACACGGTAAAGGGCGTACGAAGTTCCCGGTGGAAGATTAATACCAGCAGCACAAGCAGGTTAAATGTTACGGACGATATGAATACGAACAACTTAGCGATAGACCAAAAATTCCAGGTAAAGTTTGAAAGGTCATACGGATTAGAACTGGTGATGTTCGTCATAAATGTGGCATTTTCATAAATAAGACCGTTAGCCATAGTACAGGTGATGTTCTCGAGAAAAACAATCTTGCGCCTTTTCGGTTGAATGACGGGAATACTGACGGGATAAGAAATGCAGTTTTCTAGATACCTTTAGTCCCAGTAACGGTGAATGATTGCACTGCTCTTCAGGAAGAATAAAAGCAAGATATGCTTCCGGCACTGATGCGACCGGGATAATGGTCTAATTAGAGATAATAGAAGTGGCGTACGTACGGCATATTGCATGCCACATGTATTTACTGTAATTATTTTCAAATATGGGGTCCCCCCGCAATATACTACTTGTTACAATTAACTGTGAGCCCTTTCCGTAATTTGAGTACTCCGACGAGACATTCAAAGTACATACTTGCGACCCAGAGGTCATTAATTAATAATGGCTACGCGGTATATACATTATACATGCATTTTGATCTGTCGCAGAGCCTTGGCTTTATCTCGTGGCAAGAAAATACTAATGCAGCACTTTGTTTTTCTTACAATTAGGAGTTAGGTATACGTCTAATGTGATCTCTGATCATTTATTAATTAATGGTTGATGCCATTAATTTTGCATCGGCATCGTGGGTGTAGCCGGTATCCTTTCCGAGAACGACAAACATGTCCCATTTCACAGAAGGTGCTGTGTTCGTTTCCTGCTTTACCAACGGCTACAGTACACAAAGTTGCCGGTTTGCTGGTTTTTATCAGTATTTTACACTCAACTACACCACCAGACGCTGTACAAACTCTCTCACTGTGCATTCATAACCGTAACCGATGGCAATAAACTAGAACGACTCAAAAAAAATTAAAAAATGACTGTGCAGAAACTTTTTAGCTAGAAATTAACTAGAATGTACAAATATGGATTATTTGTGCTTGCTTAGATTTTGCCATTCGTTGTAGTGAAAGTTTTCTTTGATTATACGTGAATCAATTACTTATAACGTTTGTAAATCTGCCGTGAACACGTTTTTAACGAACGCTTGCCAATATCATGTATGGCGACTATTTATTTTAGGAGACAAATAAATAAATAGACATTTTGGTTTACGCGCCGTACTTTTTACGCTACTGTTTAGTGCTTGGCGGTCCTCTGCTTACAATGCGCACAATTTCTTTATTTCCGATTTCGTAACACGAGACGACAAATCAAATATTGTCTTTCTCAAGCCAGCGCCCACCACCGGCATTCAAATTTTGATTAGCAATCATAAACTGATTTACAGATTATGTTTTTTTCTTCAAACAGTCAGGTACCAGCATCAAAACTGCAGTAACATAGTTTAAAATTTCTGAGATTTGGCTTGGGTCAAGAAAGCCTGTTGTGCCGAATCGACGTTGATCTTGCCGGTAACCGTACCGGTTACGGTGTATGATACGGAGGCTGGCTCACTGAAGTCCGTTCGGTGGACAGTCTTCACCTTGATGGTGGCCTTCTGGATTTTGTAGCTTTCTGTAACGAACGCATTCGTTATTCTGCTGCATATGTGACATACAACATATGGAAGCAGTTGCTTATATTGCTTACGTGTATATAAAGACTATGGGCAGTTTCATATAAATATACAGTATACAGGTGTATAAGCATATGAGGGTATGTAGTTACATATTTTTTTAATATTAAGTGTAGTTATATTATAAGCAGCTTTATATGTTTACAAGTATCAGTCGCGCTAGGGCGCGACCAGTTGTGTTCGAGGTATGGAAAAATGAAAGAAATAACAAAATACACTTGGTACGGCAATAAAACAGATTTTGGGAAATATTCCAATATAAAGCCCCAGCAAGGCCAGCCACGAAAATATTTTAAACAAGTAGAAATGCGGGCAGCTTTCAAGCTAGCTTTCCGGTTAAAATCAACCAGTTTTATAAAAGTTGTGAATCGTCAGTAATTTTTGTTTGTTTGTCTTTTTCACGTTTTTAATGTAACTTTATATTGCCGAGCTAGCCACTCTCCAATTCAAAACCTTAATTTTTTGGTACGACAGATAGTATTTAAACGGTGATAAAATGGATGGAGTGGGATCATTTACACAGTTCCCATAAAAAAAACCATTCAGCAGAAACTTATGGAAACAGTTAACAGTTGCTCTAGGTGACCTCGTAAACTGCATCTTTCTACGTATTGTAACATTTTCAGCCATTCATTCAAGCACTTCAGTATTTTTTAAAATAAAATAAATACATATATTTATTAAATTTAGAGGTTTTTGTATACCCATGCTACCATCAGTATTACAGAGGAGCGTAGGTTAGTGAATACCGAAGGAAGCACCAGTATCACAGAGCCGCCACGTGTTGAATACGATAAACGGATCAGCTTTTAGATATTTAGAATTTAGAATTACGAGATATATAATAGACACTTTAATAGACACTCGTATATAATAGACACTTTAAAACCGTGAGATATTGAGGTATTCATATTTCTAGATGTTTTTATAATTTCGAAACTCTGGAGGCTCAAAAATTAGAGGTAACGGCCCCGCTGCGCGGGGCCGAGTCGAAATATTTGGAAATATTTAAAATTCTGGAAATGTAAATTTAGAAATTCTGGAAATTTTTAGAAATATTTAGAAATTCTGGAATTAAATGTAAAAGCTTCAGAGGCGACTTTGGAAAATTGTTTAGTTATTTTGAGGGATTCGAATGGATTTAAAAACATCCTAAAGGTTTCAAGCATTCGAAAAAATAAAATTATAAGTCTGATGTAATTGTCAATAATATTTTGAATAACTATTGTTTAAGTTGCTAAGTTACTTGTATGTGCTCACTCAGGACGTTTTTCGTTTTTCTTTTAAAGTATCTACTATTGATAGCTAACAATATTTAAGGAGTACTACTTACAACTTAGTAAAGTGCTACTACACTGCTACATTTAACTACTACCTACTATCTTTAAGTATTAACAACCTTTAAGTACTACAACTTCTAAAAATTTTTTAGATCTCCAAAACTTAATATTTTGTAAAGATAAAGGTAGGAACGTTTGTGCGATGCTCTATTTTTAAAATTAACAACTTATTGGAAAAAAACTATGTTGATTTAGGAGATAATTTCCAAAACCGACAACCTTTAAGTACTAACAACCTTTAAGTACTAACAACCTTTAAGTACTGCAACCTCTAAAATTTTTTTAGACCTTCTCCAAAACTTATGATTTTTTTAAAGATAAAGGTAGGAACGTTTGTGCGAAGATCTATTTTGTAAAAATAACAACTTATTGGAAAATTCAATGTTGATTTATGAGATAATTTCCAAAACATAAGGACGTAAGGATATATGAATCTATTGATAATGTATGTAATATTTATGATATAAATTATCGAATACATGTAAGTGTTTTATACATAGAAATTATACATGTAAGCGTTTTACAAAGCAAGTGTACAGTACTTGTAATAATTATCCTTTACATGATGGAAAAAACATTTGCTCCACTAGCCTCCACAATATATGCCGTGCAAGTAATAAATTTCTGGTAAAATATTTGCTACAAATACTGTGTAATGCAAATCACGTACTGAGAACACTGGTCCAGATCTGCAGCAGTTTCTGCAGAGCAGCATCACGCTGGCTGTCCGAGCTATAGGTGATGATGAGGGTGCCGGTGATGGAGAAGGAGCTACCGGTCTGGGTGATGGTTGGCGTCAAGAGCTGCTGGCCACCGCTGGTAGTCACTCCGCCAGCACCGCTGGTTTCCTGGTCAGATTTGCCTATAAAAAAGGTGCGTGCGTTAATAATTGGATATACAGAGTATGTATTTATCCTGCGGCTTTCGATGCATTATACTTGGAGTGCATGCGGCTCCGTTGTCGTCCACCCAGTGATAGTTATCGCAAGCGGGGTCCTTTTTCGAGGTACCGACGTTTCCTAAAAATTGCATGAGACTAAAACTTAAAAAAATTGTCCCATTTATTATCATCAGTTAGGTTTAAAATCCCACGCTTGACTGTCAGTCTAACCGGATATGGGCTACCTGCTCTGATTGCGATTAAATTAAATAAATTAAATCATGTTATTTTTTAGTTTGAATTGTATTAAATGTTAGTTTATTTATTTATATTTGCAGTCATATTTCGAACTGGGAGTTAATTGTTTTCTTTTTTCAATTTTCTAAAATAGGCTTTTCCTATTTAGGGTCAGTGCTCAACAGACCTGTGGCCTTAGCGCCGGCGATACTTCCACAGCGGACGGAATTGGGCACCACAGCGCCCCAGAGGCCACCGATACCACGGCCGCCCAAGTTGGAGATACCACTGGCTGGGTTATTGGGGTTGCTCTGATCCTGGCTCTCATCTCCGCTGGCAGCGGCAATGGCGCCCTGGTTGGCCGAGGTCGGTGCCACAAAACCCCAGACAGAGCCGATCGCACCACCAACAAGGCTACCCACGCCGTTCACAGCCTGACCAATGATACCGACTGCAAACAGTGCGAATTATAACATCGGTTATAGGCCATGATGCGGGGTTATAGAGTTTCGCCGGTCGTATAAATTTATATTGCAAAAAGGCAACTTACTGTCTTTTGGCTTCCATTGGCAAGCGCCAACTTGAGCCGGCTTGGAACTGCCGCCACCACCGAAGAAGGCTGCAACGTAAAAGTTTTCGTTAAAAGTTTATCTGAATATTTCTCGGTGATTTATATTTCACAAGCTCAGCTTGTTTTTAATTTTTTAGATACTGTAACATTTTCTTAATTAGATGTACAGTTCTTTTAAAGTCCTGACGCAAAATTACGTACGGAAGGCAGCAGCGAAGGACAGGCCGAAAAGGGCAACGATAACCGATAAAGCGTGCATGGTGATAGTGGTGCAGAAAGTACTGTAAACCAGAAAAACCGTTCCCAACTACAAGGTAAAGCACAGAAAACCGGTGGTCTTTATAATCGAGATGTCCTCTTGCAAAAGCCCCGGAGGCACATTTCACCGGTTTCTAACGTCTTCACAGCGTTCTTGGACCAGCCTAGCGTGGGCTCAGCTGAAGCCAGCCTGTTTACCGATACAACAATTGTCAAGTGACTCACCATCAGTATGACATTGTGTCGTTATAATTACAGTATCTGCTGGAGAAGCGTCTGCTGCCAAAATAATAAATTAAATGTCATTGCAGTAGGTACGGTGATTTATGATGGTTGGCCAAATGAAACACTATTGTTGTGTAAGGCAGTATGTGTATGTTAGGCTAATCATCATTGCATGAAAATAGGTATCCAGCTAGGTGTATACTGCTGGGAAAGGGCAAACATCGGTGAACTGGCGCTCCCATAATATGCTTGTAAATGGTAAGTGTGCGCATATACCTAATTGTCATTATCGTTATATGCTAGAACACGTGTTACTAGCATGAATGGGCCGATCCCACACAAAATATCATTAGTTTGTTTTCTTGGCTGTTGCTTCCTTCAGGCGAACAACGTTCTTTCTCTGGAAATTTGGCAGTTTGTTAAGGTGCACTGTTTAGATAGTATACTATTTACTCTGTACTACCCGGAACTTATATTACTGCTAAACAATTTTAGTGTGCACGGTGTCGGTTTCAAAATTGGCTGCTCGTGCGTGCGATGCCGGTGTATCATGCTACGCAGTTAAATACACCGCAGTTGATAAAGCTAACGGTATCCCCTATTTTTCTGATTATGGATTCTATTGTGATAGTGCAAAGCACAGCGTTGCCCATTACCAGTGTACCAAGCTGCAGTGAAAGAACGATAATTGTATTTTATCCATACAATAGCCCATTTACGTAACAGCACACCTGCGCTGATACACTAATGAAAAATTGCGATTTTACACAACATAGAAACGATAATTTATTTCCTTACAACGAGCGCACTGCTGTCTTGTTATGGACAAGGTCTGATCGAACGAGGAAATCATAAAATAGTGAATTGAAACTAATATTACTCGCATGTTGCACTCATGGTATAAATCATTAAGCACTGGACATGAAACGATAGTGATAATTTTTGTGCTTGTAGGAATGGCCACGCCACGTTATGCGACAAGTAGCCGGTATATACAGCGCGGAAGATTATTAATCGTATACTACCAGTACCAGAAGTGCAGAAAGATACAGTTTAATCGTTATCTTTAGACAATAGCCCACCCAAGTAAATAATTCGCGCGCTGGCACACTGTTCGATAGCTGAAGTATCACTCTTTGGAAAACAACCGATGTTTCTTTACATTCTCGACAACCAATGTTTCTCTTTCGGATTAAAAGTTATACTCAAAAGGACACAGCTGATTATTTGGCACCAGCAACGTCATTAGAAAAATGCTCGCATGTTCTGGATAATTTACTCGTGCGTATATGCATTTCTACCGTGGTCTAATTTATTATTCAGGATTACTTTAATTTACCACATTTAAGATAAGTTAGATGCGTACCAGTAGCAAGCCTAAAATAGTCATTAGCTAAAACATCAGAAGAAGAGGTATACAAAATTGGTGCAAAAACATGAGAATATTACCAGGAATGCGATATACACTGCGTAAGCCATTTGCCCCTTTCGGATAAGGCAACCCAATAAAGATACACGTAGCTTGTAATTTACGTTTGACTTTATTGAAAAATATATATAAAAGTATAATAAGTAAACTTCAAATCACTCCACGAGCCACGCCCCGGCACGTTAGAGTATCGTGTCTTCACCTGGTGCGAGGTCGATTTGGATACACCACTTAACGCGTCCTGGTCGGTGCGCATCAGCTTTGCCAGCTATACACTATGTTGTTTGCAAGATACTCCTCCGAGTTTGCAGTCCATTGTGTTACGGTCAGCTCCAGAAAATCCCGATTGGTGCAGTCAAAATCAAATCCGTAGACGGAGCTGGAACATAGTCACAAATGCAACGTGCTTGAAGCAGCAACGCATGAAGCATGCATAACGTAAAATGAGTACACACTTGCTACAATCCTTTTCCACCACAGCACGCATAAAATCGAGAAAACGGTTGAGAAAGCTGATACTCTGGACTTTGCTCCAGTGAAATGAATGGGGCTCCGCGCACTAAGACGAATATGATTCGTATGTAAAAACGTTTCACTCATGGTCCTGTAGTACTTGATATACAAATTCTTAAATTTTCTTATATCGAATTTGTATGTTTTGAGACCGAAAGCCGAATATTAACTTGCCAGTGTATCATCCAAAATGTCGGGTGTTGCGATGGCTTGGCAGTTCAGCAAGGTGTCATTGCTGTGATACCCGACAAGAATTTTCGATGAACCCAAAACGAAGCTTTCCAACCAGTTGCACTTGCTGCTTCTTGATTGCAACCTAGAGGCCAAACGTTATCGACGTGTTATACGTAAAACTAATACATAATGTACTTATCCGATCAAGTGGAGGAAAACTAGTACTCATGAGTATTCGGGAATTATCTAAACTGCTCAGATTGCTTACCAGCACGGTGATTCCGCTGGTAAAGGACGTCGGAGTGTCAATTTGACATAGCGTTGCGGTGCTGGATCTTTGCTCAACGGGTCTTCGCAGTCCACTTTCTGCGAGTACAGTACACGCGTATTCCCGATGGTTCTTTGCAAGACTGCGAAAAAAGTTTCACTGTTGTTTCCAGGCTGAGGAAGACGATCGCTACTACCTTGCGTTGTCGTCAGAAGCCGTTCAAATTTCAACCGACTGCAGAGGTCAAAAATATTGTACTGAAGTTAGACAGCAAACCTGCATTATTTCGGGAATGTGATTTTCGTCACGTTGTGTACTACAAGTGCACGCTGAACAGCTTGCCTTTGTAGTACTTTGTAGTACTTATAGTTTTATATCTGCAGTAAAATTAATGATAAACAGTGTTTGTACTACAAACACTGTTTATCTTTAATTTTAACTTTGTACAACAAATGCCGGTGCTTTATGTAAGACGGCAACAGTTTTTAGGTTTCTTAGGTTGTGAGTACTGATGATCGATGACACAGCTGCCTACCGCAAAATATGTTTCCAGTCGGTATCGTCATTTTCGTATCGATAGTCATTTTTGGGCGCAAGATAAATTACTCCATCCGCTTTACAGGCCACGAAACTATAAGCAGTTTTGTTGAGAAAATAATTATGGGCATAGAGATTCCGCTTGGATAACACGCTTGTCGGCATCCCCAGGATGGTACGCAACGTGGTTCCTGAGCAGATAACATCCGGCCTGCAAAAAAAATTATCAACATGCACTTCGTGTACCAGTTGTGCACTTAAAGTGTATTATTGTTAAAGTGTATTAAAGTGTAGACTACCGCATGTAAAAAATTTGAGGGGTTTTCAGCTGCTGCAAGAATGGCATTATAAAAATTAATGGGCTTTTGCTTCCAAAACGTTTTTATGATTTCAGTTTCAAATTTGTATTTAGAAAACCGAAACTCAGTACCAGGAATGAGCCTGCCAGAATGTAGTGTTGTTGGATTTGTCACTAATCCACTGCTGCAGACGATACAACGGCCTCCATTCATGCGGCGCGCTATTCGCGCATGCCGCTCGTTCCGCCACAGGAACACTCAGATCGTGATTAAGCGTTTGTTTCCATTGTTCCGACAATTTAGGGAGAAATGTGCGATCATTGACTAGACAAGATGACTTGTACGGATCCCCGTTGACCATTTGCAATCCGTAGCAACCTATTTCTTCTACCGGACTGCACGGCACGTAATATGGACGAGGAGCATTGCGTAGCACTGTGTAATACGAATAAAACGCCATAATTGTTCGATCAGCTTGCTGCTGTTGTTCAGAAATTTATTATGGGCGGCAGCAAGAGTTTTTGTAACTGCAAAGTATGCGAAACGACGGATTTTGCAATACTGCGCACATCTACGCACATAATTTAGATTCCATTCGTGTATTAGTGCCAACGTACGCACTAGCTGTACAGTTGTCTAAACACTTAAAAACCGTCCACGGTTGAAAACAGTTGAAATCATCCTGAAATCATGTGACAGAGACAGACATAGTAAACTAGACATAGTAAACAAGTCAGCTCTCATTTGCCTATCAGAAACTGCACTGCATGCGCACGCATCTCGTTATTCTCGTACCTTGCGCGGGGCTGTCGGTCTCTACATGTCCTATTTGCATGTTGACAAACGAGTTTCGAGTTCCGTCCAAGCGATTAACCTAGCCCACATGCCGATGTCTGGATAGGGTGTATTATCAGATCGATATCCGACAGCTTTGTAAGTCATTGTATATAGGACATGCTGAGAAGTACTCGTACTTTACACGATTCATTCAACTGAGCTTCCTTTATGATCCGGCATGGTCGTTCCCTAAAATTAACTATCGATACAAATGAGGTACAGTTAAAATTTTAGAAAATACCATTGGCAAGAGCAAGTGTCGAGAACATTTTTGGGTAGGTCTTCTACTATATATCGGTCTAGGTTGAGAAATCAGCAAACACAGAATCTTGAAACAGTCTTCGTTTTCTTCTCAATAAAAATACGTTGCAGTTTTGTTTTTTGTGTTGAATGGTAGCTTCTGGAATGTTGTTAACTAGTAGCTAATTTGTACTAACTATTCTGTAATTACAATTTACGATTAATGTTATAGCAGTTAACTGAAAACCACGACAATGCGCCAGTATGTATGATCTGTGACCAGGTCTGCAACTAGCCGCTTTTGTATAAATGATTAGCTAAACCAAACATTAATCTTGATATTGCTTTAACGACTATCCAGAACACGCTAAGAACTGGTGACGGAAAGACTACTAGTATCGCCAACTGTTAATAATGTTATTTGCGGAAAATTCCTGGAGACCGGCTGGCCACTGCGTGACAGTCAATCCCAAACATTTTGTGTCTGTACAGTCGAATTCAAATCCATAGACCGATCTGTAAGAGCCAAGACCAAAACTAATGAGGCATCTGACCATAATAGCT